CCATCTCGGTGCTCATCCATCTCGGTGCTCATCCATCTCGGTGCTCATCCATCTCGGTGCTCGTCCGTCTCGTTGCTCGTCCTTGACATACTACTCTCTCCCCTCTCCGCTGCCGTTCAAGCCCTCAACAGGAAGAGCCGTATCACCCCCGCAGCCCGGAACAGAGAATCTCCACCTTTGGGGCGCTGCCACGCCATGAACCTCCCTCGCGAAGAGGCCATCGTGCCGCCGCACCGGTGGAAAGGCACCCTCCCAGCCTTGTGAGAGTCTCCAGGAAGAAGTCACAGATCACGCCGCAGCCTGGAATGGGAGAAATCTCTACCGTTAGGGCGCAGTCACGACACGAACCTACCCAGTGAAGAGGCCTTTGTGCCGCCGGACGATCAGCCTCGTGCGGAGTAACAGCCTCATGAGGTGAAATCAGCCTCGTGCGGAGTTCTACCGCCTCATATCTCAGCCGAGCCAAGACGTCGAGGCTGCGTTTGATATTTCGCTCACATCGTTGTGCCAGACTCACTGTCAGCATCAACGATATGATTCCTGGGCAGAACCATGTTATTGGATCCCATGTTTGTGTATTACGCATCTACCTCTGTGTGCTCGCCCTTGTTTTTGGGGGGGTTTTGCTCGCTAATTGCTCTCCAGTGTGATCACCCTTGATCATTCCACTGGGCCACCAATCCATGCCGTGCCGTCCCATGCTCACCACCGAGTATTCAGTACAATTAGTAGGACTTGCCATGATCCCGGTCCCGTCCCGTCCGATTCAATCCAGTCCAGTCCAGTTCAATCCCCTTGAATGCCAGTCCAATCCCATTCCGGTCCAGGTCAATCCAGTCCCCAGCTCACTGTGCTGACAGTTCGACACTCGGTGAGTCTTTTGTAATATCCTGCGTACCATGTAATTCCAATTCCGGCTCCAGTGTCGGTTCGAGCTCTGGCTTGTGCTGTGCTCTGGTTCTGACTCGGGGTATGGATGCTCTGGCTCCGGCAAACCCAAACCCTTCCACAGAGCAGCCAGCCCAACCCGGGTCGACGACAATCATCTCCAGCCCAGTCGATCAACAGTGAGCTCATTGTGTTGTTTTTGGTGTTTTGTAAAATGTGTTCGAATGGACCTGGCGAATAAAGAAACCCCATCTATGAAAAGGAAATCAAGCTTTTTTTGGTGATTGGCTTGCCCAGCCAGCAAGGCCGGCAAGGGTTTTCAATTGTTTTTGGTGTTTGGGTGTTTTGGGGGAGTGGTGATGGGTGATGGGTGATGCGTTGGTGTGCTGGTCAACCCAGGCTCTCAGGGCACGTGTCTGTCTGCCCTGCCTGCGCCCAGCACTTGGCTGCGCCACCACCGATGCCGCCTGCGGTCCGCTGGCATGTCAAAGTCGATTCCATGGGCTCGTACGCTGTATCTCGATTGCAAACCCGTAGCATGGTCCGGTGTCAACGTCAGGACCTGCCAACAACCCGTACGGTTTGGTGTCATGGCATTTCACTCCAGCATCCACAGGATGCGGTCCAGCTCTTGCTGGAATCTGGCTCGCTCCGCCTTGCTGTCAAAGTGCAGAGTTTCGAGCTCTTCGGCAGTCGGATTGATCGAGTCGTGCACCAGCTTGACGTCTTCTCTGATGCCGTCCCAGTCGACCAGCGAATTCATAAAATCCTCCGATGCCAGCGACGACCACGTCTGGCGAATCCAGGGACCGTCGCTGTAGACCGAATTGACGTCTCTTCCAAACTGGTCTGCTTCGCCGAGGTCCTTGAACTTGGACATCTTGATGGTGTAGTCGCGTTCGACCTCACCATGGCCTGCAGGCAGAACTATAGACATGGTGCCTTGGTTCCCGTGGCGGACGCGACTGGGAAAGTGCGTGCGCTCTTGGCCCAAGAACTTGGAAACACAGATTCTCCCCTTGGATTGATCCTCTGTAGCTTCGTTGGTCTTGCTACCAGTCTCGTCCACTGCCATGCTCTCGTCATCTTCAATTAATTGTGTGGAGACGCCGAAGTCGCAGTGCTTCGAACTTGGTGGGTGGATGCCAGGATCGAATGGATATCACGGGAAAGACCCTCGGAGGGTTCTGAGGCGCTGGCAAGGCTCCCATAACATTGGCTTCCAAACGACCGATGGTGGGGACATAATCTTCCAATCGCTCGGGGCCGTGACTTGAGACATCGTACCGGAGAGTCGGGTCCTCTCTGTATGGATTCGGCCGAAAAGTCATATTGTAACTTTGTTGGCTGAGCATTAAGCTCGGATTTGGCTCTTGCTCATCTGGATTGTCAAAGTCAAGCAGTTTCGTTGTCGCCGCCGGAGCCGTGCTCATAGGGAGAGGAGTTTCTGAGATCCACTTTTCAAGCGCTTCTTCCTCACGTTGGGCATCCCCGAGGATTCTTATTCCACCAATCGGAATGACTTGGTAAGAAGACTTTGGTATAGTCTCCGTACGAGAGAACCCGATTGGTGTACCAGGTGCCATATTGAGTAAGAAGTTCTCCCACCCCTTGCTGCCATGCTGATACATGGGCCGGGCGCAGGCAAGGTAATAAGAGTTGACGTCTCTAGCTATATCCCGCACCAAGAGCTCCTTCACTGCCTGCACGAATTGCAGATTGGCATCCAGAGCTAGGATTGCAGCGAATCTAGCCCTACTTCCCGTGGAGGGAAACAAGTCGGGGGCGCGGAGAAGTCTCAGAACCTCTTTGCTCGAAAACTTGAGACGCCGGATTTGCTCATCCACATCGAGGGGACGGACGAGCTTCACAAGTGGAAACGCCTTAGCGCGGAGGACCTCAAGGCCAAGAGTGACGAGATACTCTTCGCTGCACACTTGCACCACCTGGCCCTCACCTATTGCAGCAGAATCAGAGACTGTTAACCACTAAATGGAAAGGTCACTCACTGTTCAGGATACCTCGATGTTTCTTCTTCTCTTCGAAATATTTGCCATTGAAATACGCAAGAATTTGCTCAGCCATGATGGAAAGCTGGGTGCTGTTGAGGGGTTGCGCATGTACAGTTTTCGATGATGAAGCCACGAATCTGTAGCTTGAAATAGAAGATTAACAACTCGAGGAAGCCGCATAATGAAGGCAGTTTACGACGCGGGGACGGAATTCACTTGTTTCAAAATGAAGGAGGCTTGGCAAGACAAAAATGTGATGATATTGTTCTGGGAACAACATCAGTGGCAAAGGTGAGGCAAAAAGTGAATACACGGTGAAATGAAATCAGGGTGACTTGAGAATAAATTTTCAATCACTTCAAATCCTTTTGATATTCTTCCCATTCAACCATTCTCCAATTTTCGTTTCATTCACGCCACAGAATTGAGTCATCAACGCCACAGAATTGAATCATCAACGCCACATTCCAAGTTCTTTGTTTCTTTGTTTAGAAGGTCCGAGCGTCATGCCTACTCAAAGCAAGATGGTTGCAGATGACAATTCAATCCCAGCTGCGCTTCATGACTTCTTTCGTTCACTCGCACCAGAGCAACTGAGCTCAATCACCGAAGCTGTTGCAGCTGTCATCCCTGTGCGCTCGACAAGCGAGAGGCGCAGGTCCTTCGTAGCGCGCAACAGACGGGCTATGACTACCAAGCGTCCTCTGAATGGCTTCATCGCATATCGAGGTGAGTACAACCATCTCCTCTCCTGGTCTCTGCTAATAACTTGATAGCATACTACAGCCCGGTGTTCAAGGGTGCAACCCAAAAAGCGAAAAGTGGCTTCATCAGGACTATGTGGGGAGAAGACAAGAAGAGATCGATGTGGACTTTGTTGGGAAAAGCATACTCCGACTTGAGAGACCATCATATGGAGGCCATCACAGTGGACAGGTTTCTGGCAGTTGCTGTTCCATTGCTTCCGATCGTCCCCATCGATCTGTACCTCACCAAGATGGGCTGGATACTCACCGTCAACGCCAGTGGTGAATCAGTCCTGATGCGATCTGCAAAATTCAATCCGGAACTGTTGGCTGCAGAGTATCCTCATCACACCAACTTGTCAGAACAAGATGTCGTCGAACACTGTTACCGCCGCGGCCTGGTCGACCGTGGCCGTCGTCAGCGAACACGACAACACCCATTGCGTGATGCGCTGGTTCAAAATGGCATGATGACGGACACAGACGTTGGTGCGACGGGCGGCAGTGCTGTTTCTCACGACACACCTCCCGGCTGTGGTGCCTTGGCTCTTGCAGTTGTTCCTCAGACGGTATGTCATCAGTCCAGATTCTCAGTTCAGTTTCAATCGACCAACCCATACTTGAGTCTAAAGCTGACTGATTTTATCAAATCAGGTTACTTCACCTTCCTCGACCGAAAGCGTGAGCAGCAGCCCAGCCAGCCAGCCTCAAGAGCAGCAGTTGCCGACCCCTACTAGCAGTTCTGCCATCACTCCCAGTCTTGTTGTCAATAATGGCAATGAATATCATCATACAAATCTCGACTACCTTACAATTGAGGCTGTTACTGCCGACCAGCAATCTGCATATGCTCGAACCAACGGAGCTGGTCTGGCTGCGCTTCACTTCCATCCTCAGATTTTCCCCCCAATCTTGGGGTTTGATCCCCGGATCGTCCAAGATGACTTTGACCCCTTCAATCTGGACGTCTTCGGGTTCGACTTGAACGATAATGTGAAGAACATGTGAGAGCATATGTTGCACGTCAAGGGACTTGATACATTGAAAAGAACAGACGCAAACATGGTCCGGAATATCCACGCCAACAGAGCAACGAGGCAGAAATTTGGGGGCCTGTCGCCAGAGCTGGGAACTACAGGGAAGTAAATTGGGTGCGGTTGGACTGGAGACGGGGTGATGACAAGGCCACCGGCTTGAGCTCGGGAAGGAAAGCTCCGGCGAGGAATGTCTACGGTCACTGTTTGACCAGAAACAGAAACTAATTGCATCACGGATGAGTGTGTTGGGGGTGAGAAAATGTTTCAAGCATGTTGCATACATGCAGACGTGGCAAGACGCAGGTACATAGCTGTTTTTCATAGAGCTGATAGCCAACAAGGAGAAACATTGAAATCCAGCCATTCTCCCTGCTCCCTTGACTCGTGAAGGTGCTGTGGTAACATCCAAACAAGGGTCTCACGTCAAAATTCCCATCCAGCAGAGCAGTCCTGCCCCACGATGAGATGGTAAACCCGCCCAAAGGGCGCAGGCAGCACAGTGATTCCCGCTCGACGCCGGTTCCGAGGTAGGCCAAGAGATGTCCCAGTACCCGTCCGTGCCGGGGTCAGAAAAAACAAGTATGGATCCTGGCTCTTCGTCAATCCTGGCTCTTCACCAATCCATTGACACTCGAAGATGTGGTCTGTAGGTTTGACGGCTGGAAACTCCTTGTGGCTGTACATGTTTTCCCCGGAACAAAGGACGGCAAGGAATCTCTGGCGACAGAAGCGAGGAGGGGTCTGAGGCGGTATTTGTCGAAGCCTGATCCACAGCACGTTAGCCAGCAAACATTCGAAGGTACAGAGACTGATTGACACGAGGGGGAGAGCTGGGAATTACTCACCTGGAGAGACTTGCAGGGAACCCAGGCCGGAACTGTGCTTGTCCAGAAGCTGGAGGATGAGATGGCGGACGATGGTTTGGACATTCGAACTCGGCAGGATTGCAAGCCCCTAAAGCTAGCGCAGCCAGGGCAGTCAGCAACTTGTACGATCCTCTTGGACACCAACATACCTTGTTCTTGAACTCGCATTTCATGATTGATCCCGAGAGTCTGGCTTCCACTGCTGTCAACAACATTGCAATTTCATGCCTTGGACTTTGCAGCTGAACTGTGATCCTTCTCGGGTTTTGTGACTCAGCACGTTGCCCTTTGAAACTGCGCGCTGCTGCACGCTGCATGTTGACGCTGCAAGCCAACTCAGAACCTTGAGCCATGCAAGTTGCTTTTTGAAACCGCAAGACATTGAAACCCCATTCTTCACTTGCCATCTGCACCGCAGACCAATCAATCCTGCAGTTCAGGATCAATCGTTGTAGCTGCATCTTGATCGAGATCCATGGAGGCAGCAGGATTCAATCTTGCACGCAAACTCGATTTATTTTGCCGGAGGTGCAGTTGAAGCAAGGCAGCTGAGTGAGAAACAAGTGAGAAACAAGTGACAAGATTTTGAAATCCATGAGACCTGACTGAGAAACAGTTGACAGCATGATTGAATCCCTCGAGCGACTGCGTCATGACATATCCTGGTGCTTTGACTGTATTTGATCATGCTTGCTTATTCCCTTTGCCTGTTGAAACTCCGGCAGCAAGCCACCCACGCCAGTTTGAGGGGGATAGTGCTGGAAGCTCGACAGAGAAGGATCCTGTTGCAATGCCGACAGGGAGCCTTGAGCGACTTGTCCAAGTTTTCTGCTTCTTCTCCTGCTTTGTGACAGTCGATTCTTCGTTCGCCCTCTTCAGCTGGCGGAGTTCCTCCTCTCACTTCGACCTTCTCTTGTAATTCGGTCAGGCTGGGGAAGTTGGGCTTGAGATAGTTCAGCTGGCAGCACTCTGCGATGTCGTTGATGTTTTCTATCGCTTCCTGGACTCTTAAGGAGCCCAAAGGCGTCGCTAGATCGATCGTATTTCGACCCGCGGTCTGTTGGAATGTGAAAAGAGAGCCATCCTGGCATGTTCAAAGGACTGCTGGAGTTGCCGACAGGATAGACATGGCCCCCAAGTTCCAAGAAGCCTGTTGGGAGATTGGCAGAGACGGATCCAGTTGGAAAGTTGATAGGCAAGCTGTCTGTTGGAAGTTGAAGTAGAGCGATCCTCCCAGGTTCCAAGGATCCTGTTGGATTGTCGACAAGAGGCGCCATCGGATATCGTCTAGGATGATATATGTCTTTGTTAAGTGCTTGACTGGTGAATGACAGACACCGTGCAGTGCTTTTCGACTGCCATGAGACACATGCAATGCGAATCTCTTTCAGGCGGGATGGAATAATGCCACAATTCCGATCTCATTGTCATGCCCAACAGATCCGTCACATCTGAATCTGGACCACACCACATCAATGAACGTTCAAGTCAACGTCAATATCTCCATTACGATGGGACAGTCCACGCATCGGCAAGATCCATGGTAAAGGAGTTCGGATGAGAAGGGCAGACAACGAAATCCAGTCATGCACCACTTGACGTAATGCGTGACGTAATGTGTGACGTAATGGAGGTCAAGAATTCTGTCCGTGTGGTTATAAAACTCCGTGTCCCTCGGCCATTGTCGATAGCCTTCAACCTTCATCTGAAATGCAACTTGCCCTGCGGCCCTGCGGCCCCGCGTTCACTGTCACTTGCCCCCCTGCAGCCGCCCGCTCTCTAGCACTGGCCACAGACGTCCCCCAGGGTGATATATGCATTTGTTGAGTTTTTGATTAGTGGACGATGACATCCTGGGCGACGCCCGTGGTAGGGCTCCGCTCTGTGGCGCCAGGATTCATCCAGTCGCTGCTATATTCGTACTGTTGTGACCTGATGTTTGAATTCATCATTGTAGGATCGCAACGCCCGGTGTTGTCGAGTGTAGTGAAGCTCGGGAAGGGCTCGTATTGTTTGAGCTGGGGCAGCGATGGATCGTTTGACCACTCCTTCAGATGCTTAGCATGTTGAGATGCTTGTTGTTGGAAATGCCTCGTAGGCCTGGTCGTATCTCTGGAAGCATCAGTACTGGTAATCAATGCAGGTGTGGTGGGATTCTGACTCACACTCGGAGAACATGTTGCCGGCAGGCAGTCACCCGCGGTGTATCAGTCGGTGAGTATACTTGGTTGATAAGCATGAATAACTGGTGGTACCAAAGGACGGTAGGAGTTCGACAGGGGATGATTCTGCCACCGCCTAGGTGGCATTATTATTTATTCTCGCTCAGGCTTACATTCCTTTTTCTTTTTCTCTCATCAGGTGCACAGGTCTGAGCACATGGCGAGGGCTTTCCACAGCCCCGCGTCCTCTTGTTCAGAGATCGTGTACTTATTTGGCGGTGAAGGCAGGTCACTACCAGTGGGAGTTCGACAGGGAATCCGTCCGTTGGAGGACGTGAAGGTTGGCTGGAGGACGTGAAAGTCAGTTGAATGTAGACAAAGAGGTGGCTGGTAGACGCCGTGCACTTACTGTATATCACAGGTGTCGCCCAAGAAGACAAAGGGTTTGGCGTTTGCTGGGTATTTGCTCCAGTCTTGATTGTGATGGAAGGACCATCGCAAATATCATTGTTACCACCACCCTCCCGTACTGAAGGCGTATTTACTGTGCATCTGCGCTCGTCTTGATTGTGATGGAAGGACCATTGTAAATGTCATCGTCACCACCACCCTGAGCTAGAGGAATCTTAGCTTCGAAACGTTTTGTCAATCAAGGAAAGTAAGGCGTACCCAACACCTGGGTGGCGGGAATGATGAATCGAGGGAAGTTATGGTCTTTTAAGACCAGCGGATAGCTGTAAAGGTCAGTATGTGATGTGACAGACAGCAAGGATTGCTTGAGGTAAGGCAGAGGTGTGAGGGTGAGGGTAAGGGCGACGTCGTCCACAACGACACACAAGATAGAAAGAAAAAGGGACGGAGGGCGTGGATGGTAACGTCACTGACCTGCAATGCAATATTAAAAGAGGATAGAAGGCGTGATGTCGGCCCGGGGCCGACCCCTGGTCAATCTTGCTGACGTTTCGGAACGCCAGGTTGGCCGTATCCTGTAAGTTTGGGAACGAGATGGCTAGGTCACGGCCAATCTGGCGTTCCGAAACGACGGGAGGCAGGTAACATTGTTCAGGTAAGGGTGGTTAATATATTGGTCGTTAAAATAGGTGCTGATAATGATGTAGAATTGTTATTGATATTCATGCTCCCAACAGCCGACTCTGCGAGTCCCGCAGGTAGAACGCACCGTTGGCGTCTGGAGAGGGAACGAGGATAGAAGGTGTGTGAAGGTAAATGTGGGATTGATTGTCTCATTAAGTACTATGGAAGTGCTGAAGCCACGTAATGGCCGCGTAATGGCCGCGCAATAGGCCGCGTAATAGCTATAGAAGGCAAGTGCCACAGGCACTGATGCAATCGCATGCAGTATTGAGGTGTTGAAGGCACCTGCCATGGAGAATCCACAACCAGGCGGCTTAGGGCGACAATGCAGGACACCATAGACCCAGCCACGTTGGAAAGAGAAGGCTTGTCAATCTTGCTGACGTTCGGAACGTCAGCTTGGTAGCATTGAGGGACTTGGTACTCTGTGAGGCAGGGGTTGTTGTTGATAGTCATGCTCTATATAGCTGAATCTATGACTCCGCAGGTAGCTAACGTGATAGGTATTCCCTTTGGCCTTGAGGAATGTCTGAATGGTGTCACCAGTGGCGTTTGGGAGTGCTTGCTTAGTAGCTATTTTCTTCTACTGGCTCCTCTCTGAGGGTATCTCAAGACTAACCCTTCGTTTCCCCTTCTTGTGACTCCCCCTTGAGAGCGTCCGCAAGATTAACCGTTCGTTTCCTCTTCTTGTGACTAGTTGAATGATAGGGTAATGCGGTAAACGACGTATTCGTACATGCGGTGGAATATTTGGCGCGACGTCTTCAGGGCGTCAATGATGGCCGATAGACCAGGTGCGAGGGAAACAATGTCTGCTGATCGAGCTGCATCACGCGCTTTGTAGACCATGTCCAACAAGATGTGGATGGGTGAGAACCCTCCTGCGCTTGATACCAACTGGGCTGGAAGTGCTCCGGGGCGGTAGAATTACCGTACTAGTTGCACAAGTTATGCTCCAGCTGGTCAACGAGTGGACGAGGGTAACTGACCTGGGCGTACGCCTGACTAGCACTGATGTGTGGCTCGGGCTCGAGGCGTTCAGACTTCATGACACGCTCGAATTCGACTTGGTGGGCTTGAAGCCGGTACGGCGCTATGGTAATCTTGAGGTTCCGGATGAATGCAGCCATCTTAAATAAGATCTTGCTGTCCATGGGAGAGTCCAGCTTTACCCGCAAGCCGTCTTTACCCGTCTCCACCCGTCTTTACCCGCAGGCCGTTGAGGGACTGTTTGTTAGAGGATGTGCATCTTCGCATTCAGTCCTGACGTCATTCAGTCCCAGACATTCTGTGTAGAGATATCTATCTTTATGTCTTTGTTTCTTTGTTTCTTTTGACCAATCTAAGGCATGAAGGCCTCCACCTGGATGCTTCCAGGTTGGCCATTTGTCATTCAGTGCCTCGCGAAGGTGTTTGGCATCATCGCTGGTCTTCCAGGTTGGAAATGCTCCGAGACAGGAGCAAGGGAGGTGGGATAGGCAGTGTCAGGGGATGTGCACCAGCAGGTGAAGGAGTGGACAGGGGTGCATGAACAAGGCGTGATCGCGGAGACTGTAGCCTCCAAAAGACAATGGAGAACGCCAGTGACAAAGGCTTTATCAGTGAGGGCGATCTCTTGTTCAATGACATCCAGGAGGGAAGAGACACTAATGGATCTTTGTTTCTGTTGAGAACGAGTACATTGGAGGACGCCCCCGACACGTCTCCTTCCGTTGTCAACGTCTCCCTCCGTTATGCAACTCTTGAATAATTCCTGCAAGCATGCGATGCAAAAGACGTGTCTTAATGGTACTCTCTCCCCTCCCCGGATGGGACTTCCTCCGGCTCTTCATTCGTGCTCGCCGTCTTTGATGCGATGCTTGTCTAGCGAGTAGATCACTTTTTGACCTGCGATGAGTATACAGCCCTCCTTTAGTCGGTAATTCGCCAGTTACCTCTGGGCTGAGACTCAGCCAGCTTCGACAATCTTCTGACCTTGAATCTCGTTTGTGGCGGATCCAAGTCAATGTCGGCCATATCGCCAGAAATTCTACATTTGGCGTTGGATCGGGTAGACTTGGTCGACTCTGAGGTCAAGAGTTGGCTGGTTGAATGTGGTAGGTCTGTCGTGCATTGTCAACTTACTGACACCCTCGTTAGTGTTCGGGAGTGCTTTACTGGCGTCTGCGTTGACCTTGGGCGACTCCAGGTCGATTTTACTGACGTTGCGGACACTCAGGGGTGACCGTCCTGGAGATGGGGGATGGAGAACATGAGGCGCGAAGCTGCTGCCCCCTGTAATGAGGAGAAAATGAGGCGCGAAGCTGCTAACAGCCCCGAAACGAGTGAGGCGCGAAGCTGCTGCCCCCTTTCCCCCCCCGGCCGGTGGCGACTCGTAAAAAACTTTTGAGTAGTACAGTGCTTCTTGGCCTTCTTCGCCTTCGATCCCGTCGTCATTCAGTCCTAGACACTCAATATGTCTATCGAGAAGGGACTCGATGGCGGACCTTTCATGCATGGTAATCTGACTGCCGTCTGCGTTAGTGCTGGGGAGTGCTTGCTCAGTAGCCATTTCTCCCACTGGCTCTACTCCTCAACAGCGCGTAACTTTGTAATTGTGGTTATAGAACTCTTTCAAGTATCTGTAAGTCCGGATACTCTCGACGGCGTCCAGCGCCTCGAGTAACTGCAAGTCCGGATGCTCCTTAACCGCATCCAGCCGAGAGAAGGTCTGAACGAAATGAGCCGGTTTTCCCTGGTCAGGTACATAACTGTGAGATATCTCGAGAATGCGACTGAATCGCTTCCGACTCTGCGACGACATTAAAATTGAACGAAGGTAATTCGCACTGAGAGTGAGCCCGTTGAACGCCACGGAATGCTGGTTGGTAGTTTTCGTCACAATGCGGATCTCCATATTCCAATCCAGATATGGAAGGCTTGTGGTCAAATACAGGCGAATGGACTCGGACAGCAAGAGTTGATCACGCGGGCTTCGGCTTGTGTTTGGAAAGAATGCACTCGAGTGACCACTCGAGTGACTTGAGCCACACGTTCGGCGTGAGGTGGTCGACGTCTGAGAATTATCTTTTTCGTCTTTCGATCGTCGATCGAGGTGGTCCTGCTCGGAAGGAGGAGGTCTCTCAATCACCTAGTGGCTCCAAGGAGTAAGTCGCTCCTCAACGGCGTCCAGCGCCTTGAGTAAATGTAAGTATGGGTGTCGGCGGCGTCCAGCGCCCCAAGGGACTTCAAGTCCGGATGCTCTTCAACGGCATCTAGCCGAGAGAAGGGCAGATCGATGTCGACACCTTCATACAAATCCCAATATTTTTCCTCGATAGCGAGGATCATGAGGATAGGTGAAGGTCTGAATGTGCTGTGGTGGTTTTCCTTGGTCGGGCACATAACTATCAGGAATTTCCAGAATGCGACTGAATCGCCTACTCTGCGACCTCGAAATTCCCGACGGTTATGTGCCCGACCAGGAAGGTAAGATAGCCAAGGTCGGAGGGTAGAAGTAAGTTGGAGTTGTTGGCTGGGATCCTTCCCGGCCTCCAAAGAATCTGGAGGCTGCGAGGCCGCCAGTGACCGAGGTTTGTAACAGGAAGGCCGGGAAGGATCCCAGCCTCCAGGGAATCTGGTTGTAACAGGGAGGCCGGGAAGGATCCCAGCCTCCAAGGAATCTGGGGACCAGGGACAATGTCCCCTAGAGCGATACAGCGGGCTCTGCCGCCGGCTCGGCCACCTTCTGTGGATCGGGTATGTAACCTGTGGAAGATTCGAAGACGGTGACGTGGATCGAATGACTCCTCGCACCTGTGGGACAATCAACCACCGCGCGGGTGTTGATTCCCGTTGTCGAGGTACTGCAGTTGTAGCAGCCACGGTATGTGGTGCTAAGTGGATTGTCCTCGGGTCGACCATGAAGACGACATTTCCGACGATAGCCTGAACTTTACTCTCACGATCGAACCAGATGAAGGTATGTACAAGAGTGGTGGCATCGTGTTCAACTTTGCCATCAACCAGAACTTCCGGCACGATCCGCCGAAGGTCAAATGCACTCAGAAGATCTATCATCTAAGCCTCCTGTTCAGCTCCGACGGCCTTCTGGCCTTGAATTTCGTTTGTGGCGGGTCCGAGTCAACATTGGCAATTCGCCAGTTGTGTCTGGCGCCACCTCACCAGGTGTTGACCCCCGTTGTCGAGAGTCTGTATTTGGTGCAAAGGGTCGCCGCAGTTGTAGCAACCACTGTCCATGGTGTTGACTGGCGTTGACGACGACGTTGTTAGAGGGCGATACCGCAGTTGCAACAGCGGCGGTCCATGGCGTTGACCAGCTTTGTCGACCGGCGGTGCCTGATGCGATGAATCCCGCAGGTATAGCAGCCTCTGTCCATGATGTTGGACGGTGGATGTGAGGCGTCAGGTGTGATCTTGTTCAAGGACGGGGACAACGAAGGCCATGGTTTTGAGTCAAAGAGTCTAGTAGTGCACAGTGAAGCATTAGTTTGTGTGAAGTGCAGCCAGTGACGGTGAGACTGAGAGAGGTGCAGAGGAGGAAAAGGACTCACTTTGTCGATGGACATTGAAACTCTTTGCTGTCTGAAAGGAAAGCAATGCCACAATGTGATTAGATTGAGTCCGCAGAGTCATCCTGACGCGTCGTGAGCGACAACACGACGCAGGTCCATACTTTCGTGGACTTACTCTGCTCCTGTGTCAATGGATTCTGGTGGACGACACCCTGGCGATGTCCTGGACATGTCGTGTATTGAGAGACGCGTTTGCGTGGGAGGTGCTGTCTGGACAATGACATGATGCATCAAGAGGGAGATGTACACAAAGGAAAAGGATACACAAAGGGAGGCCGAATGTGCTGAAAGATGCAGAGATGCAGCGATGCAGAAAAGAGGGAGAGTGGGAGACATGCAGCAGAGAGAGGAGTGCAGAGATTCAGCAGAAAAGAAAGAGGCTCGCTTTGTTGACAGACAACTTGGAAGAACCACTGTTGATGCAACCACGACAACAAACACTGACGTATGTTGGTCGTTGCTTGTGCATTGACGCCTGGTGCAAACAAGCTTTCTTGTGCAGACTCCGGATAGGTGGATGAGTGGGTGTGTGGGTCCGCGGGTCAAGCTTTCTCCGACCCCGAAATCACGTGCGGGGAACGATATGTTCGGAGATAGTCGGGGCATCAAGGGCTGTTCGGGGTTACCCGGAGTTACTCCGGATTAACTCCGTGGCTCCGGATTAACTCCGGAACCATGCGCGGGGACACGCGGGTCCAGCTCCTGTCAGACATGGTCGAGTCAGCACCCGCGACATGAACGCGACACGAATTCACGTGCAGTCGTACCCAACGTCGTACCAAAGTGGCGTTCTTTGTGTAACCTTGTTCCACGTCGTCGCTGTGAGGAAGCTGCAGCAAAGGCAAAGAGATGGACACGCAGATGCAGAGATTGTGAAAGAGACAGACAAAGAAACGCAGGCGCAGAGACGCGCCAGAAGGTCAGGAGTTCACGTCAAGATATGCAGACATACAGACATTGTCTTTGACTCTCGCAACTTTCTTACAAATGCGGATAGGTAAATACAGACATGGAAACACCGACACGGAGATACCGACACAGTTGCAGACACAGAGACACAGATGCGGAGACATAAGAGAAACAGAGACAGAGACAGAGACAGACGCAGGCAAACAGACATCTGGAGGTGAGGAGTTGAGGAGTTCAGAATCTCAGGGAAAGGCATACAGATGTGACATATATCATGTCTGTTTCGCAACATCCTCCAACGTGGTCCTGATTCTGTGACTTTCTGCGTCATCGTCGTTGTGAGGACTTTCAGATGCAGAAGCGCGTCAACAATGCACTCAAAGATGTGGAGTTATGAGTCCATTGTTTTGATCCTCGCAACGTCCTTCAACATCACCGTCGCGAGGAGATGGAGATACAGAGGCACTTACCTCCTTTTGCCTGCAGTGTGGCCTCATCTTTTCTGCAGGAGTTTTGGCCTGTGCGCGGGCGATGGGGTATGATGGAAGTCCACATACCCGCGTAGAGCCGTGACGTGCATGGCGTCGGCTCTGCAATTTGCTTCACCATCGTGCCGCCTGACATCACCGTGGTGAAAGGTCGCAGAGACACAGACAGCTGTGCCCTTTTTTCGACAGAGTCCGGGAACCCAGGGAAAAAGTGCAGATAGGATAGAATGTCTTGACGATGCAGTTTCCTTGATCATCATCTTCTTTGACATGGTCGTCGTGATAACTAGTAGATGTCGGCGAGCTTGCTCTGGTTTTGCAGATGACTCCCCCGCTTTCTGGCAGCCGACTCGACTCTCGGGCAACAAGGACGCGTCAAGATCCCATGCCAAGTCGAACGTACATGGCATTGACCTTGCAACATTGTTTCCTTGGCCATTTTCGTGGTGAAAAATTGTAGATACAGAGGCCATTACCTCGCATTCTGCAGAATATTCTTCTTTTCTCTGCAGAGTTCTCTGTTGGGTGCCTCGTTATCTACGCAGCGGCCGGACGCGTCAGCGGTTGGTGTTTAGCTACGACCTGCACTACTTTGACTGCTTCAACTTCACTGTTGTTCCCGTGAGGGAGTTGCTGGTACAGAGACATTTAACCCCTTGTCCTCCAGTGAGCCTTTCTTTTTCTTGCAGAATACGCGCTCTTTGTTGCAGAATCTTCTCCTTTTATTTGTCGAAGACTCTCCTTTTCTCTGCAAACTCTTTTTCGACGCGGCAACAAGGCATTCCATGGGATTGCCTGAAGACGAGTGTGTGTGGCGTGCCATCTTGAATATATCTTCATTTACATCATCGTCATGAAGGATTACATACAGAGGCAGCTGGATCGTTTTCTGCAAGGTATTCTCCTTTTTCTACAAAAGAATCTCCCTTTTCTGCAGAAAACTCTCCTTTTTCCACATCCTTTTGATACAGAGTCTTCTACTTTTTGCCTGCGGATGCTCTACTTCTGTAAAACATTCCCCTTTTGGTTTGGCAGAGTACTCGAGGAGTTTTCTTGTTTCTACTCCTCCATTATCTACATGGTATATATCTTCTGCTTTCTACAGGGTCGCGTTGTCTTTTCCTGCAGGAAAATGTTCTATTTTCGGGAGCGTATCCCCCCTTTTGCTACAGAATGCTCTTTCTTTCTACAGACTTACCACTCTGCGCGACAGGGACCCGTCATGGACTCACCTGCAGTGACCCCGGGCAGACGTGACGGGGACGGTCCTGACTTTTGAACCCGGTTGTGAGCACGGTGCAGAGCAGTGGAAGCCGCCTCCCACCGTTCTCTGCGCGCTCCTCGGTCAAATGGTCTCTTTTCTGGTTTCCTTTGTTCCTTTTCTCTCTCTCTCTCTCAGGGACGCACCAGTTGAACTTTACAGACACGAGTGTTTTCTGAATTCATTGTCTTTGTTTTGCTAGAACTCCATACCCAGAAGTCAGTGAGTTTCCTTTGCTCTGCAAGCTGTCGAATCATCTCTCCACAGATTCCGATCCGAAATCATTACTCTACCCAGCATTTCAGATCTCGACATCATCACGCTTGGACGTCTCTTTTCTAGACCGAAGTCATTGCCCTCCTCAGCATTTCAGACCTCGACATCATCACGCCTGCACGTCTCTTTTCTAGACCGAAGTCATTGCTCTTTGACTACGTACACTGTCGAGCGTGCACGACTCTTTTCCAGACCGAAGTCATTGCCCACCCAGCGTTCAGATCTCGACATCATCACGATTGAACGTCTCTTGTCTAGTCCGAAGTCATTGCTCTCGCAACTACGTACACTGTCGAGCGTGCACGACTCTTTTCCAGACCGAAGCCATTGCTCTCGCAACTACGTTCAGTTCTCACCATTTTCCCATTTGAACATCTCTTCGCCCACCAGGCCGTCAGTACTGCTCCTCGTGCACCTCGTCTTACTCGAACCTTCATTTGGGACAGTTCGACGCCATTCTCTCACCACAATGGAATCAACCGGCCATGAGATGTTCCCTGTATCTCTTCAAAGAAACCCCGGACCCATCCAAACACCATTCACTCTCCGCCAGCTATACCAGACGGGTAAACTGAGGAAATCAGGGCTGATGGAGCAGCCAGAGGCCAGCCAATATCTAAATAAAAAGATTTGTGCAATACGGGGCAACGTTGTCCAGCTCCCCGTCGATGGGGTTATTACGGCCGCCAATACTGAACTCTCAGGAAGTCATTGGGCCAACAACATCGACAGTGCCGTCCACCAAGCTGGTGGCCAGGAACTACGCCAGGCGTGCCGTGCTCTGAGAGGCTGTGCGGTCGGTTCAGCCAAGGCCACCAACGGCCACGGACTTGCCGCAACGTGGCTAATTCACGCCGTGGCGCCTGTCTTCGGCAGCGCCATGCAAGGCGAGCGTGGACTGCAACTCAGGTCTGCATATCTGGATGGAATGCGATGCGCCGTTGACCATCGCTGCCGAACGATTGCTATTTCGTGCCTGTCAATCGGGCCGTATGGCTTTCCGACTGGGACGTCGGCATTGATTGCTTTTGAAGCAATCAAAGAGTTCCTGCTGGGACCCAGTGGCCATAGCCTCAGAAGGGTGGTCCTTGTTGTGACTACCCCCCACGAGGCGGAGGTGTACGCGCGGTGCTTGCCGTACGTGTCCCCTTGCATCCCTCTCGTTGCTGTACTGTGCTAACTTTGTATCTGATCTAGTCGATACTTTCCTCCGACCCGGTCCGACCTGGGTCTGCCCCCAACCGAGCCACTCCTCCCCGCCCTCACTTTCCAACCTTGGGGCCCCTCGGGCTACAGGAATTCTGGCCCGTATGGCCAGATTTTTTGCCACCCGGCCGTAGGAGATGGGCAGAACGGGGTCCGACCGGAAGATGAAAGAGTCCCTCTCGAGATAGAGGACAATGACCACGCCGAGGACCCGGTCAGCATCATCGCAGGCATCAAGGACACCTTTCGCGGTTGGTTTGCTTGCTTTTGATTCATTGTCGACAACATCTGACAACCGCACGATCAACTTTTTTTGCACGTTTACATGGGCGAACGTTTTCACTTTGAACCCTTGGTTCTTGACCCAGAGAGATGCCGTGGGGCCAATTGCGACGTTATACGGGGAGAAGTGCTCTTCCAGGCAGGGCACAGTATGGATCTTGGAAGAATGATGGTCACCCCACACACTACATTTTATTCATTGTGTGTTGACCCCATGATCATGACCATCGAGTGGTCGTGTTGGTCGTCTGTGCAAGCCTCGGTTCCTATCCGAGTGTACTTCTTCCTTGCTTTTACAGGTGTTACTGCTCGCGGAATGGCGACATTGGTATGGTTTAACTGAGGGAGGACTGAGACCTGATAATCGATATCTGATAGTACAATGGCTGATACTTACTTACCCCCCTGATTTCTCATGGTAAACAGCCCGCTGGTGGTTGTCTGGTCCGGTGTGGTCGCTGTGAAACCATCTTTTCTGCAGATGGCACTTCTCGGGTCTTTTCCCCCTCCCCTGGCTGATATCTCCAAGGATCGCGGAATGGACCAAAAAACATTTTGGAGGCGAGGGGGGGGGGGGCGCACCACAGACATCACGGACGATTACATAAGCAACTATGTTTTTCTGGTGTCGTCGGCCTCTCCCCCCCCTCCTAAGTGCGAATCGCATGCGTTTCGCATGGGAAACGCATATGCTAACCATGCGTTTAGCATGCGAATCGCGTGTTTTTTTGGTGGCGCATGCGAATCGCATGCGAAACGCATGAGAAACGTATGCGAGAAGCATGCGCCACCAAAAAAGGGGTGCGGCAGCCTTGATAATATATACTGCGGTGGCTGTTGCGGTCCGCTTGCTAACTGCTACAGTGTCTGCCACCGTCAAAGTTCTAGACTGAGCAGTGACGAGGCGATAGAGGCTTGGAAGCGAAAGTCGAGTTCGACAAGGTCTGGCTGGGAATGGACAGCGAAAGAACTTTAGGAAATGTTCCGGGCATGTATGTTGGGCTCGACTGTCGATAACAATGTTCATCGCACGCGCTTGGGACTGTGATCCAACGCTCGCGGCATGCGATCTTGGACCTGCCGTCTAAATTGCAGGAACATCGCGACACCGACAAATATCGATCGCCGATTTGCATCTCAAGACGTCATTACCCAAACCTTGGCACATCTCAACCACCGCAGATCGTCGTTGAAAGAGTGAACGAGGCAGACATTATGACATATGTCGACAGTTCCTTGCAGACCCGACAGGCGATTTTCATGGCCTCTCACGGAGGATCACATCTCGGTCGCAAGGCATATTTCTCCGGGCTTTTCTTGCCATTCAAAGAGGCTCAAGAGAATGGCGAGCCGCCGAACAGGCGTCAAAAAATCATCGATCATGTGCTTCAGCGTTTGGAAGAATCATTCCAGAATCTCGTGGACTCTATACCACGAGAGAAACGCGAAAGTTGCAAGCTCATGATATGATGGGTGCTTTACACGAAGCGCTCTCTTTCCCTCTCGGAACTTTGCGATCCTCTGGCATTTAGGCAGAGATTCAACGTATTCGGGGAATTTTATTCGGCCTGCAGAAATGAGGAAACTGCTCGCTGCGAGTACAAGATGCCTCGTCGAGGCCGCGGAAATTGGAAAGTCCGGGTATACTCATTTGCAAGCGTAAGCCTCTTATCGTGTCCAATTCATCCACGAATCGGTCCGAGAATACATCCTGCACCAACGGATTGCCACTACTCACAGCTCCACCTCGATGTGGTATGAGATCGGCGCTGCGCACAATGTCCTCGCGCTTTCGTGTCTCAATCATATCACGGCAGTGTACGTCGATACGGGAACCATAGAGACCATGGTGGAACGCTGGAAAGGTTGGCGCTACACCAGGTCCACGGAATCTATGCGGGACTGGAGTTTCCTGGACTACAGGATTAGGTTCGGCCTCGAGCATGCTGAGCTGGCAGAAGTTCATTGCTTTCCACAATCACAGATCTTCGAAAGCACCGCGAGTGCATCCCGTGCGACTGCCGTTTCCCCGCGGTGGGAATCTTTCACAAGTATCTTCAGCAAAATCCACGCGGGGGATTATTGGCGGCAGGAGAACAAACATCTTTGGAGCAGATTCGATTCCTACTCCACTGTCATTTGACTCCACTGTCATTTGCATGTGCTTTCATCCTCGATTCCGAGATCCACTGCCTTGTGACCCGCAATCAAACTTTAATGAGACGACAGGACTACCGAGAGCACTTTGTGTGACTGCAACCACGGGAAACGAGAAGAGCGTTCTTCTACCCTTGCAATCAGGCGTCGACGTCGACTACGACGACCGTCGTTCGGAAGTCCGTTAGACCTGTCGCTTGCTTCTAAACGAGATGACCTCGTCCCAATTTTATCGAGACATGGAGCCAAGGTACCCAAGGGTGATCGAAAGCGCAGTCCACTTGTCGCTGCGACAACGTATGCCTCCCTGAATAACCTCCATCTCCTACTCAACCACGGGGCGACCCCTTTTGCCAATATTAGCCTTCGGGATGGCTCGGTCGTCGCGTCGCTTCGCGTCATATTGGTCTTCAAAGATCAGGTTCGTTGCCTTCGTTCATTCATTCATTCACTTATCTTTCTGTGTATCTATCCAGCTTCCTCTGTGAAGTAATGAGCCGGCCTTTCTTGTCGACTAAACTACTTAACCTCTCTCTTCTTTCTAGTGCCACCTTCCTCGGCTTCAGCATGCTGTATCTATTCACCTCGACCTACACGTATATTATACGGCGATGTACTAAAGTCGCGGCCTCGGCCCTGGTCTCTAATACTTTCGTTCGGTACGTCGTCGCCGGGACCGTGGTCGTGCTGTCGACCCCCAGGTTCGAGAACCTCGGCGCGCATTCGCCAGCTTCAGCTTAGCGCCTCATTTATGCACTCCTGCCTGGACTTAACATCAATATTAGGGGGGTGTAGAGGGGGGGGTTCACTATAGTATACGAAAAACTTTTTTTAACCTTTTTTTTTTCGCTGTTTTTAGGTATAGTGTAGGCGGGAAAGGGTTTTAGGGGTAGGAGGAGGGGGAGGGAGGTTCACTATAGAATACGAAAAAACTTTTTTAGCCCTTTTTTCCCATCATTTCTCACTAAAGTACGACGAAAAAAAATTTTAGACGTTCTTTTTAAGACTAAAATACGATAAAGAATTTTTTTAGGGTATTTTTAGAGGACTTTTAACTATATCTCGATAAGAAAACCTTTATCTAGCAAATCTTTAGCTAAGCTAGTATTACCGGTAAAACTAAACGGATAGCTACACTTCTAATTAGTTAACCTTATCGGTACTTATCGATTAACTAACGAAAAGATAGATAACGTGACTTTTCTAGATCTTAGTTATTCCGATCCTTACTCTAACGAGTTTACTTTCCATTCCGCCTCGTCGCCGTCGCCGCTCTTTAACTAACTTAACTTCCATTAATAACAACATTAGCTTGATCATTAACAGCCTCATTTCATCGTTCTATAGCATAGAATCCATCTGTGAATAACCCTAATTAAAAACGCGTAGTTAATCGCTTCGCTGGCGTCTTGAGGAGTGCCTGAAGGGTCTACGCCTCACAGTCTATTATAAGTGTTCGACATGGTTATCTAATCGATTTAAGACTAAAGATCGCTTTAGTCTGTTCTCTCTACTTCCGGTCTTCGGTGCGAATGCAGCAATCTCTACGGAGGCACGTCTATAGAAATCTTGGGTATGCAACGCAGTAGCTGCCGCCAGAGAAAGGGATATTGCCTTCATGGAAACACTATTTGCCGAGGCGGAACGTCAACGGCTCCCCTTTCAATGTTACATGAGAGCACATTTCCAGGCAGTCCTATGGCGGAAAGCTCAACATGCGCAACTCGAATCAACAATTGCGAGACAATTTAATAGTCGCCGTACGATCTCTCTCGGCATGAAAACTTTTAGCAGTAGAACGATTCAAATAGGTATGTATGCAGAGGCTTTGATTAGCGGTCTGAAGGTTTTAATACAAGACAGGGCAGGCCCACCACCTGACCAAATGTTCCCGTCCACAATCGAGGCCCTGCTCCGGATTGAAATTTTCCACTTTAAGGTCACTATCGCGCCACACGAAGATCTGCTGCGAACTGAAGGGCTTCTTCGAGCTGCACCGTCTCCACCATCTAGTGTTACAGTACCAGCCACCGCGATACCCTCCTACCCGTCTCCCCTTTACAATGGGAAACCACTCTCTGATTTTACCGACCGTCGGGTCCGCTCTACCGAGGAGATCGAAAGCTTAGGGCTTGACTTGGGACGAGATTCTACGATATCTTGCGCGCGATTTCAGCTGCACCATAGCCCCTGTCGCATTCAGAGAGACAGCTTTGGACGATACAAAAACAATTTCTTACAAACCTTGGCGAAGTATCCATGGACTCTCCGTCAAAGACCTGCGGCCGTTACTGAAATCAGGTTGGTCGAATCAGCTCTCATCCCGATCAGTTTTTCAACGCTATGGCTGGCTCGAGAAGAGATGACAGACAGTATTCGCAAAGGACATCGCGGATGGGCAAAGAAGGGAGGAAATTTTGATGTACTATACGCAAACAATCTGGAAAAGAGAGAATACGAATGCGTTGAGCTTATGGACAAGAGATCTTGACCTGAGGAGGCCATGGTCGGGGAGGGCGACTGTGGTCTTCAGGCTTCAGGCAGTCAATTTGGCACACAACTACGATGTTTATGCTGCCTGCGCTGCCTACGCTGCTCACGACCTTCTCTGTGCTCTGAGAAGAGAGTTCAGTAGTGCTGGGTAACAGTACGACCTTCCGACACAGCAAGTCTTGTAGCGTCGCGTCCTTGTTTGTCACCGAGAATGGCTAGACGCCTGATTTGGCGCTGGGGCGAGACATGGAGGCCAAACGACGATGCCGGGGTTTATTGATGTATCTGGTAAGCCAACGTCTCCCGAGTTCTTTTTCGCCGTCAAATGTCCGAATTGGCCTGATTGACATGGTCTGTGACAGTGTGTTCTGTCCGGTGCTTCTAGCTCTGCACTCCATATGGCTGGAGTTCTCGGACATCTTTCTCCCCCATGTCGGAATCAGACGAATTTCCTCTCCTACGCGATAGCTCGAGGAGAGAACGAGACGTCAATTCAGGCAGATTGGCAGATGCAACTCGGAGCTTCTTTGTGGGCAGGGGAGGCATTACGCCAATGGACAACATGGGAATTACCGCATCCTCGCCTCCGAATCATCTATTGCGAATAGCTACGGAAATCTCTGGTACGTTACAGCGTGGATCAACCAAGTTTTTGACGCCACCGCCGACTGATTCTCTGTAGTGTGTGGTATCTAACTTGAATTGCGTTTTGTTCAGACGTTGACCGCATTTTCAGTCGTCGAGGTCTTGCATCCCCCTGCCGCACTCACAAACCAGAGCGTGAGAGCCATCGTCCTCAAGCTCGCTTTCCGACCCCGACGCTATCTCTGTCGGCGCTGCACTTTGTATCGCTGTATCATAAGTCTGTATGGCTATCATCCGAGTCACTTCCGGTCAGGAGGTGATCCTCTTTGTCCGCCTGCAACATCTCATCCACCAATGTGTGTTCAAGCCAAGCCAGCTCCATCCTCTGATCCGAGATTTTTTTGGGTTTATCCGATTTTTATTTTGAGTTTCGACTTGAGCCTCAACTCAACAAGGTTTTTTTGTTCTGTTTGAGTTTCTTCAGTGCTGATTTAAGTTTCTCGCCAAAGTCGGGCTACTTACCTCGTCCTGCGCTCAACGTCAAGTCATTGTGCCGGAGCTTCTGCGTCATCTGGGAACCCCCCCCCCTAGAGGCTCCTGTGTTGTCTCCTCGTTCCGAACTTGACCGTCTGGAGGGAGGGACGACCTTTGGGCCACCGCCCCGACGTGGTCAGCGAGCTGAGGGGACCCCAATTTCACGTTGAGCCATACGCGAGAGCCGGACGCAAAGCACCATGCGGCGGACGCGGACCATCCTGAGCCGTTGGCGAGCCAAATTGAGCCGTGCGCGAGCCATCCCGAGCCGGAGGTTTGCTTCCCTGAGCCGGACTTGAGTCACCCTGAGCCGGAGGCAAATTGCCCTGACTAAAAGCACCGCGAGGTCAGGTGGGAGTGAAGCGAGTTGGGCATAGAGATCTTGGAGGTCGAGATTTTGGGCGTCGAGATTTTGGGCGTTGAGATTCCAGTCGTCAGCCATGATAGTCTGATAGTCGGTACCTGGTAGCTCGTGGTTAACGGCCCGCTGCTGGTGGTGTTGCGTTGAGTGAGTGAGGTGTGTCAAACCTTGATTCCTGCAGAGTGCATTCGCTAAGTATGAGTCTCCCTCTTGACTGACACCTGATAACTAATGTCGTACGACGATCGGTTGAGGTTCAGTGGTGAGAGATTTAGTAGTGAGAGTTTTGGTAGTGAGAGGTTCGGTGGTGAGAGGTTCGGTGGTGAGAGGTTCGGTGGTGAGAGGTTCGGTGGTGAGAGGTTCGGTGGTGAGAGGTTCGGTGGTGAAAGGTTCGGTGGTGAAAGGTTCCTTCCTTGGTCGGGTAGACGATTACATAAGCATCCATGTTTTTCCGGCTTTTCTGGTGTCGTCGGCCCCACCCCCCCTCCTAAGTGCGTTTCGCATACGTTCCGCATCCGGAACGCATATGCTAACTATGCGTTTAGCATGCGAATCGCGTGGTTTTTTGGTGGCGCATGCGAAACGCAGGCTAGACGCATAAGAAACGCATGCGAGAAGCATGCGCCACCAAAAAGGGGTGCGGCAGCCTTAATAATATGTGCTGCGGTGGCTGTTGCGGTCCGCGTGCTAACTGCTACAGTATCTGCCACCGTATTGCCTGAATATCTATGGGAGAACCTGTTGTAAACAGCCGTTTACGGCTGATAGTGGCATTTATGGTATTCTGGCTGCAAAACCTTGATTCCTTCAGATGAAACTCTCGGGTTGTGAGTCTCTCTGTCTCCCCTCGACTGATATCTCATGCCTGGAATATAATACATGATATTCTCGTGGCTAATACCTACTACCTGACGCCCAAGGCCCATTACTCGCTGGTGCGTGGTGCGTGGTGTGATGGCAGTATGGTGAGTGAGCCGCGTCAAACCTTAATCCCTGTCAGAGTACCTCGCGCAGGGTACGAGTTTTGTGGTATTCAGCGGCGACAAGCGCTGGCCTTGGTACCCGCAGCCACTCACCCTCCTCATGCTTCTCATCAGCCGTCCTCAGTCCCGTTTCTGGGCCCCTCTGTCATTGGATGCTCACGTCATACCTCTCAGGTATCTCTCTTTGAGGATGTGGAAAGTTTACACGACTAACAGCGAGGGTATAGTTTCGGGAACCCAAGGTTCGAAACTGGGACTCCTTGCAAAGACGCTGGATGCAATCTCTCGCGACCCAGGCCCGCCGTCCAAGATGGAGTGTGTCACCCATGTTGCATTCACCCTAGCGACCCCTTCTCCTGATGGCGACTCACACGCCGTACACGTTGCGTCGTCCCTATCATTCCGCCTTCATGTCGGCCGTGCCTCCTCCCACCTGCCCGTCGCCCTACTGTTCCTTTACAATCGCGTCCCAGCATTCCAGTCAACTTTCACACCATGGGGAAAAAGCGGACTCCCGAGGAAACTCCTCGCAGAGCCAAAGAGAAGGGCGCTAGACGAGATACCGGTATTGTTGATGGCAAACCACATTTTATGAAGATTAAGCTGCGAATGAAGAAAAACTATGACAAACAGGTAGCCTTTTGGCACCAGTATACAACTTGGATCCGCCGCAGGACAGGTTACTGATAAGGTCTAATAGATTCGTGCAAGAGAGCCGGGAGGAGAACCCTGTCACACCTCCCCTATCTCTATACGATCTGCGCTCGTTAAAACAGTTCGTGAGGGCAATGGCATACGGGATTGACGGCGCAGAAGGGATTGATGAGGGCTGCATGGAGACCGTACGTAAGTATTGGAACTCCTTTACGACTGGATGGCGCCGGGCCAATCCTGAAAAACCTGGAATATCCGCCGGGACTGTTAGATCCGTCACAAATGTATGCTCCTTCCAGCTTTGAACTTGGGTGCAGCAGCTAAAATATGTGTGGTATATCAAAGGGCCTCTGAAGGAAGATATTGGATTGACTTGGACCAAAAGACCACGGAGATTTGCCACCAAAACTCACTTGCTCCATTTTGCCAGACAACATTGGATCACGGACTGGTCCGAATACAAGTTGCCCGCGACGAAATTGGACGATTGGCTGTTACATTTAGCCAATATTTTCCTCCTCCCGAATTAGCGAGTACATTGAATCCAACTGCCGACCAGGGAGCGGCCGCGGCCTCTACTATCGTGTGAGCATTTGCCCTTGTTGGTCAATAGAAGAGCGTCGTACGCTAATCATTGTCCTTTAGGATATCACCTATAGTGCGTTCATTAACGAACGGGAATCCCGAGTCCGCCGTTCAACTCACTCGTGATGCCAAAAACATGGCAGACAAGCCTGAGAAAGGTAGTTCAGCCACTACGAGCTCCTGATGAGATGTACTGACTTCCCGTACCCAGGCCGCAGCATACCTTGTACGAGGGTGCAGTCTCATGACGCTTTGCTTCAACCCGATGCTCCCATTCCTTACTCGCCTCCTCGTTCATGGAGCTTCCAGGGGCTATGACACGAATGAGGAGGAGCTCCTTGGACACATACCACCTGAAGAGATGTTGTAAATTACAATGGAAGGACGAGCTACTGGATACTCCGTTCTTCAAAGCCCTATCTACCCACAATTGCGAAGAGAGGATCGAAACTGCGACCGCATTGAACAGGAGACATCGGGCCTGGGGCCTTTGTACCGATTATCCCAAACCACTTACTACCCATGACCTCAGAGCTGAAGGCCTGCACTGGATTGGTACGTGTCTAACCTTCAAATTGATTTTTGAATGGGCTGACAGGATCGCCCACACAGACAAATTCTATTCTGAGTCGACGCGAATGATCCATGCTGGCCACACAGATTCGAATACTCTCCGTCGGCACTTCGTGCCCACCAATGGCGCGGATGGGTAAGATACCTACCTCTCGAGGCGGCAAAGGACGAACCATTGTTGCGGACCTCTTTCGGTGCCTCACTGTTCCTCGAAACCCCATCTATCGCAATGCCTCCCTGCAGAGAAGCAATTCGACCTGGAAAACACACCTGACTGCGTTAAACTGAGTGAAGAGATCACGACCCCAGAGGGAAAGACGGACACAGAATCCGCCAAGTGTCGACGGAAGCTATACCGCGAAAGGCGTACGTTGACAGATAAAGAGCTGCGCAATTGGCAAAAACGGCCACCGAACAGGCCAAGCGACCTACCCGGCTCTCATCGGGCGATCCTTCGATCGAATTGATTTCAAGATGCCCGAGAGAAAGAGTCTAAGCTACGATCTTTTCACACTTGACCTTCTACGAAGTCCGACAGGTCTCCATGCCCTGCACCCGATGCTCGCAATGTGTAAACACGATGAAGTCGAGTATCGGCGCGGGTGAGAATCGGACAAGTGCCGTTGCTCGAAATCACCAGGGAATAAATGCGAGGGGACTCGACAAGCCTCCTATGAATGGAAGCATATCTACACCTGCTACAAGAGAAGCTGCGAGAGCATGTTTGGCTTCACCGAACTGTGTTTTCTGTGCAACGAGTGGATTTTTGGAGAGGAAGCTTGGGAAGCCCAATGTGGCGGGCACCTGGCCCTGTTACATGAGTTCTCAATGTTCTGTGACCCTCTCACACACGGCGGAGTTCTCGCCACAGCCGGGTACTGTCCTTTCTGTCTGACAGATAAGAAGTCACCAGCGTCCGTACGCATGAAGCAGTTCCTCAATCATGGGAGTTGGCTCGACCACATCCGCAGGCACGTCACTTGCCTAGACGAAGAGAGACTGCTGAAATGCCCACACCCGCAGCTTTACCTTCTACGCCAATTGATTCGGTCAATTAGTTACAGTTCCACCTCCAAGACTCTCATGGCATTCCTTTCGTCAGAGAGACAGGGAGGCCGGAGCGAAATAGAGGCGAAAGCGAAGATGGAACACCTGCACAGAGGAAGAGCAGTCTGAGCTCTGTCCTCAAAACCGAGGCTGACGCGGACGATGAGATGGTCAAGTGGGAATATGCCTTTATCAACAACACGGTGGAAAAGATGCACGCTCGCCGACACAGCGGTGCCAAGTCATCTTCTGGCGGCTGCACTCAACTTCACACTCTACAGCACCTCGACAGGTGATGAAGTCCCTTATCCTTACGGGACGAAGCCGTCATCAGGGTGCAGTGAAGGATTGATCGATCCCGCGATCCTCCCCCAGGTAACAGAACCAGATTTGGATGTTGTCGAGGTTGTGGACCTTATCAGCATTGACGATGCGTTCTCACCGAGATTTCCCGCCATCGGAGCGACTACCAGTACGTGCTGAATACTAACATCCACGTTGTACGCATCTTTAACCACGACATAGGTGATCCAAAAAGTCCACATTACACCAATGGAGGCACAGCTCCCGAAGCTATCCTCGATCTGATGGATACAAATGTGCAACACACTGTCCAAGAAGCCATGTGCGAAGCAGCCGGAAAGAGCACCTGTCTGTCGCTGTTGAAGAATCAAATTACGATCGCCCTCTTCCTCTCCTCTCCTCTCCTCACCCCCACCCCCACCACCCCGGGTCTGAATCCCGACGACGACTAGTTTGAGGTTGAAAGACTGATCGAGAGAAGACGTATTGGCCGGAGTGTCCAGTACTTGGGTCAGATGTGGCGGTTATCCAGACAGCAAGAACACTTGGGGGGAGGAGGCGGGTATCCATCCTGGCATTGCTGCGGCTGACGAGGCTGAAACTTGTGACGAGGCTGAAACTTGTGATAGGGCTGAGCTTGCGACGAGGCTGAAACTTGTGACGAGGCTGAAATTGATGAGGCTGGCCTTGATGCTGACACTTGTGATGAGCTGAGATGGCAATGTGGCAATTCTGACAGCGAGAGCCGGGAACCGAGAATGGCCGGCTTTCAAATGATCATTGCTCTTCACCTGAGCTCCTGTTGCGGGAGCGACGAGCAAGCAACAAGTTCCGCTGTTGTACCAATGTCGATGTGAAAGCTCCTCGGGCTTGCATTGCATGGACATCACGGGCGCAGTGGGACGTGGAGTTTGATGGGTGCGGATCAGAGCAGGAAGAGAGTCATCAGCTTGACCAAGATCTAACACTAGGGCGGAATGTCTTTGATCATTTGAGCTCGCTCGGTGTATCTAATTCGCCTTCAATGACCCGCGAACCACGGCACAGGGGTCTACAGTGGCATCTTCCTCGATCTTCACGCCAGGATACATCACAGCTTTGGCGCCGACGACCACTTCCGCAGCCAGGTATACACATCATTGGCGATCCAGTACCACTTTGTTCCTTTTCGATGAACAGGGTCTTTGCAGTGGTCAGTCGTCAAGATGGTGACGCCCGGACCGACAACTGTGCGGGGACCCTGTCTCGATCGTACCGGCATCATTGTACCGTTGAAGAGCCTGCTCACATCGTTGACGCTCATACACCAAGGTCGGATCGAGGTGATCATACTGCACCGACCTCAGAGGAGCTGATGGCAGGCCGGTTACACTATTGATTGACGGCTCAAAGGCCGCATGCTGCGGAAATTACAGGATTTGAGCTGAAGGCTGAGCTTGGTAAGAAGACGGGAGATGCGGAGGGTAAGAATTGCCTCGAGTTGGCGGCCTGGGCATATCTCGTGAGTTTGACCCAGGTGGTGGTTCCGATCTACTGATCTCGCAATAAGAGGGAGGATTTTCTGAGCACCAAGAATTCTGACTCTGTTGTGACGGCCATTGTGGTTGACCAGGGCAGGGTGGTCGGTTCGGTGGCTCGCCCTGATGGGAGCTGTTACCGTACGGTGGTTGGCGCAGTCCGCTGTTGTCGTCGATCGGCACAGGCAGTGCTTGGCCGCCGATATGGTGAACACTTTGGCGATTTGGACAGGAGATCTCCAACTGCGGTCGTTTCCGTTTCTGCCCGGGCTCGTCCCTGATCGGGCGGTTGACGGTAGGTGTGGCCGTTAATCTGTGAACGACGCTCGGTGTCCCTCCGCGAGTGGTCTTGTGGGAATGACAGCCGGCGAGAGAGAGAGAGAGGTGCTGCTTTCTGCGACGACATGGTTAGTGGGGACATGACTGGCACACGACTGGTTCACCTACCGTTGCTGGAGGTGCAGTTGGCTGCGAGGAATCGTCGTGGAGCAGTGTCTGGGCTTGAAGGTCCGACAAACGATCCGTTTTGATTCATGAGCAGCTGACTTCCCTCAGCGACACCGAACACTATGAGTGTTTGTGGACAAATCTCCATCCTCCTCTTTACCAGCCACCTCTTGAACAGAACAGCAGAGACGGGGTAAGATCAAGACAGGAGGCTTTGGTGAAAACGGGCGCCGAAAAAGCCTGCCGCTTCTGTTTGGGACAGCGTCAGTAAGGTCTTCGCAACGAGAGGGATGCAAGGGGACACGTACGGCAAGCACCTGGCGTAGACTTCAGCCTCGTGTGATGGTGGGTCACATCAAGGATAACGTTTCGCAGCACATGGCCACTAGGAGACCCAGGAGGAATTTCTCTGATTGCTGCAAGAGCATTCATCGCGGCAGTTCCAGTTGGAAAGCCATAGGGGCCAGTTGACCGGCGCGAAATGGCAACCATTCGGCAGCGATGGTCAACGGCGCATTGCATCGCATTGAGATATGTGCACCTCAGCTGACAGGCACGAAATGGCACTCGTTCTGCAGCCATGTTCGACGTTCGAAGAGCACATTCACCAGAGGCTGCTTGGGATGACATATCTGGCACGCATGAAGACGGCGGAGTAAGAGGAGGGGGTTTTCATGGGCGCTTCTAGATAATCTGTCCGACCTGAGGAGAGTGTTGGGCGGCCAGGATATTTATTCAAGATGAGGCTCACCAGGCTCAGACGCAGATCCATCCGTTGGGTGAATCAAATGAGAAGGTCGCCGAAGATTTCTGTGAGGGTGAAAAGCGGATTCAGAGTGAAGAAGAGTGAAGATGAAAAGACCATCAAGCTGTGAGACTGACCTGAGGAGACTGATCTTGCCTCGGTGGGCGGCTGGTTGCACGGTACTCGGGAAACTTGGCTTTCGCCTCGTTCCTTTTTGACGTGTGTCCCTAGGGATGCAATGAAATGCCCCAGGTACGGATCCACGTTAAGTTTGTTTCCCTATTCAACACGAATACGAAAAGCGCTTATTAGATAGAGGACAGAAGTCAAGTGTCATACATAGATGCTGTATTGTTCATGTATCTATCTGCCTGTCGTATACAGTTAATCTGCTTTACTCAAAGGTGATTAGAACCGGTCCTGTCCTTCCTCCTCATGCAACAACCTCCCTATGCATACTTTCTCTCCTCGCAATACTCTCTCTCCCCTTCTTGCGACCTCCGCATTCTCCTCTTCCTTTCTGAGATATATTTCATAAGACGTCTGCTGTCGACGGCATCCTTGTCGCCGCAGGTGAGTTGTCGAGGTAAAAGTCAATAACAGGCATAAAGGCCGCGTTGAAAAGAGTGAAGACAATCCAGAAGTTCCACCTCCAAATGATACCCGGAGGGTGTTCATTTGGACGATGGCGTAGTTCGTGATCGAGTCACAGTCGCCGTGGCTGCACTCTTGATCCTCGTCGCGATTGAGTTGATCTCTGTGGGGCGCAGGCGGGGATTCCCAGCCATACTCAGACCGAATGCCATGTAGTAGATGAAGAAGAATGGGATTGATGCCGTGGCAAAGCTTTTGCTACCATCGGATGCATATTTGAACAGGATGCAGATGATGAGGAAAGAGAGGCCCTGACCGGCGGTGGACATGAGCATGAGACCGCGGCGACCCTATCGCTCCACGAGAGGGATCGAAACGGAGGAAAAGACAAAGTAGGTGAAGGCGTTGATCCATGTGACCAGATGGGCGGTATGGTTGGAGAGGCCGACTTGCTCGATGAGCACGGATGGAAGGTAATAGGATATGATGTTGACACCCTCAATTTGCTGGATAAATTGGGCTGCGGCACCGAGGATGAGCCGGCGTAACAGTTTGGTGCCCTCGTGCTTTTGGGTCTTGACAAGATCTCTCCAGCGGATGGCGTGGTCGCGCTCGTGTTGAACGCTGTCCTGGATTTCTTCCATCTGCGTCAGGACGCATGTGTCTTCGATGCCCTTGTTTTCGAGGCACGAAAGGACGAGGTTGGCTTCGTCGAGCCGGTTGTGTTGCGCCAGCCATCTAGGGCTTTCAGGGAGCCACCAGACGGTTGCGTAGATGATGACAATGAAGATGAACTGCAGAGCAAGGGGAAATCTCCAGGCGAAACCGCCGTCGATGTGGGCCACGCCAAAATTGACCCAGTTGACCATGGTGAAGCCGGCCACATGGAGCGACATTTCCAACATGACCAGTTTTCCTCGCCACTGGGCGGGCGATGTTTCGATCTGCCAGACTGGGGCAGTCGCCGTGTTGATGCCATTACCGATTCCCAGGACAATCCGACCGACGAATAGTTGAACCAGGCTGAAGGTTGCAGACGTGAGGATGACTCCCACGCAGATGACCGTCGTGCCGATATAGATTGACTTCTTTCGACCGAGGCACTCTCCCATCGCGAAGGCGATGAGAGATCCAACGAAGCACCCAATAGCATAGATGGCATTGATGGCTGAGATGATGGTCGTTCGACCCCGCAAATGGAGTTTGTCGAGGAAATCATCCGAGAGTGTGGCTCTGCTGAAGACACCCTGGTCATAGCCAGACATCAACATGTCTGCACCGCACGCCACGGTGATCCACTGGGAAACTCTGTTAGCTTGGAACGTAGTTCTGGGGGACATGGGGACCAGTCTTTATTGCCGGCAAGGGAACTTACGAAGACTAGCCATCCGCCTCTGACGCCGAAGAAGGGTTTGCTGTCGGCAGACCTAGCCATAATGAAGATGCTTTGGTATGTCGCAGCGACAGGACGAAAATCGGTAGTGTATGCAGTGCTGGTTGACCAAGGTGTGTGTTGTGTCTTGGGGAAATGAACGAGTGGACCTGTTTTCCAGTAAAGATCGAGTTCCAAGCACGGGGGAGAGACCACTGTGACTCACTGGCCTGAGCAGAGCTTTTCGCCTGTCGTCAACGGGTGTTTTCGTTGATGTTCTTTGCAAGGCAAATTGACTATTGTTGGCTGATTTTGAGAATTGGCATTTGTTGGTGGTGGTGAGAACAATCCAAAACAGATGTAGAAGCTCCCCGACAATTCTCGGGTAGGCGCTGTGCAAGTCTCGAAACGATCGAGAAGGGGCGGGTTCGTGCTTGGATTTCGTGGCTCAGGCCGGCCTCGCTCACCTCCTGTCCCAACAGTCCAGAATGCAGGAAGCAGCAAATGTGACACAGAGCGATCCAATTGCGGCGCCAATGCGAGAGATTCGGTCGCCCGGCCCCGTGGAGGCAGTGAGATATCCCTCTGCTGACAGACGAAGAAAGGACAGAAAGGTCAAGAGTAAGTTCTGCAATTGTACCTCTATTTATGAGATCTAGCTCTATCTATGAGTTCTTAGCATGCTTTGGATGAGCTGCTTGCTCTCATGACTATGTATGTCGTTGGTGCCTTTTCCTTCCCGCCCACCCTTGTTTTGTTGGTCACCATACTATGAGCATGCTAACGGTTGGGTAAAACTAAGGAATCATCAAGGTGTTGAGTGATTCCCACCATTTCCTCTTCCTTTCCCTTTGGCCTTTCTACCCTGAGGTGGGGGTGGGAGGCGCGGGAGACGAACTGAGATCAGAAAGACCATCCTGATTCCTCATGCCATCCTGGTCCCTGTCCTTCTTCATTGTCCCACACCACAGTCACTTTGACTCGCCTACGCTTGGCCTGAGGCTCTTCGTCGGTGTCAGACTCTTCGCTGATGTAACACATGTTACAAGTGCATTCCACACGAGGCTCTTCATCGGTGACTGGCTCTTCTTGGGTGACTGGCCCTTCGTTGATGACAGACTCTTGGTCGGTGTCAGACTCTTCGCTGATGTAACACATGCCACAAGTGCATTCCACATGAGGCTCTTCGTTGACGACTGGCTCTTCGTGGGTGACTGGCTCTTCGTCGGTGTCAGACTCTACGTCCATGACTGGGTCTGAGTCGGTGACTGGCTCTTCGTAGATGACCGTCTCTTCGTCGGTGAAAGACTCTTCGAGGATGGGTGGCCCTTGGTAGATGACAGACTCTTCATCGGTGACAGACTCTTGCAAGATGACTGGCCCTTGGTAGGTGACAGACTCTTCGTCGGTGACAGGCTCTTCGTAGATGACTGGCCCTTCGTCGAAGACAGTGTCTTCGTCGGTGTCCGGCTCTTCTTGGGTGACGGGCGCTCCTTGGATGACAGGCTCTTGTTGGGTGATGGGGTGAGCAACAAGAAGACTACCTTCGTAGTCTGAGATCATGCGGTCATCCGCGCACGGACTGTAGGGTGAAAGCTGGAAGATGCCCACGTGCTGAGTCCCATCATCGTCGATGGCGAGTCTGACGTAGGAGTCAGGGATCATGAGTTCGTCGGGGAACCTCAGGGAGGCATCATTTGACCAGGGGGGAAGGGCGATGTTGGCCTAACTCGGTGTTAGCAAGCTTCAAGCAGGTCTGGAGATACCGTCATACCGCGTGGGCGTTGACTTCGGCAACTCTTCTGGTGGCTTCGACCAGCTGGGTGAGTACACTGTTGAGAGCATGCTGCGGAGCGCCCCCATTTGCCGGTTGCTCTCTGCGGTATCTCTCGTCCAAAACTCTTGCCATTTCTTGAATCCGGCCGCCTGGCAGGGTGTTAGCAGGCTCGACGCTGGCTGACCACAGAGAGATACCTACGGGTGAACTGGTGGTCATGAGTCCAGTTTTCCCACGCTGCCGTGAGGATGAACTGGGTCATTTCTCGGCAGTTCATGGGGATCTGGACCGTCAGCAGAAGCAGAGCACGCTCGAAGTGCGGTAGCTTACCGGCTCGCATGGGAGGTCCAAAGACTCGCAGTACGCACAACGACCGTCGGATCTGTCACAGAGGACCGCATCTTCTCCCAGTGGTTAGCAGGACGCTAGTCAGGTAGGAGCCGGGCGGTCACGGAGAAACTCACCGTATCGCCCAATGAGGACTTGATCATCAACAGCGAGGCTGCGAACACATCTCTGACAGATATCGCGGCGAAGGGCTTCGCGCGTGACACGCAGCGGTTCGGGGTGGGGATCATCCTCGCTAGAGTCGGCGGTCAGTAGGCTTGGAGCAGAGTGAGCACTTGTCAAGGCATGTACTTACGGATCCATTTCGAGAGAGGAATGGATAGCAAGAAGAGCTCTGAGAGAGGAATGGATAGAAAGGAGAGATCTGAGAGAGGAGTGGAAAAGAAAGAAGAGTTGTGAGAGAGGAATGGAAAAGAAGAAGAGTTGTGAGAGAGGAATTTATAATGAGAAGAGTTCTGAGAGAGGTTGGAAGGAAAGAAGAGTCCTGAGGGAGGCACGAACGAGGCCAGGTACGCGTGGCCAGTGAAGTAGCAGGTGCACATGTTACTGTTCTACTTGGTCTGCTCTGAGAAAGATGTCACTTTGACATGTAAATGGGCAGGTGCCCGGGTTGAGGACGGCATGCGTGGCCAGCTCAGAGCCATGTTGTGGTTTGTCTAACGTGGCACCCTCGCCCAGCTGGCAAAGTTGGCCGAATCATTCCCCCCGCGGCACACCACACAGTCCACCGGGGCGCTGGATCGATTTCGTTGGCTCATCCATACGGTTATTCCACCTCCCGGTCCTGAGCCACTCACACGCTTGTTGGGCGTTGTGTCATCATGTAGATTTGGCCGCCGACGCCCGGGCGTAGTGTAGAGGCTGCGAGACCGCCCGACTGTGGCATCGAGGCATGGGCCCTTTATCTCGTGACCCTGACGGATGATTATGTCAGCACGGATGTTTTTCTGGTGTCGTCAGCCTCCCCCCCCCTCCTAAGTGCGAATCGCATACGTTCCGCATAGGGAACGCATATGCTAACCATGCGTTTTGCATGCGAATCGCGTGGTTTTTTGGTGACGCATGCGATTCGCATGCGAGAAGCACGAGGAACGCATGCGAGAAGCATGCGCCACCAAACACTGGGGTATGGAAAACTCCACCATGCCTTCTATGTATCCTTACTGCAAGCATATCACGCGCGAGACGGTGTAAAGATACCTGACCCCAGTGGATATCGAGGGGAGTGAAGAATGGGAAGTGCAGGAGATCCTAGCAGAACGGACACGGAGGGGGGGGGGGGGGGGATGAGTACTGCGTGCGATGGGTGGTGTCTAGTGAAGCTCATGATTCTTGGGAACTTAATGTCGTGCATTATGGCTATACGGGCCGCATCCGCGGACCGCAGGCGAGCCTGCCGCTGCAGACAACGTTGTCACCACCAAGATCACCCCGAACACACCGAGAACGATGAGCCTGCGAAACGCAGGCGAAACTGAGGCGCCAGCCAACCCCCCTGGGAAAACCGCACGCAGAAACTATTCCTACTCGTCCTCGTCCTCCCCAGAAGACTCCTCCAGGGAGGACTCTTCATCGCTCCACACAGGAGCCGGGAGATTGTGCTGGATATACATTAGCATGCGCTTCGCAGGCGAGGAGAATACGTACCGCCGCAATATAGGCCTCGACACCGGTCCGGAGGACCCCAACGAGAGACCTAAGCAAGGACACCCACTCACCGCCGACCACGCCGGCACCCGCGGCCGAACCGCTGGCGGAACGCAGGCGACCACCACGCGGGGTACCACCCGCCACCTTGCGGCCGACAGTGGTGGGAGCGACATACATACGACCATCAAGGTCGTCGGCCGCGGCCTCGACCTGCGCCTTGGTGGGCGCACCCTCTTCGCCGGCGACAAGCATGCGGTTCCACACCATAAGGCGGGTGGCTGCTGTGACGAGGGTTGGATGAACCTGGCACAGATTAGCACGCGAGCCGCACGCGAAAAGGGGGCGAACCGACAGGGACACAACCGGTGGCACCACCACGTTTGCCCCTCTGGCAGTACTGGCAGTTGACCGCCACACGGCCAGTCGGCGTACGCTTTATGCACGCGACCATCGTGCCAGCCGCACCTCCGTTGGTGGTGAGGCGGCGGAGGCAACGGCAACAAGGAGCCGCCTCGGCTGCAGCTCGCTTGTGAGTCGGGGTCCCATCACCGGAAGGGCCTGGGCTGGTCAGCCGACTGCGTAACGCATGCAAAAATCTTGCGACTTACCGCGCTTCTGGCCACCACCCCCTGAAGGCGGCGGTGGCGGGGGAGGAGCACCAGTGGCAACAGAGCCGGCACCGGGAGCAACAGCAGCGGACACTACAGCTGCGGTTAGCACGCGACAAAGCTGCGAAACGCTTTCCTTACTGGTGGAAGAGACGAGGATTTGATTGTGTTTGAATTCTGTCAAAAGTCAGCAACCGCGGTTCGCACAGAAGAAGCTCACGACTCACAACGGGAGAGAACCAGCAACGCGAATACAGATGCGCTCTTGCTATACACACTGTCAGTATACGCTGATCGCATGCGCAAAGCATGAGAGTTGCCACTCACAGGTTGGTGGTGTTGTTGGTCTGGGGAGAAAAAAGAAAAGGAAAAACAAAAACAACAACAAACCTTTTGAGATGGGCATGAAATTTTTAAAAATTCCCATGCCTTGGCGAGGCAGAAATGTCATGTGCTGGTGTTGTTGTTGGGTGCGGCAGCAATTATCAGATTATATACAGCGTCAGCCTCGCGGGCTACAAGGCTGAGTTTTACATGCGCCCCGCACCACACGAATGAATATCATATGGAACTTGGCGCTGACTGAAGCTTATTACACAAGGCGGAACTATGCGGTATAGCGATATCTGTCCGTGGAGGAACGCGGTAGAACTCGAAGATATCCTCTAGACTAGTATCGATACCCTTTTGCTGGTAGAATTGCATCAACGTCCGTACCTTATCTTTGACTGATGTTGGGTTCTGAGCCTTCTATTCGAGATCATCGAAGAAGGCCTGTTTCAGAGATTCTCGTTGTAATTGAATGAGCACGTTATCATCCTCTTTCCAATCTCTCTCCAATCTTGTGGTTCCATCTTCGTCCGTGGCGTCGACGAGCTTGTGGTCAACTCTTGAACGACGGCCGGGGATGGGTCGATTTGAGCTCGAGATCGCAGATTTTCGTTGGACGCAGGGTTCCGCATCCCAGACTCATGAAGGTGATGGCCTAGCGACAACCTGTCAAATGATGAGGTGAAGGTAGCGGACATGCAGCGCGTGGAAGAAAGTGCGGTCCTGTTGTCAGCGAAGAATAACAGGCGCAGGAGAGTTGGGGTGTGTTCTGGGAGATTCCTACCTTGTTGATGATGATTGCAGAGCGAACCGGAATCGCACTTTGGCCAAGGCGAAAAACATTCGACTTATCCCGCTACTGCAGGAGAAAAGCGCGGACTTGAAGATTCCAGATACGTTGGGCCGAATTCCGCCACTCGCAGAGAATGTGCTGGTGCTGGTTTGTGGCATCTTCATCGTGGTCAAGGCATATCAGGAAGAATGAAAGCAAGAGGAGAAGACTATCACCGACGATTATGTCAGCATCCATGTTTTTCCGGCTTTCCCGGTGTCGTCAGCATCCCCCCCCCTCCTAAGTGCGTTTCGCATACGTTCCGCATTGGGAACACATGCGAAACGTATGAGCATAGCATGCGATTCGCGTGGTTTTTGGTGGCGCATGCGAATCGCATGAGATACGTATGCGAGAATCATGCGAGAAGCATGCGCCACCAAAAAAGGGGTGCGGTAGCCTTGAGGTCTTACACTAAAGTATAGAAAACTCCACCATAATTTCTACGTATCCTTACTGTAGGCTCCTTACTGCAGGCGTATCACGCGCGAGACGGTGTGAAGATACCTAACCCAGTCGATATCGAGGGGAGTGAAGAATGGGAAGTGGAGGAGATCATTCACAGCGCATTCAGAGGCGCATTGGCGCAGGGTTTTCACGCAGTAAACACGCATTCCTGTAGCGCGTTCAACTGGCGCATGTACGTGATGCCCCTCGCATCCGAGAAGCATCTTTTTCTCATGCTTCGAGTCTTGTCACTACTATACGTAAAGGGATACTTACTACTACGGAATCAATCTATCGCTGAGTACTGCCTATCTCCAGTAAGGCATTCCTGATACCAGTTCATTCACGATCCACGACTCGGGCGAAATGAGCCTCAGCGATCTTCCATTGACGGTCCCGCTTGTGCTGTCTGACAGCGACCGAATCCCTCGCAGCATCCCTCGAGACCGGACATATGTCACGACCGACGCGTACATCCGAGATTTGTTAGTCTACCATGACATGAAGCTAAGGTACCAGCCTAATGCAGTACGTGGCCGGATGGACGCCATGGGTCAGATGGCGGTCCCAACAACCTTACGAACCTTGGAACCTATCTTTTCTCTGGACAAGCCTTGACATGGACTGGCAATATATTTGTCGATCAAGATTGTTGTATCACCTGTCCTCCTGACCCAGAGTAGATCTCCCTCCCTTCTACCGGTAGAAACGCTACATCCTCCGTTCTCGCCAAGTGGATATGCCGTGGACGAACTGGACGGAGAGAAGATTGAGTCATACTGAGGCGTGCAGGCAATATCTGGAAATGTTGAAGCGACACATACGGATCAGAACTCTCCACTTCCACCTGGATTTTTAACCACCGTCACGAATGAAAACCTCAACAAACACACGCACTGGTTCCGGGCCAGTCTCAATTATCCCCGGGTCACGGATAACCTGTTCATGGATCACCTCCAGCCTCGACTCGCGCCGTCACAGGTGGAAGGAAATGAATGTACACAGTTCCAGGAGATATTGGCTTCCTACTGGACTATGGAAATGTCGTTGTTCATCGACCAAAAATTTCTCGACCGCAAAGCATACCTCAAGGACCTGAGGGCCCAAGATGAGGATCAAGGTCGTTAATCCGCTGCGAGACGCGTCACTCTTATTTCGCCTCGGCTTGCCGGCGCGCGTCAACCGTGCCTGTTCCCGTGGCCCGACAAAAGAAACCTGGCGCGCCCAACTGGTATCGAAATTTATTCACCTCTAACGCGTCTCCAATAAACTTGACGGTGCGCACGAGAGTTGCTCCGCTGTTGTTGAAGTTGTCTTGGGATGGCTATCCTCTGGTATGGTCTGATCAACACGGCCTGGCACGAACAGCAACCAGGGATCTGAAGCTCCACCCAATTCTTAAGACCTTGCCAAATAGTCTTTTCACTGGTAAAATAGACCGTCGGGGGCCGTTGTGCCGTGTGTCGCACTCCGTCTTCGCCGGCTTTGTTCTCGGTTTTATTTTCGCGTCTCTTCCTTTTCGCTTCTTCTGCCGATCTTGTCATTTCCTCTCCCTGAACTTTCTTGACAGACTGCTCGGTAGCAGTGCCTCCTGAATTGCTGGTGCCGGAGTAGGTTGAAGATGTTACCGAATGGTGCTTGTGGCTTCGGCATTGTTTCGAGATCGGGTGGTTCGGGTTGAGATGGTTGTCCCCACGTTTTAGTGTCGAGAAGAGTGTCTGATTGTGTGGCCGCAAGATGGACCTGCACCCGCAATTGTGTCCTTCTTGTATACTTCAAACAGGTCCGGGCCGGACTGCTGCGGCAGACAAGGAGGTTAATGAATCTTGCCAACACAGAACGCTACATCCGGACTATGATGAAGTTTGGAAAGGAAGTCCGAACTACATGCGGGGATTTGGCCACTTGCGCCAACGCCACGAGTGGCAAAGTGTCAGAGTCCGCCAAAGAATTGTACGAAGCTGAGAGTGTGTAATTGGCAGCAAATGCTATGCTGGGTGAGGGTAGGTCGGGACTTTTCTAGGCTCTCGCTTACCGGTCATAGGTATATGCCTTCGCATAAATGGATATGCCGTGATTGACGTGCATTTCTACCCGCAGCCAACAACAAGCTGTCACGCCTTCAACAAGCTGTCACGCCTTCAACCACCTCCCCCCTCATTTGCTTCGAAAGGGGATGCAATTCACAGACAAGGGCTGAGGCTGCAGCTATGTTGCCTACCGGTGCCCGCTCCTGCCTCTTACTCTACGATATGCTCGACCCATGCACTCTCTCAACCCTACGAGCTTCACGGGTCTTCGGAGAGGTGCAGGCCAGCGAGGTGGCAAAGGGGGGATACCAACCTGCAATTCGGTAGTCCAGGATATCGACTTGCCATTCCCTCCTCTCTTCAGTCTTCCCTCCTCTCCTCGGTCTCCCTCTCCTCGGTCTTCCTCTCCTCGGTCTCCCTCTCCTCGGTCCTCCCCTCCTCATTTCCCTCTTCTTTCGTGGAAAGAATCCATGACGAAAACCAAGTTTTTGAAACTCGTATCGGAGATCGATACTAGCATTGCCGAGCTCGCCCAAAAAACAAGAATATCTCTCATCTATCAGGAAACCCTTCGGCAGGGTTTGAGTATAACCTTCAGCTTCCAAAGGACCCTGAAGCGCAGCGTTGGAGTGCGGTTGACGGGGCAATGCCCATAAAGTACGACACAAGCACAAGAAAGGCAATTCTGTATGTTTGAAAATCCTTGACGAATACTCTCATCTACACATCCCTTTCATTCTGGCCGTTTCTCCTACAGATTGCACGAATTTCGACTACCGAATCATTATTCAAGTACGATGAATTGCGAGGTTCTCCTGCACAACAATCCGATACGGACAACAGGACCACTACTGGAGATCTAGCATTGAAAAATAACTCTGAGGAAAGCCCCGAGATCAAGAAACTCTTTAATGCTTTACAAGGTATGCCACCTTTATTTTAGATATGTGTCGGAAATAACAAGACCAGTTCCGAGACCACCCGGTGCAACAGAATTTGAAAGAACCTGGAGGTGTCAATTGAGGAACAGATGACCTTGATATATCTCTCCTGCTTCTTCGCCTTGCCCACCAATCTGCATTTTCTCGTACATGAAATGAGGGGAGACATTCATCTCACGCGTAGTCTCGAGAATGATCGATCGATGCCGTGGTCAGCTCATTAGAGTGCAGTTGTCATCTATCTGAGCCCCTGGGGGGGTAAGTAACATTTCCCTGTGAGTGCAACGCATGTCTCTGCATGTATCGGTGCTGATAATTGAGCTGTACTTCGGAGACCATGCTGCCCAATCGATGGCAGCTCCCGGAGTCCTCGTACATCCGATAGGCATATGTGAACAAGTGCCAATCTTGTCAAGTCTGGATTTGCAGGAAGTGTGCGTAGAACTGCGTGGCGTACACAGCTTCGTCCGAATGTTCTTCGTCCATTTGCATTGTCTCTTTGGACTCCAATGTTATGCGCCGCAGCGAAACGAGCAAAGCAATCAGAAGGCGGTGAAAAGCAATGGATGCAATTCGTAGTGGCATCTACCCTAAGAGGGCCAGCGGGGGCTTGGGGAGGTTCCGAGGTTGGGGAGGCTTGGGGGGGTCGGTAGGCTATCTCGGTACAATGCAAGCATTCATTTGTTTTAGCATAGCATCTCCCGAAGTGACAGAACTTTTGGTCTTATCATGAGTCCGTCCCCTGTGCCCCTTCGATCACCCGACATAATTTGCCACACGACTATCTGCACTCCTTCGATCACAGTCGAGCAGCATCATCAGAATAATCCTTACCTTTACCCCTCCACACCCGACGCACCGCATCATACTCGAAGCACCGCATCTAGTGCTTGTATTCCTGCTATTCATTACAGATTCTTGCGTCTCAGTTCAGAAACAGACAGAGTGGCACACAAGCGAAATCAACAGACCCTTGCAAGAAGCACCCTCAAATCGCCATTTTGGGCATGACAAGACAAGGAGGGACAGATTTAGAGCCAGTATTACTCTGCACGCGCACGTACACATGAGCATATCTAATTTTCAATAGAAATGGTACCCGGCAAAAGCTCAACATTGGCCTCGACCATTTCGACGGATGTCGAGTACACGCCGCCACTTACCCCATCATCGCCGAAGGCTACGACAGATTATTCCGTTTCCCTGATTCCCTTCAGGTGGCCCTCTACGATGCGCAGGGAGTTTGCATCGCGCAGGAACATAAACAGGTGGTGGATGTCGTCGGGTTGTTGGTCAAAAACTATAACTACGTACATGCACGAGTTCGCGTGGGTCGAGATGATACGATGAGCTACAGCACCTGGGCTCGGTCGTTGCTCACGCGGGATGAGCTCCACGCTGCTGTTGACGAACAAGCAGCCGAGGCCGACGAGCCGCATGGCGATGATTCGTTGATGAACGCGCTCGGGGTGCCGAACACGCTCAACAGCGTGCGAGACAATCATTGTAACAGTCATTGTAACAGTTATTGTGACAAGTCAGCAGCGTCCTCGTGTTGTAAGCTTGGGACCTTCTCCAGCCCTGTGTCTTCACATGATCCTACCATGTCGCCCCCTCTCTATCCAGCATATCCAATGCCGATGAGCGATTCCTTGAGCCCTGGTCCGATGATGCCAGGAAGTGAGCTCGCCTCGCCACACAGTCCAAGCCCGAGCCAGATGTACGCTGTTCCGGCGTACAGCAGTGGCGTTCCACAGAGCATGTAAGTATTCTATGACTGCCCACTGCAGGACTAGGTTGAGAATCTTGACATGTACTAATGGTATAAGCAGAAACGGAACACCGGTTCACTCGATATACAACGCCCCGCGGCTATCTCGAGGAGGTAGTTGCTCCTGAAGACGACCACCACCCCGTCCAGAGGGCAAACGGGTACGAGATCACTACTGCGCGCACCGCGGCACGCCGAAGGAGCACACCGAGACCAACGTTACATGAAGGCTACCATGAACACCAACACTACCGGGAACCCGTACATGGACGAAAAGATGAGCGGTAACATGCACATGGTCCTGCTTTGCTACATCTGCTACTAGTGTGACACGATGGTCATGGTGAGAGAAAGGGCACTGGACAGTGAACATCCTCGCAGGATGGTCTGGAATACTCCACAGAGGCATGGTCAGACACTGAATTAGGTGCAAAGGCTGGGAGCTACGTGGAAAGCTACCATGGCCTCAAGACGCGCTTTGACAATTCCCCAGGGTGGTTTTGCGCGGCCCATCTCCATCGTGACGCAATCAGAATGACAGAGTCGAGATCAGACGTGAAGAATGCCAGCCACGAAGAATGTCGCAATGTCGCGTCAACTGCGGTCTGGACGCTGGCCATGTTTGCGGTCATAAGCTTCGGCTACAATCGAGACGGAGCAGATGCAGGCACACATCGAACCAGAACTCACTGCCTGGGAAACGGCATCAATGGCGTCCAGTTTCAGGGACACGATTGGGGTGAAGCGTGTTTCTATCAAGCGGAGATGAATTGTGTACGATCCGCCATGACTCCTCCAGTTGGCGTTCGCGTGCTTTGCGCTTGGTTTTCTTGCCTTGTGAGTTCGCTAGACGTGCCCACGCCTCGCCTCAGTGAGCACCGTCCATCCGCTGCAATGGAACACCGCTGAAGAGTGTTGATGCTGATATTTTTGTAGGAATTGGAAAACCTTCGATGAGCCCTTTGGGGAGACCGGCCGTTTGTACAGTTTAGCGGCCCAACGACTATTCTGATCCAGCGCGGTATCGTCTGGCTCGCTTGTTTCGAGTAGCTTTCTTTGGTTTTCTCTCGAGTCGGTGAGCAAATCGACCAAAGCCTGAACAGCAATACATCAGTACACATTGCTCAACCTCGCCATTCTTCAAGCCAGCTCGGCACACGTGCCGCCAACTATACATGTTTTTCGAAAAATTGGCCCGCTAAGGCTCGTCGGAGAGCTCTGTCGGCATCCATGTTGAAGTTACAATGTTTCCACGGAGTTTCGAAAGCGGTTCTGAGATCCAAGCACCAGAGCCACGCATTTCTTCCATAGAGGCCTCGTGCAAACAGCCTATCATGTATCTTTGCAGCCTTGAGGAACCCGGTGCAATTGATCCTGCTGAACTTCCTAACTCAGGCACATCACAGGCTATCTAACAACCTCAGTGCCCGGCTTCTCACGTGTCACTTCAGCCAAGGCAAATCAAGCGACGTATCGCCAATTTTGGACAGAAAGATGGTACTGAATTCGGGCCGATCATCGTGCTGGAATCGGTTGAGAATTTCGCGGCCGAGCGGTTTGACCCACGGGTGCTGCTGATGACTGCTGGGGATGACCTCCACGGCTACGGCATTGTACTTGCTGAACAAATAAGCAGCAGACACCATGCGCTTTTTGGTGTACTCGACATCCGTCCCAACAAACGCGTCCATGGCTTGATGGTGCGGCGCCATGTCATGCAGGAGTACATGAGAGAGAAGCCATGGGTGACGGACTCCTGAAAGAAGCCCGATTGAAGATCGTCAAGCGCGAGAAGAAGAGATCAAGCAGCGACAAGCAATATCAACAGGAGATGAGGAAGAGACCTGAGGATCCGGCCATAGCCGTATACGCAGGACAGACTGGAGTGGTAGGGCGGCCTAAACCCGACCCGATATATATCGGGCTAAGGTCAAGTCGGGTCGGGTCTGGCCCATACCCCGCATTAGGACTGACCATTATCTACTTAAGGTAGATGGGGTTCTATAAAAATACAACATCTAGTATGGGATGGTATTAGATGGTGCGTATTAGCCTACTTAGTAATAGTCTAAGAGTAAGATGTAACAGCAATTGTAACAGCATCAATATTATTATGAAGTCTGCATAGAGGAGTCTTACTACCTACTGATCACTATGTGTAGTAGGTACCCTCTGGAAGTAGAAGTTCTGTTATGCCCATTCACCTTGTCATGCTCAGGCTCGTACTCTTCTTAAACTATTATCTCCTTATTTGATCCCCGTGAGATGAAAGAGGGGGTTCCCTCCTTCACCAGTACGCAAGCCACATCGAATTCGAAGAGCTAGCTGCATATCCTTAGTCTGGAGAGTGACGCGTTTGGCATGGATAGCACAGAGATTTGAATCTAGCTCATTAGTAATGTAACAAACAATGTAACCATTAGTAAGACATACCTTCGAGAACTCCAACAAGGAATGCCTCGGAAGCTTCTTGTAATACCTCAATCGCCGACGCTTGGAATCGTGCATTCAGCATATGGTCGAGGGTCAGATCCCTGACTAGTCGTCGAAAAGGTGCCTTTGGGATAAGTAGTCGGTCACTCTTTTGATATCTCCTGACTTCTCGAAGGGCACGAGCTTTGAATATCGTTAGTGTTAATGTAACAAGAGATGTATCAGTGTGGGACATAGTTCCTGGCTTCAAGCGACGCTTTTTCTTCTCCGGTTCAGAAGGTGGCCTCTTTCCTGCTAGGAGAACCACACGGGGGGTTTTAGCAGTTGCCGCTCGACTCATGACTTGACTTGCAAGGCTCTTGCCTTTGCCTCGGCCTCCGGTGGTTCGTTTTTGAGCCATGAGAGACTTCTGTATTCTTTTCTCTTTTACGGTCTTTGTTGATAATGGACTAGCAGCAGGCATTCTTAGACGAGTTAAATGTTGGTTGTTACATTGACTGTTACAGAAGGGAGGAGAAAGACTTACCTTGATATGAAGACGATGGAAAGGGTGTAAAGTTAGGAAGGTGATGAAGGAGGATAGAAGAGAACTGAGAGTTAAGTGAAGATTTAAAAATTTTCACATGTGAGGCAGAAAAATTCACTTTCACTTCACTTTCCTCTGACTGTTGCCTCACCTTGACTCTTTTCCTCAGCCAATTATAACACTTTTCTTTCCTCATCTTCTCTCTCCCTTCATCAACCCTGGTCAGTCTACTCTCTATACTGATCCTGTACCTTGTTACAAAGCCTGTGACAATTACCCTACTCAAAAAGTACCCCTATTACAATAAATTTCAAACCCTTGGGTGAGTGAGAACCTGAGAAGGTAAGTTATATAATATTCATCCTTCTCTACACCTTCTACTATTAGTGCTGACATATATCAGGCCTTATTCACTGTCTCTATCATCATGGATCCAAATAAACGTGATGGTGATTTACCCGAAATGCCAATTCTCCTGGACTCAGATACAGAGTAAGCTCCTTCTCTACCTTTCACCTTCTTTAACTGAAGAGGTACTTACTGATGTAACAGTCAATGTAACAGCGACAACGATCTGTCTGGCATGGCTCAAGAAATTCTCCCTCAGCCAACTACCGGAATCAAGACTGAGCGTATTGATGATCAGCCTGTTGCTGACGAGTCCCTTGGCAATGGTCCTACAGGAGGAATATCGACAGCTCGCGGTCTTAGACCTTGAGGATCAAGAGGAGGAGGATACAGATGATGATATGAATGATGAAGAGGAGGATCTCGTCGAGGAAGATCGTGTCAGAGGTTTAATTAGTGAGGGTGAGGATAATGATGAACGATCCGACGATGATGATGAAGAAGAACCACCTTCACTTTGATCTGGAGAACACTCAAGAAGATGATCAAAGTAACAACCAAAGTAACAGTCTAGGTGAAGACCGAAAGCAATCCCCAAAGTTTCAATATCGATCACGAGGACGACGAAGATAATGACGAAGATACCCCTTACGAGTATAACGAAGACAGTGACGAGAACGACAGTCAATGTAACAATCAAAGTAACAAACAAATCAACCGAAATATTCACAAGCAAACCAACAATACCAATACTCAACCAACAATATATCGAAGACCCTCTACTACTACCTCAAGAATTCAACCTCGCTTAGTTACTCAATCGCAGCCTAGTAGTTCTCGACAATCAGCCAGGTTAAGACAAAGCCAGCTTGATGATCTAGTTGATCACGAGATACTACCTTCGACTTCTTCAAGAACACAGCAACCCTCTCTCCTATCATACCAATCTAGACTTGACTATATTCTTGCAGGCCGGAGGACGACACAACAGCAAGGGCAGAGTATAAGGAAGGGAAAGGAAAAGGCGCGGGTAAGCTAGTTATAATAATATATCTAATCTTCTTATTGTAACCATCATTGTAGCAGTCATTCCTCGGCTAGAACCCGACCTAGAACCCGACCCGACTCGACCTAGACTGGGTCAACCCGACCCATGTTAAAGCCTAACTGGCAGAGGCCGTTGTCTTTCTGCTGACAGGCCAACAACTGCGTTATCCTCCGAACCTACAGAACTTCCATTCGAACCCCTCCACAAGATACATGATCATCCAAAAGATGTTGGCTGTATAGCCCTTGCTTGGAAGCGGCTTTCAGCTTGCCTGCAGAGAACTGGGGATTCGGTGTTGTGGGTGGATGTGATCTTCATTTCTCGAGATCAGGAGCCCGATTTGTTGGAGCACTCGTTACCTCTGCGGACAAGCCACAATTCCTATCGTCAGTGTGGACACAAATGATGCCTCTCAGCACTTTCCGAGTCGGCGGGATACCTGTTCAGCTCTTGAATGATGGCGGAGGGGAGATTTCTAGAGGTAACCCTGGGTATACGGGCGGCTCACCGCTGCCGACGTACGGGTTATTCTCGCACATGCCGCACTTGATAGGATATTGCCATATCGTTGGCTAGGGAGACATACCAGGTCTGCTTGTCAGCAGGGGATGAACGGAAAAGTAGCGGTAGTACCCTCTTCTCAAAAGTCCTTGAGACTTTGAGTCTCTGTACGTGAGCACGCATTGTGGCCCAATTCATCTACATACTCCCATGACTCGTACCTGGTTGGTTACCTACCTACCTAGGTACCTATTTAGGCTAAAAAGGTGATTCTCTCTGTATCTAAGGACAGTTACCGACCTAGGTATGGTGTGGTGTAGTGTCGTACAGTACGGTATGTATGTCACATACGTGCCCAATGTCCCATCTCCCATTCCATTCAACTCGCTGTGCTTTGAGGGATAATTAATGAATGAATGATATTCTTTACTCGATCCATACATCCACCCGTGCAGTCTGTCATCTCCTGTCCTGTCCCGTCTCTCTGCTTTGGTTCTGCTTCGCGATCCCCTCTCTGTCTGCCCTGATATCCTTTTCTTTTGCGCCTTTTCTAGGTCAATTTCTTTTTTTTTTTTTTCTTCGTCTGTGCTTGTTACTCGTCAAAGGAGAGGAAGGTTGATTCGCCATCTCATCTCGCCCGAAGCCCGATCCCGGCCGTCGCTCCGGTCACGAAGATGGTGCGAGAGGAGAGGAGGGATATTGGGTCTATCGAGGGGGCCGCGCCCCTACGCTCCCGTGCGGCCACCGGGTTGAGCTGTCAATTTGAGGTGGATTGCCGACTTCTGTGAGGTTCGGTCGGATCGACAGGAACATGGGTCAATCCTTGTCCGTTGACGGGAGTGCAGCCGTGTACCTCGTACTCTTACTCCATGCTTTTGGGAGCTTCGCATCCTCGGCGCCGTGGTGCTCGGCGTTAGTTGGAGGCATGACAGAGAGGGAGGTGAGTGCTTGATTAAGCAGCGAGGCCGATGTGAATCATCACTCTCTGGAGATTTGGTGACACACTACCTGCGTACAAAAGGGTGCTCCTGATACTGCGAGGTCGAATGGACACTGTAGAAACATATGATTTGCATAACCTTTTGTACTTCTATTCTTGTTTTGAAGAGAGTCACTCGGAGTACAATTAAATGCTAATCCCACCCGTTTCTTGTTGCCCTCACCCTTCATCAGAACTTCCTCCCCGAGTCTGCTTGACACCGCCCTCCGCCGCAATAACTTTCATGGTCATAATATTCCAGCCGGCCGATGCTCTGCTCGAGCGCCAACTGGTCCCAGCATGCTCTGTACCCGGGTACACTATGGTGAGTTCCTGATTGATCTCGTGATGCTTGATGAATGGACAGACTTCTTCTTCAAAACTTGTTCTGCCTGTCAGTCTCCCGCACTCGGCCAACCAAGCAACTGGGTCAAAGAGTTGTGACTATGCCCGACGCGTCCTTCTCACTGCAATTTCGTCCCACTGAGTCCAGGAGTGGCTGTAGATATGCCAGCTAAAACTGTTTGAAGAAGTCCTGAGAAGAGCCGATCGAGAAAGTCCTGTATTCGAAGCTCTGGGCCGACACTCTGCTTCGCTTTACATGAGATGAGAGCTGCACCTGGTAAGAATTCCGTAGGACGCGGTCAGATGGCCGGTCAGCTCGGGTGCCGGGTCGAATTTCTTTCCCATGACGAGCGTCAGATCAAGATTACTCCAATCTTTCGTCGTTTCGCGGAAGATACCAATACAGGTCTACACCATGCGCCAGGATGGCTCAGAGGAATCTTTAAGTGAGTTACTCCCGTACTCCGTTTGACAGAATACCCTTGAGTGCTGACTCTACGCGACAGGCCTCTTCTGCCGATTTCCCCCATCTCCTCTTCTACGGCCCGTCGGGCGCAGGCACAAGCCGACAGGGTGACAAGTTACACGAGATGGCGGTGCGTGGCACAAAGCCCTTCCAGCTGTACATTCGCGATTTCTTCTCACGCGCATCGTAACTCGATCGTTAACAGCTCGGTGCTTCATGTCTCGTTCGCCCCCAACGCTGAAGATCCATTCCCGGCCATTCTACCCATGATCGGGACCATGGGGTCCTACGAGTACCTGAGCGCGGGCTTCGACGAGCCCCTGGACTGCTACCTGCGCGGCTACGTCAGCTCGCGCATCATGAGGCTGGCGACGTCCTCGCCCCAGGGCCTCCCTGCCAGCATCGCCGCCACAAAGGTCGACGGACTGGTCCTGGCCCTGACCCCAAACGTCCACAGCTACAACTACCGCAGCGCGATCACAGTATGAGAATCGCCCCCTGACTGCAACCTTCTGTCTGGTAATAGCTAGACAGAAGTAGCCTCGGTGTTTCGACGCACCTCCTCGAACGATGGTTGAGCAAGCTATTATAGGATATGGCCGTGTCTCGGCCACCACGAGGATTGCCTCGCCATCGATCGCTGTGCCACGGATTTCAGAACCGCAGAGAAATATGGTTAGGGCCATCCAATCATAGGTACTCTGGCAAGCGAAAGTCTTCGTACGGTGTCGAATTGACCGCGGGAGACCGCGGTGCGTTGGATCCTTTTCAGAGTCAAGCCAAAACCCTCAGACAATTTTTGTAGCTTTACTTTGAAGACACATCCCTCGGCACCTTTTTTTGATAACCCATGAATCCAATGCGATCAACTCCGGAGTTCTGCAACCACTCCTTGCTTTGGCAAGCAAATCCGTGGAAAGTCAACACCAAGTCTTTGATGTACCGCGAAAACCTGTCTAAAAGAGCCTTCTCCTAGACCTCGTTGATGGTGCTGGGTCCAGAGATGGAGACACGGACCGCGGCATCATGGGCACTCAGTACTTCAAACTCTTCCAACCCAGCGCAGCTGCCGGGCCAGGTCTGTCCGTCTTGACAAAAGAGCGCCCGTCTACAGCGGAATTAGGAAAGGACCCTGCGGAAGGCTCAAATGGAATCGTGATCGAACCTCTACCGCTATGACCGCGGCTTTACCAATGGACAGACCCAACTGAGGAACCAAGTCACTTGCTCACTCATGACTTGGATGCATTGACGCCGGAAGCTGCAGGATTTGTCGATGAGATGAATCCCGAAACTCTCGTTGATGGCATATGCTTGGGACAAAACGCCGTCAAGTCTCGCGTTCGGGAGATCATTGTCGGAAAGAACCAAGCATATCCATTTACAGGACGATCACATCACATTGACTGACCGCCACTCTCTCAAATCGCCTCCACGATGAAGCCCTGATGTGCATGGCGGCTGCCGTCTCATAAGTCGGTGGTCCTGTCGACAATTTTTGTAGCCTTGTGCACCATTGTGTTTCAGTATTGGCCTAGCACCTTTCGACTGCTAAACAATCTTACCGACTTCGAAGGTTTTCAGGGCTGTAGAAGAGAGGCTATTCACCCGAGCCTCTCCGTGGACGGCTATACAATCGGGTTCGGCCCCATGAACAAGGAGTCCAACTGGTCACTCGACGAGGAGTCGATCGGGTACAAGGACGTGTCCATACGTGTCCATCTGGGGCTCGGTCGACAGCTGGGTGGCCCTGAACATCGTGGTGACCGACGCCGATTTTGCGGATCTTCATGTGCGACGCCAATGCCCAGTCCGTGGGCGCGCGCACACCAGTCGGGAAGATCTCGCTGCAGTACACGTAGCTGCTGGCGTTAGTCGAGGCTTAAGGGCTCTCACTTCCAATTCATCCTCATCTATAAGGGAACACTGGTGACGCGAATTTCCGTGGTGGCCAATTCGACGCTGAGGTGGCGACAAAGTGCCAGTACCGAACCTTTGCGAAACACACCATCAGATACATCCGCCGAATCTGCACGCTTGCTCTCGTCCGTACCAATGGAACAGGGCTCGCATCATGAGCGCTGGGCTTTTCAGTATTTCTGTGAAGTAGCCACTCCAGCCATGGCGGAATGGACGTTTTTGAGCAGTGCTCCGACCTTCCAGCACCAACCCAACCCAATCACGAATTACTCAGTCAGGACCACAGCCGACCTCTCAGCAACAACAAAAGCCAGTCAATCCACAACATGCCAAGCTCAATGCCTTGTTGGCTTCAGGGGAAGGACAGGATACATTTGGAAACACAGGCGATCTGCGTCTGACACCGAGGGATCTACCGGATATAGTGCGATCGCGAAAAGGGATTCGGGACGAGGAAGTCAATTTGCCAGTCTCAAGGAAGGGCACCGCAGAGACAGGGTGTTTCCGCCAGTTCCCGGGTTCTGTCTGCCCAGATTCCTGGAGGAAGAGTGCCAGCACGAAGGTGAAGAAGAAGAGGATAGTATTCATAATCCCCAAAGCCCAGGAAGCCTTCAGCATAGCGCAGTTCTTGTCAGTAACTAGAGTCCGCCTTCAAGGAAAGCACAGAACAAGGAAGACATCCGTGAAGACGTGTTCTGAATACATGTATATGCGCTTCGAATGCCGGAATGCGCCAATGCAGCTAGCTCGAGTGACGGACCTGAGGAGGTGCAGGCCGCCGCATGCCAAGGATGGTGAGTCGGGATTGAAATCAGGATGGAAAGACAAGTTGACAGCCCAACAACTGAGTCGAAAGATGGCTGCAGACTGGTCTTATTGCGGTCCGAAAACGCAGTCGGCCGCATGACGCTCTACGTCCGCATCCGCCTACCCGTGACCGCCCCCAGCAAGACGTACTCGGCCCGGAGCATGTGCGGGCTCGTGGACGAGCTCAGGGACGGGAGCTGCTGGCTGAACATGGACACAAACGGCGGCGTGTTGAAGGACATGCCCAGGACCAAATTCGTGTATACGACCAAGTCCAAGGACGACCTGCTCGCGAAGTCCGTGGAGGGCGTCAGTGACATCGTCAATGCCGACAGGAGTGAGCTCTCGTGCCTGGTCTCGTCCAGGGTCAGGGTTGACTCAAGTACGTCACCACCAACGTGAACCCGGCGGTCGTCAGCATCACGCCGTCGTGCATGTTCACGTTGACCGAGCTGTACCTCAACAACACCGTCGGCACGTAGACGATGATGATCATGACCGCGGACAAACCCACGTCCACTACCAGACCCAGCACGCTGATCACGCATATGATCCCGCTCCTAAAGATGAGCAAGCGGCTGAGCAAGGCCTGCGTCATCTGCAAGGGTACGACGCCGATACTGGCTGCGTGTATGGAGTACAACCCGAACAGACACTCGAACACGCCCATCAACGTGTGGCTGCACAACCACGTCAAGACCAACAGGAACAACGTCAAGAACAGCCTCGAGTTCACGTTCTGTGACGCGTGCAAAGTCGGAACATGATCACAACCCAGCCCGAGTGCGACAGCCACTACAAGGATGCCATCAACTACATAACCCACGCAGTGAGGGTCTCGTACCTGGGCGTGACCGAGGTGAGAAACAAGATTGGACACGGCGTCATCTTCCTGGACGGCGACGTCTCAGCACCGGCGTCACCAACGTCATCAACGTCATCAACGTCACCAAGACCGATGAGCCGTCTGGAACCTGTTCAAGAGCCAGAACAGCCCCATGGCGGCGGACGTCATGAGCAGGCCGGTGGTGTACGTGAGGATCACGCTTGATGTGTTAGGCTTTGCTTTCGGGCCCATCCTCTGGGGCCCTGGTTCCGAGCTGCTGGGCCGCAAGCTTCCCCTGGTCGTCGCCAGGGGCTCGAGATTTTCTCAAATCACCAATGACGCGGCGAGCGCTTCATGAGACATCTCCAACAGTCACACCTGATACGGCTGCGTCCACCCCCAAATCTGCCTTGCCGAGGCACTAGAGAGTCACCAATCGAGCCTCTCGAAATTGCTGGAGGATGCGGTCCTCTCTTTACCGACCGCCAACGATGCACTCCCCGATGCAAAAAATATGGCTTCGAGTTGGTACGGCGAAGCAAAAACCAGACTTTATCTCGGTAACGAGAGGTCCCGGAATCGTGTGTACGTGATGACGGCCAGAACCGTGCGCAAGGCGGCTACGATGATGATGATGATGACGGTGATGATGACGAAGATGAACGTGAGCGCCGCCAAGCGCAACTCCGATGCCTGGCATTACAAGAGATGGTTGAGAAACATACCCGGACTCTGGACAAGGACTGACAAATTCGTCTCTGAAAAGCATTCAACGATGCCGAGAGACTTTGCGCCGAACGCCCAATTTGGGCGAAGAGATTCGGTTGGTCTTTGAGCAGAATAACGACAAAGTGTCTCGAACATCTATCAGACCCACGGTGGTCGGTAATCCCAAGGTCATGCGCTACGACGACATCGTCGAGGCACAAAGGAGGCGTGAATTCTAGGGCATAGCATATAACATCCGCCAAACGGTGGTGGTAACCGTGATCCCTCAGCAGACTCTCACGCGAGAACCAATCCAATTGTTGGGGTGTGTCTTGGGAAATCATTCAACAGATTCTTCGTTGAGCGACCTCTCGTCCTCGCATCGCTTGAGCCATCTCTCGGACGTCCTGCAATTAGGATGATCGGAATCAAGCACCCGCTTGTGAATCTCCACGACATACCTCATCATCCGCAAAGCTACAGAATGCTGGCCTAAATCCCACATCACGATGGCGAGATTGTGCTGCGACGCCAGTCGATCAGGATGATTCTCCACTAGAGGCTGCCCTTGAATCTGCACCACCTCCTCCAGCACCCGCACCACATCTCGAACTTGGCCGACGTCCAGAACGTTAGGACTAACAAGCTCATAAACTTCCATCTACTGCCGATCAACGCTGGCCCTGTCGAAACAGAAGTGAAAACACAGTCGGCCGAGCGGCTGGAACAGCGTCTAATCATCCCTCATACCATGAAGCAGCTATGCACACCTCGTCAATATACTTCATACCGCGACCTGATTCTCGCATCCAAACGCATACCCCATCTCCAATTGCGTGATCAGATGAAAGTGAGGCTGCAGTGGCCGTGCGTACACTCGCCAGAGGTGGCCATCACTCCGCAACAACGCCATGACACATTACATCGCGACCCATGATACATTCCATCGTGAGACACATTTCCACGGCGAGCTACGATACATTTCCTCGCGACCCACATTCCATGGCGAGACTCATTCTATAGCGAGCCACAACACATTCCATTGCGACCCATGGTACATTCCGTGGCGAGATACAATCCATCGCGGGCCACGCAACATTCTATGACGAGCCACGACAGATTCCATCGCGAGCTACAATATATTTCATCGCGACCCATGACACATGATGTTGCCGCTCGTCCTGACGGTCGCGCGCCCACGCATGCACGAAGGGATGCATCGATACGCGACCGTCGTCCCACGTTAGTCGACACCAATGTAAAGGCCTTGAGCGTATGGACACCCTCCACGAGCCGGAACGAAGCCCGCCCATCTCCACCGACTTCCAAAAGCGAGGGAAGGCGAGATACATACCACGCTGTCAGTCCGAATTCATTCTCGTCAGTGATTGAGCCAACCGGTATGCTTTGTACTCCGTTCCATGCCGCTTCAAACAGGAGTAACGGTGGTTGACTGAGTCCGCGTATGGCCAGGGGTGGCGCAGCTCCCGTGCATCTAGCGACGACTCCATTGGATTCGCTTGTAAGATCTCCACCGACGCCTCGAACGTTGCGTACACGTCCCCATACCGCGACCGAGCCTCTGACGGCCGGAACTCGAGTCGCTTCCGTTGACGCTGATACGCTCGGGGGTAAGCGGCCTGGCTACAGTGACCTCGCTTTACATATGGTCCAGCCTGGATCAGGGCGAGAGGATGTGATTGGAGCAGGATGGCCGCTTTTCGTGTATCGTCGTCCAAGAGAGGACGATGGTTGTTAGCAACACCGGCGGCTTACAATAAGAGTTCCATCGACGGCCAAGGAGAATGTCGTCCCTTACTCGGACATGACTGATGAGGTGGTACAAGTTGGTGAGGGGGTGGTGAGTTTCACCGAGGGCGAATGGGCCATAGCACCCGTGAGCCTCGACATAGTGTATGGACCAGTCAGGGACGGTGCCAGCTCTCTCCGTGGCATAGAGGATGGCGTCCTTCGCCAATACTTGACGCTGCCGGCGGGCTCAGCCATCAGGCTGCCCAAGTCCAACCTAGGGCCTAATGAATGGGCAGCCACGGTGACCACTGGTTATACCGTGTGGAATGCCTTCTACGATTTCACGCCTCTCACCACTCCAGGACACTCGCCACGTCTGAGACCTCACCCCAGTGACCTACAGCCCCCAGGACTGCGCCACTTCTCGCTTGGACACACCCCTCTACTCGCGCCGATGGAGCCGCAAGCTGATGGATCCTACTCTCACATCCCCCATCCGCAACACTCGGGGCCAACAATATCAGATATCGTCAGTGGAGCGGAACGAAAACCACCCGTACCGCAGCTCCCAAAAATAGGTGTAGCCGAGATGATTCATCTATTAACTATCTAACGCCCCAATCGGAAGGCCTCATTAGCTACCGGACAATGCTTTCACCTCGACCACCACCTATGGAATGTTCTTCGTGATGTCGCCTCATCTGTCGGAGGCCCTTCTCAAGCCACGTATTCGGAGGTGGCGTACTCCTGGTATTCCGCATTCCGCGACATCAGTACCACCACGCCCGATGCGCCGGGTGGGAAGTAGGCCTGGTAATCGACGTCAGGATCGTCCGAATCAGGGTCCCTCCAATTCTCCATTCCGACTCCATCAATATCTGCCTCGGCGCCTCGAGAGTGCCCCGATGAGCCTCTGAACCCTCGATCTTCGCGGCCACTTCTACACTCTCGAAGAGAACCCGTTTCGGCCCCCTCATGCGCCTAATCCCTCTATGGCGCATTTGAGTTCGCTAGCTGCACATCGTGCAGGCTCAGCTGACCCCGCCCATCAGCAATGTCCCGACTAGGGTTCTAAGAATATGGGTTTCGGCTTCGGCAAGTCTCCCTGTGCCACTTACGAAGGAAAATCCGAGTAATGGGCTCCCTCTAGCGCTTGTTACAGACCTGAAAAGACCCTGCGAGATCATCATCGACAACCGCAGAATCGAACATCTTCCGGGACACCGTGGTGGTCACTCAAACTCCCACACTATATCATTGGGGCTGGGGCTGGGACTCTACATCTCTACTAGGTGGAGCAAGACATGGAGGATGGCATGCAGCGGATCTTTTGGCCCAGGCCGCAGCAAAGCTGAGTGCCGCACAGGGTGCATCCAATCACGAAAGTGCTGCACAAGGTGATCGTCAGTGTGCAGTCCGCACTGTCCAGCACCAGCAGTCACGGTTGCCAACCCTCGGCTTTGCGCTTTGTAGAGATCGACGAGCGTTTCGGCTTCCCTGACGCCAGCGGTCGGTTTGGGTCGGGAGAGCTGCCACTGAAGGTTGACGATGTCTTGGGTGGCCTTGTCCGAGTCTCGTACCGTGCGGGGGCTGTTGTGGGAGTCCGGTGAGCAGCGTCGACAAGAACACGTGAAGTAGAAGACAGACTTGAAGAATTGCTGCCGGTCGGCGTGGAGCATTGGCGAGCCCTTGTTGGCCTTCCTCCCACGTCGACGCAGAGGTCTGAAAGTCGGTGAGCGACGTCGAGGAATGCGGTCTCCGCCAAAAACAGCGTACTGAAATCGATCCAGAAAACCCCCCAGAGTCTGGCCGGAGTCAGTGGTGTCAGCTCAGAAACACAATTCTTCATGACAGCAGGGCTTCAAGAAAATACGAGGACTCTGCGAGCTTGGAGATCGGACGGGAGAGTGTGAGCTTACGCAAAAGTGGAATAATACAGTTACTACGCCGGAATGGATCCATTCGTGGAGGTGCGCGACAAAACCGCCGCCAAGTGCAACCAGCCCCAACAAAGATATTGATGCTCAAATCCTCCTGACTCTGGTGCATTATAGGATGTATACGAGACAAAAGCACCTGGCTGACATTCCGGGTTCCTGGCAGAAGCATTGATCCTCGGAACGAGAGATGGAACGGATACGACCTACAATGATCGAACGCGGTGCGCCAGCTGTAGGCTGATCTCGCGCTTGCCCTGGCCACCTAGGCCGGTGACGACCACGCGACATTGATTGAAGCGCGAACCATCCTGCACCGCGGCGTGAACACTCCGTTCCAGATCATCAAGAATGCCCTTTCATCCAGCTCAATAAAGAGTTCGATCGGTCTCCGCAGAGTGTGTTCACCAATCCATACCTACCCGACCTCATACCTAACCTATCTAGACACAAACTGGAGAAGAACAACATACACTGGGCAGTACCCCGCTCGTCGAATACCCTATTTATCGGGAGAAAGCCCACTCTCCTTAGCCATAGATGGAGGCATGAAGATGTCAAAATCGGTGGTGCTTGGTTCTTCCACACTTGGTCCATTGCCACTGGGCTGTAGGGGGAGCGTCGAGGAGATTTGAGGGCACATTGACTTGTGGCGGCCTTTGAAAGGATTCTCATGAACGCCGAATCGCCCGATGAGACAATCAGACTGAACGTCCGGGCGATGTTGGCCGTCATGAGAACATGGGTCTAGATGTTGAGGTGTACCGCCACGACTGTAGTTACGAGAAGAAAAAGACACAAGCGCGCGCTCGGTGAGGAACAAACCACGATTCCGACTTCGATGAGATCTCCAGAGTGTCAAAAACCACGCGGCCATACAAGACAGCAGCTGGGATGGCAGAAAACGATCATTACCAACAATCAAGACCCCTGTATACGAGCTGAACCAAGCGCAGAGACGCAACCACAAGTCTTTTGGCTCGATTTGTTGCCTAGCCGAGTACCAATGGCGGGATTGAACGTGGCTGGAGCCGGGCGTTGGCTACAAGGTACTCCGAACCCCAATTAATGCCATCAGGGTGACCGCAGCGCGCTGTGCTAGGTATCAAGGACAAGGTGGCACCCAGAGAAAGGTATAGTCGACGAATACCCTCACCTGACACACCAGCACATTGGTAAGTCCCAGTCTACTTTCTGACGCCATATAATCTGACGGATTGTTATCGTGTCACAGGAACCCGTCTTGTTTTCTGGGACCATAGCCGAGAACATCACCTATGGTCGACCTCATGCGACCCGAACAGAGATGACATTGGGAAGTTCTGAAAGAGGCAGTGAAGGAGGGCACAAGGAACAACCGTTTGCTTCTCGGTACCTTCACGAAGAGCAGTCGTTTTCCGGCGACCAACGACAATGAAGCAGGTTGGCACAGTCAAGATTACTTGGAGACAGAGACTTGGATGCTTTTGAGCTCAACTGGCGATGTGTTGATCCGCCTACCATACCTACGTGTCTTGGAGAAAATCTGATCAACCAGCATGGTTGGTCGACCTTTGCCACAAATCTGGTCACGCCTTCAGCTCCGTCACTCACCATCCATGCCATCTAGGACCATGGGCACCGGAGAGTATCCAGTAGCCTCATCGCTACTAGATTCGTCATCGTCTGGCATCACGACACTGATGAGGTATGTGACCTATTGTGCGGGAAGCCGGTAAAGGGTCTTCGCAGCAGTGTTTCTGGTCAGAGGTTGTATCTAACGGCCTGGATGGGGAGCAACTCAAGTCCACCTGGGTACCGCCTGGGTTCACGAAAGGAGTAGGATGTTGGCATCGAAGGTGAAGCCCCGTTTGTCATGTCACCAAGAGGCGTGGCATCCTGCCTAGTTTTTTCTATCTGTTATACGCAAACACACTCACGCCGCTGCGTCTCTTCATGCCCTTCTTTCCTCATGCTTTGTGTCTCTCCCCATCCATGACTGCAGCGCTAGCATGTTCGATGAAGGCGGTGTGTTCTCGCTCTCTTTTGACCTTGTAGAGCTCTTCTCGGTGGGTTTTGGGGTTTCTGATCTCGGTCTCGCGGGACTGCGCTCTGCGTATGCTGGGCTGTTTGCCAGTTCGACCATGGGACCTGCTAGATCCTCCGCTCTCACATTGTTGTTGTATGTCGGACCGCTCTTTGAGAAGGTTTTCGTGGAGGGAGAGTTCGATAACCTGCGCCAGCGTGGGGTTGCTGCGATTAGCGAAACTCTTCGCAGCTGTCATGGCAAGGCTACAGGAACGACGCGGCTGGATTCATCACTGAGGAGGTTGTCTTTCGATCCGTTCTCATCCCAATCCACCCTGCTCACCAAAAATGCCCTTGCTGCGAAAAGTCGTCTCCAGGCAGGCCCCAGCGTGCGCGGCCCCAGGCTTCTCTGATCTGCTTTCAACCCTGCGATGGTGTGATTTACGGTATGAGAATTCGCTGCCCTTGGGACTTCCAGAAAGGACCTGCAGGTTCCATGTTTTCGGCGACCACCCCCAGACAATTGTGCCAATCTTTGATGCCCGTGTGGTAGAAGTATCATATCTCGGCGTCCGACATCAGGAGACTTTGAAAATCATTCTCACAGGTCTCGTGCGTGGAGACACTCGAAAAAGCGACGGAAGTTAGACGGGGAGGGAGGGGCTTATCACTACTGGGTACGTACGGATGGGATCGACGGGCGAATTACAATACGAGCGTATTGAAGAGGTTTCTTCTTCCCTCAGTACGAGGTTCAAAGTCAAACTTCTTTCCCGGTAGAACCGTCTCATCCGTGAACTGCATCTCATATCTGCTCAGGATCCATTTCAGACAAAGACGGCCATAGCGGTGGCGGCGGCGGAATCATCAATCGTCAAACCCTGGGTCTATCCCATCCATCCCTCCATCCCTCGATCTATTCTTCTATCGTAAGCTCATGCCCATGCGTGTAATACCTGATAATAATACACCACACCCTCGACCGACGCCGTGCTCAATTGTAAAACTCGACACGACCATGTCAAAACTCCATTCCCCCATCACAGGGAGGCGGGGACTGGTTGACCCGTCGCGTCCACATCTGGCTGGGACGACTATTGACGGCTGCGGCTATCGTCAACGGCGCGACAGGCATTGTGCCGGGCAACAACAGCCCCGGTGGCGGAAAAGGCTACCGCGGCGCGGCCGGACTCGTCGGCGTGACCTACATCGTGGTCCTGGTGCTGTGGTACTGGAACAGAGAAAGCAGAATCGTGAAGAGGTGAAGGCGATGACGGGGTTGCCCACGGCGCCGCGGAGCATCGTCAACATTGCCGGTGCGGCGAGCTACTCAATCTATCGGAAACACAGGTCAACAACTCGTCAACATGTACATCATCAATCCTGGCGAGAGCGATGACGAATGTAGTCGCTTTCGAATTTGGGGGTGCAGTGGGACTACAACCATCTGATGCAGGCATACACATCATGACTAGTAACGTGTATCCTTACGCAATGAAATGGACTGGCTCTGCCGGTAGTGTGTGTAGTGGTGCATTGCCGACCTCGTCAATGGCCCGCATGCGATAAAGTGAGCCTCCGGCAAGAGCCGAGGACAGGCCGGATCGCTTCGCTCGAACAAAATAACAACATCGCGGCGGCATTGCTACGGTTGGGGATGAGCTGTCCGATTCAGTGGTTACGCAGAATTGCAGCTCTCACAGTCTGTCATTCGAAGGGAGTTCCTTTGCTGTGCTGTTATTTATCTTAATGACCACTCCCGCGCCACACGTTTCAGCCTCAACTCCATGGCTGCCCTTTGCGCAGCCACCACGATTTCTTGCACCGGCCACATGCGCCCTCTGGACGTGCACCCTCTGCATGATCGGCCATTCTTCACAATGCGTCTATATGATCGCAGGGTCACTCCTCCTGCAGCCGCCTTTTACTGTCCTGCCCTTACCGCGCCTACTTTCCCAACCAACTTCGCCGTTACCTCACCGTCGTTGCCACTGCCACGACCGCCCCTCTTCACCAGTTCAGTTTAATAGAGTGGCATCCCACAGCGGGCCACAACGAGCATTCGAGTTCCTTTGAGCCGTGAAAGACACGGTGTACTCGCCAGGCCGCACAGGTACTCCCACGTGGCCACCAGAGCGCGCCCGACAGTATGCAGCTGCTGAAATCCGACGATCAGGACTCGCGAGCTCTGCCTGGCTGGAGATCTTCAAGATGACATCCCTCCCTACGCCATCCTCCCGCATACTTGGGCAGACGACAGTGACCAGGTTATTCATGATGATCTACAACATAAATCGTTTATGAATAATGCTTGCTTTGCGAAGATCCGGTTCCGCGGCGGACAAGCGAAGAATGACAACCTAGAATACTTCTGGATGGACACCTGTGGTATTAATAAAGCTACAAACACGGAATACTCGGAGGCGCGGCTGGATAGTAGGAGTACACTCGAACAGCAGATCCACGAGATTACGGACATTCTCATTGCTGCCCTCCGCGCCACTCCCTTATCTCAGTTTAGTGTGGTGAACGCATAGGGTGGACCGTCGAACTACACACTAAGAAGAAGGAGGACAAGGCATACTGTTTACCCAATCAGAAGAAGTCGTGCCGCGGCTCAGAAGACTTGAGATGGAGAGAGAGATGGTATTTGTTGGTCGCCCACAAGAAATCGCTCGTATCCACGACCCGATGATGTACAAAACAAACTCATGGTGCGTGGAACCTTCATCATGGCCATGAGCACCTGTCTACGAGACAAGAACAATCCAAATGTCATTGAGACAGCCTGTCGGACTATGGATCTGATGCAAGAGAGAACGCAAGAGATGGGCGGCGGTCCGCCTCCTCTGACCAGACACCTACAATCCACGAACCTTCTGAAGATTCGTCGACCCCAGGGTCACACCACGACGACCATGAGCCAGGCTGTGCTCACTCATCCTCCCCCCAGCATCAAAACTCCTCCTACTACCCTCAAAATGTGAACCAACACAGCTGTGGTGGAGACTGCGTTACAGTGAGGTTTGATCCGTTTCGGGTGAGGGAGAGACAGACGCAGTACGACAACGCGGTCATCCCACAGGCCGATGCGCTCCATCTCGCCGGCGTCGCGGCCGGCAAGGACATCAGCTGCGACGTTTTTCGTACCAGGCGAGTGGAAAAGGTGGTAGCTCGCCTTAAAACTATTGAATCGCCGCCTGAAGGACTTCTGATCGAAAAGAAATCGAACATCTGGATCCAAATATCTCGGACTCCAGGGGCTCGGACGCCGGCTTCACAGGGACAAAGTGCTTGATGGATTAACCCTGAATCACAGGATCCGGTCGTTGCCTTTTCCAAGCACGATTCCCAGTCGAGAGTACAGCGATTTTACAGGCTGAGCGGAAGAACGAGAGCCCGACCTTCAAAGAAACCATCAAGAACCTAACCTCGAGCCCGATAGCTCGCTCAATTGAAGCCCTGCGCCGGTATACTTGTCGAACACGTCCGTCCCCTGCGCTGCGATCTGGATCGCCAATTCAATTGCAGAGCTCCTTCATCTCCATGGCGGCCGCGCGTTAGGCGTCGCCGACCCGCTCGCATCGTGATCAGGAAATGACCAACTTAGAAATAGGATGCAGCCACCGCTGACATCGGATGATTCCGTTTCCACCCTCAGATCGTAGAAATTACGCAACGGTTGGTTATTGAGTCAATTGTATCAACAATCAACGCCGCGTTGGATTTTGATGGCAACCTGGAAGAAATTGTCGGTGTTCACACCTTTGGACGACTTAGCAAAGTAGCATTCTCTTGATATGGCAGAAGTACATGCTGACCACAAAGCCAGCAACGTGGCACTTGCTCACCATGACCGTGGGTGGGTTGACGAGAGCTGGACAACTGTCACATCAAAGAGGCCCGTCGAGGTTCTCGCGCCCATTCCCAGCGCACCAGACTGGCCAGAATGACCGGCACCAGTCGTTGACCCGCAGGGCGACGGCCTGAAGGGCGCGAAGGGCAGCATATTTGGCCCTTACGACGCTCAGATATCCTTCAGTCAATTGGCTCCACAAACGCGAAGCTGACATCTGATTTGTCTCGGTAACAACTTGGACAGCTTGACTTTTGACAGCGATAAATCAAGCCCTGACGATCAATTCCTTCGTTTGATGGCGGGATTGTGTCGCCAATATCGACGGACATTGTGACAAGGCGTAATCCCTTCATGCGGGCCGATTCTGCGATAAATGTCCTTTTCGTTCTGCAGGGCTCGAACCAACACGCCACTGTAGTCGAAGTCAGGAACGCTCAAATGAACCATTTCTAAGAAGTGATAGAAAATGGCGCCACAGTAACAGCCCAACCGCTGACCTCGCGCGCTCTGACGCTAGAGTACTATCTCAAACAATGTCACTCCATCTAGATGACCTCGATGGGCACAGAAAAGAACCTCCAGGCCAGAAGCTCAGATTTTTCCCCAAAGTCCCCCGGATGTATCTGGAAGTTGAGATGGCGACCATTTCAAGTATCGCCCGTGCGCAAACCGCATTTCCGAAATTCTCCTTCACCCTGTCGAGAACCGCTTCTTTTTTTGACGCTCACTGCTCTTATCGCGTGCGCGTTGCATGTTCCTCGCTCCGAGGTGGCCTTGTGCTATCAGAGACATAACGATTGAAGGGCCCGACGCGAATGAGAAGACGCCGTGGTCCTTGGTATACTGTCTCAGTGGCGCCGCATACCACAAACTCACCCCAACCACCAGCAGATTCGAGACTAGGATAACTTACAAGGGAGAAAGAAGTTCAACGATTAAATTTTACCAGAGCTTGCCAAATGGCTTATCCTTCTGCTGCATCCCTCGGTCTGGTCCTGTAATCAATCACCTTACAGCACCCATCTCTCACCAACAATCTGTAAGTGGAATGACTGAATGATTGATTAGGTAAGGAATCACCAGTTTGTTGTTGTGCCGCAGAGTGGAAATTATTCGGCTAACCTTCCTAATAGTGCAACATAAATACTCGCTCAGCCTCACCATCTTCTTTCTCTCCTGTATCATTCCGCAACCGTGGTCTATCCACGGGGGTAGGTGAAAGAGGGTCTCCGAGGCCACAGCTTCTCGCTGTCGGGCAACTAGTGATCCTGGTGTAAGTCCGCAGGAGCGTCTGAGCCCAGGGGGCACTCTACGTTGGAGACGGTGTACACCCAAGAGCCAGGAGACACTATACATAGGGGTGGTGTACACTCAAGAGCCAAGAGACACTATACGTTAGGGGCGGTGTACACCTAAGAGCCACAACGCGAACGACCCCGAGTCGGTTCAGCGCGGCCATATCTTGGACTGCCGTTCTGGCCATTGTGTATCGATTGGTCTGTGTCTGGGAGAACAAGAAGCGGGATAAAGCGGGAACAATGGAGGCCTCTGAGCACGCCTACGAGGATGATTTGACTGACAAGAAAGTACGCGCGGTTCGGCGGAGCGAGTTGTCTGACAACACCTCGCTCCTTTGTTTATCTCCTCTTTTTCTCTCTGCCCGACAGATTTTTCGAGCGAAAGTGCTGACCAGCCAGCCTCCTGCATCGAGTCCATAAGATTCGCGTTTCCATCTATGGCAGTTTGGCTTTGACCGGTGAAGGACACATGACGCCGTCGGCACTCCTACTCGGCCTGGAGAGTGCAGACGTGGAGACGGTCGGACGCATTTGATGGTGGCGGACATTGCCAAAGCTATTGACAATCCATCGACAGTGCATAAGGCCCTTTGGCCTCTACAAACACTTATACCTGGTTAGCATGCACATGCTCACAGCGAGGAGGTGGAAACATGGGAGACATCGAGGCAGAAGGATGACTGTGCCCCGAAGCAGTCATGGCTGTCTACACAGTTTTGGCCAAAAATGGAAAATTTTCCACTGGCCAGCACGTTGTACTCATCCAAGATGGCCATTCCCAACACAGCATTGCAAAAGGTCAGATCCCTCTTCACCAAATCTACCATCTCTACGCACCACTGGCAGTTACTTCAAGGAGTCGAGACTCAAGCGCTGCTTTCCCAACAAAACATGTCTCTCATTCCAGATGATCGTTCTTTCGCAGGGACTAAGAGTGGTTCCAGAGTGATCTACGTTTACTACTGGTCACCAGAAATCGGCTCCATTACTCGCAGGATTTGGACACCGTCACAGCTTGCCGTGGTGACCTTCGGATCTCCACGGTCAGAGTGAATGCGACCGAGAGCCTTGACTTCAGAGTACTGGACTACGGTATCATCATTTGAGCAAGATGGAGGAGGTGGCGGCAGTACCCCAAACATCGTACGACCACCCGACACCGACACATGCGTATGAAGCCTGATTCGGATCACATGCGTTTTCACATTTGAGGAGCAAACCTCGACAATCCCCCCTGCGTCGTTTGTGGAGCGGCCAACCACAAGGCACAGGAATTCCGTCTGGGCTCCTCTCTCCCCGTCAAAACGACAGACGCCTTACTGTTGCTGTTGGTGTTGTTGTCTAGCATCACTGATACCATCATTCGAGTCATCCACGGGGCGAGACCAAAACCTGCAATCATCGTCCTCGATGGGTGGATCCTCCCAGCGTCGTCTGAACTTCAGCTCTTGGATCAAGGAGACCTCACAGTGTTGCACGCGCCTAGACAGGACGAGGGTCTCAGATGGAGTCTCAGTACTCGAGGCTGCCTCTAGAACGAGACAGGACTCTCTTGTCTACTTTGAAGACATCCATGCCGTTTACGGATTTCTGGACGAGAACAGTGTTCGGAGGCTGATAGCCACGCGCTGGTATGACAACGCCTTGGGATTTCAGATCGCCATCCGCCTCCGCTCGTTCGATCCTCGCATCTTTGAGAGGTGGCTGGAGAACAGGACAAAACCCCCGGGAAGCTCACTATGCCCTGTCGGCAGTGTACGAACTGCATCGAGCTGGAGTTCTCGACGACGTGAAGGCCCAAGGCATCCATCCCAATGCGGTGTACTGGCGCCATCCTGACGGCACCTTCATCGCGAGCATTCGAAGTCGGTTCGACATGGAATTCCCCATGGATTGCCTGCCTCTGGATCAGCTCGATATCCTCCCCTTGCGACATCCTCCGGCTCAACCAGAAAACGAATGAACTTCCTGCGTGACCGGCGTCGGGAGGCCCAGGCTACCCTTGCTACTACTAGCCGCATGAAGCGGGCGGACGACACAACGACAAGGATAACGACAACGGCTGCCTCTGCCACCACCACCACAGCAACGACCACCAGAACGACCACCAGAACAACGACGATAACAACGACCACCACCACTACAACCACCACTACAACCAGCACCAACACCAGAACCAATACCAGCACCAACAGCAACAACGGATACCAAAGTTCATTCGCATTCAGTCTACTCGGTCTGGCCAGATCGCAGACGCCTTCCCAGATTGGTATCTGCTCGAAAAGTCTCGAGTGGTCAAGATCAGCCAACATGAACAAATCGATCAAGCGAACCATATCAACGTACGAGCTGCAATGTGGCACCGCAAACATGTTCGGCAACAGCGCAGCAGGCTGAGTTTCATGCAGTCCTGTAATCGTGGCACGTGTCTGGCGAGAGTCAAGCCATGGTAACAGAGCTGAGGCTCGCTACCATCTCAGGCTTAGAGATTGGTTGCGTTGCAATAGCTTTTCAGAGGTTGTGTCACAGACAGATAGGTACTGTCCCAGTTGCATCGTTGGGCGGACCAAAACTGACCTTGAGCTGGTAATTGAAGTGCTTCGATTGAATGAAAGTCGGCGGGTTTGCGCCCGACATCACCACCCTGAATATGATTGTCGGAGAACGCCACCGCCATGGCTCAGCACCGCATCCTTCGTACTAGCCTAGGACCATAACGGCGCCCGCTTACCCTGGCATACTGTATTTGGGCGTTTTTTCGGTACCCAGAGGAGGCGGCTCGAGCCAGCATGCTCCCACAATCCGGACAGATATCGTCCTGGAAGGTACAAAAAAGCTAGTCTGGCCAGCACATCCAGACAAGGTATCGCAACAATTCCGGCGAGACAATGAGCTTGAAAATGCAGAAAGACATCCCCGGCCCAGCCAACTACCAGATTTCGTTCCGGGTTTGACACCCAAACACTCGCATAGATGTTAGACTCCTTAGTCCGTGTTTCAAGACGGGTCGCTGACAACCATTACGCCAACACGCTCGCCAGCGTCAACCTACCGATCAATTCCCATCTTACACACGCGACGGGATTATCTGATTCGGACATTGCAGCGACGACGATGTCTTTTGTCGTCAGTTCATTCCTACTCCGCGCATTTACTAGTTTCGACACCTGCTTCATGAGCCTGCTTGTCATCGAAGACTTCGGTTTCTCCTCGGAAATTGATGTTGCGTCACTGGTTGACCGCGGACCTTGCCATCTGCACTGGCTTGATTTGGACACTTTGCTGGTATTCGACTCAGACCGAGGCAAGTTTGGATGAGAATTTGACCGATGGGAGTCCCAGAGCCTTTGACCGACCCCCAGAACCGATGTTGGCCTGGACACGGCGGAGTAACCCAAGCAGAAGCAAGGGGGAACCGCCGCGCTCAAGTCTGGTTGCAAGCGCTTCCCTTTCAACAATTTCACATACTGTTTAACTCTCTTTTCAAAGTGCTTTTCATCTTTCGATCAGTCATGCACTTAGTATGTCATATTGTCTTCGCATTCGAGACTCGGGGAAGAACATGTCCCCCCATGGCATGTTCCGAGAGGTGTGGGATATTTCGCAAGACCTCATGACAAAATGCCTTTGACGGCTGGACGCCGATCCTGTCCAGCGTGTGCTCCAACCCCGAGTACTCGGTGAATACCTCTGACCAAACCTTCGGCAACATTGAGATGGCAACTGTCTTTTCACGACGACTGGTATTGGTCATGGTGAAAAGACACCGATAGAGGGTTGCAGCCATCTTGAACCCATCAGCGCTCACAAGGGTCCTCGCGTCGCCACTTTCAGACCAGAAAAACCGAACCGCACTCCCAGCATATCTGGCGTCGTGTGGAATGTATAGTGCGCCAGGGATGCAATCTCTCTTGCATTACCCAACCTCTTCTCGCGAGCGGAATTTCGCACGTGGCAACCTCAAATATTCATCATCTTTCCACGAAACACTCTCAGCGGCAGTGGCCATGTGCGCAGTGGGGATTGTGTCGGCTCTGATCCTGACTTTAGAGCCGATGGAAGAGGGGTTACGCTTCTGCTCGGCGCCAACTTCGACAGCATAAGATGTGGCAGCCTCAAAGTCCTTTCCAAAAAGTGGTGCTTCATCCCGAACATCATCGTTCCATGCCGACGGTCCGTGATGGAACTTTGAAAAGGAGCCTCAATGAAAGGTACTCTCGGTACTGAGAGGAAGGACTTTACTGAGCTCTCCCAAGATGGCTCCGCGACGGTGGCATATGCTTGTCCATGAATGAGGCCCATCTTCTGGGATTCCAGTGACCAGTCAACCCCATTATCTCCATCTGGAACAATGCACGGGGCGTCAACCTAGAGGTATTGTATTGTGAGCGCAAGGCAGATCAAGACGGCGCCTCGAATCGCTCTGGAGAGCCGATCAATCTCGACACCCTTTCGCATCAGCGCATGATTGTCCATGGTTGGAACCAGTCGCTGCGATGGTCCCCAGCGACAGCTCAAGGCGAGATATTCTGTTCGAGCTTTGATGTCGACCGATATGGCTCTCTACTACAAGCACTAAACAACATACCTAGGGCGACTGAATACCTACCGTTCCGGTTGAACCTACCTCGACCGCGACCGTGACCGAGACTTGGGGCGACTGGCTCTCGATTGGTCTTCCATTGGCACGTCTATCAAGCGTTTGGATAATCCCGAGTTCCGATAGACTGCAAAGTGGTCCTTTGCTGCCTGGTCAACCTGTCTCAACAAGCATTGAATGCAGCTAGCTACGGGAATGATCATGTTTGCAAGTGTTTAACAAATTTGATATGCGGCGAACATTCTGGTCCGCGAGGGCAAGACGGCTATTGGGCTGAGTCCCTTGTATTCCCGCCTTTTCATGCCCCTCACCTTGTCGTCCGGCGCCAGCACCGTGCTGAGGCAGATATCCGCCCAGCATGATACTCGGCTCTGCAGAAGAAACCGTTAATGAGGACGAACGTATGGCGGTACAACGAAGAAAACTCATTTTAATTGCTCGGTTACATTGGCCAAGCAGCATATATTTCTGACGACCCGTCTGCATCGTCGAATCCGTTCTACAATACAGTTCCACCGGGATGTTTCTGGCCATCGCTAATCGTCGCGATTTTGGCACCTGTCCTCTTGTATTTACTCTGCCGAATCAGCCCCGATCTCTTCAGCTATAGCCTCGACTCTCGCCGCAGACAAGGCCGCTGCAACCGCCCTCAAAGTCAAGGGCAATCAGGCCTTGCGCAACATGACTGGCCCTCTACTATCGACTATTACACCAAGGCGATAGAAAAGCATGACGCAGGCCCGTCGTTGTATTGCAACCAAGCGCAGGCCAACATCAAGCTTGAAGCCTACGGCTATGCCATCGCTGACGCTACCAAAGCGATCGAACTCGACATGTCGTAAGTGCACCTCCGTCCAATATGGTGCAAGGTGTACAGGGTCGGAGCGCGTTACACTAGAGTGTTTTTACATTCAGCTGGGCGTCAAATGCGAAATTCTGCCGAATCACATAGGGTTCGCTCTACTTCGACGACACAAACTGGTAACCATGAAAAAACTGTTCCTACAGGGCTATGCGCCGCAGACGTAGGCGGGTGACTGGAAGAAATACTGGCTTGCTACTGAGTCGGCCCAGAACGTCGCAGTGAACACCACCCACGACAACTCTATCCAGGGAGGTAATCACCGAGTCGATATCTGAAAATCTCCCAGAAGCCTTGTTGCAGCATATCCCATTACCTACGCCAACACTGCTGTGGTCACACGACCTTGGACGAGAACCACACGCTGCAGAAAGCGAAATTGACTAATGGCATAATCGTATGACATAACGGCCTGCCGCCCTTCTTCAACAGCAGAGTATCAGCCCAGTTACCTAACTGGAGGGTGAATGTGCGTACTATGGGATCTATAATGATAGATAACTAGCCTATACATAGAGATGTCAACACTTGAAGAAGACGTATGACCCCTCCTGCTATATACATGTGATAAGCCAGCTGCTTGGCTGGCGGCCTGACTCCTTAGTTAGTGGCCTGAGCTTAGTGTCCAGTGTCACCTGGGTGTTGGTGACGCAGAGCCTGGGTGCGCTCGGTTCGGTCGGCACTCAACAGGCAAAGAACGTCTACGGCGCGGGCAAAGTCTTCACGACCGTCTCGACGCCCAAAGTCCCCCTCGTCGAGACCTACACACCGAGCATCGTTGACAAGGTCATCGACTACTTTCAGGAAAGACTAGGTCTGATCACAGCCATAACCCAAGCTGTACTCACCGTGAGCAGCAACTATGATCACCTGTGCATTCAGCGAAAAGAAGCAGGCAAGTCCGATTGACAGTTTTTCAGATCACCAGGGCAACCTCTTTCCACAGCTCACAAATACTCCATCCTGGCGGATATGCACGATCTGCGTACCGTTTTCGAAGCGAAGCTCGTGTTTGTTTTCAGACGACCATCACTCGCCACAGGTCGTCATCACTCCACAACAACGCCATGACACATTCCATCGCAAGATACGTTCCATCGCGAGCCATGATACATTCTACCGCGAGACACATTCCATCGCGAGCCACAATACATTCCATCTTGACCCATGACACATTCCATCGTGAGAGACATTTCCACGGCGAGTTACGACTCATTCCATCGCGAGCCACGTACGACACATTCTGTAGCGAGCTATGATTCATTCCACCGCGAGATACATTCCATCGCGACCCATGATACATGATGATGCCGCTCGTCCTGACGGTCGCGCGCCCACGCATGCACGAAGGGATGCATTGATACACACACCTGACCGTCGTCCACGTTAGTCGACACCGGTGTCTTTAAAAAGCCTTGAGCGCATGGGCAGCCTCCATAAGCGAGGGAAGACGAGACACATACCATCTCTTCTCGACTCAGGTGGCTGCATCTATGTGATTCCTCTGGTCGTGAGATGTGCCTGTTCTAAACCAACAGCAACATCCACTGGACAAGTCCAAGGGCATGCTTGACAGCTACTCTCTGTTCCTGCGATTGGCGGAACTCGGTTAAAGTCCGCGCCTGGGCCTCGTCGTCCGCCTTCCACCACCGCACCTTTGCAAAATCTCCGACCGAATTGCTTCCCCTCCACATGCCCTCAAACGCCCAATAACGCCTTGTCTGCGCCCTCGAATTGTCCAGCCAACCACTATTGGTGCACCCAGACTAGGAAGCCTCATGAAGGGCCCCTCCCCCTTCCCGGTCGGATTGACTAGGAAGAGCCCTGCCGGCGGCGACCAAGCGCAGCGCACCACTGTCTTCCTGGACGCTGTCTTCCTGGACGCTATTTGGAGGGCGTTTGGTTGATTCAGAACGCGTCGTATGGTTTGACCTCGGAGGTTGCACAGAGCGCAGTTGCGTGAGCTGAGAAGGAGACAACCACATGTTGGCTGATGCTTGTAACACAGGTTACTCCTCAGGTCTTGCAGGTTGATGCTCGTGCAGCGCTCACACAATCTCCCTGCTTCCGACACTTTGTCTTTTGACCTGGGACCAAGGTCCATTGTTTTTGACTTGAATCTTCAGTTGAAAGAGAAGGAAGAGTTGCTTGGACGAACTCGTTACCATCTTATAATCGATTCTCATCTCCCCCGCCTGGCCCGTGAACTCGAGGCCCGGCATCTCTACAAAGCGACGACCTCTACACCATAAGACCTGACTGACCGGTGCGGCCGGGGTCTCGCTATACACATGGGGCTCCAAGACTCAGCGATATATCACAGTTTGCGAGCGAACACACTTCAAGTTCGGCTGGAAATGCAATGGACAACACTCCCATGCCTCAACAGATCAGTAGCAGTGCCAAAGTACCCCTCGTACCACTGCCAGGACGAGATGCCGCAACAGTACATGTCTGGGGAATATTTTCCAAGAACTCTGCCTTCCCATGCCCCGGAGATGGCGAAGAAGCTGGAAAATGTACCCGTTTTCGCATGTGACAAACATAATGTTGAAAGGCGCCTTGGCCTGGTCCTACAAAGAATTTTCCAAGGAGCTGACCAGTTGAAGACGTCTCGCGTCACTTGTGGTCTATCTCTATATACACTGCTTGCGTTTTCCAGAGGCGAACCATGTTCAAGCACGGCCACCTTACCCCAATGTCTTAGCCCAAAGGGACTGGTCACTCTTACCCACCGTCTCCGTGAGAGCTGTGAGCACCTCCACCGACACTTCAGCGGGATGATGGCCATCGTGCACATCACTCATGGCACTTGCCGGTCCGCCGGCGACATCCCCCATGCTGCGCCGCCTACTACTGATCCGGAGCGCGTCTGCGACGGTTCCCCCCGTATCTGCGCCGTGCTCGTCGCGATCGCGGATTCCAGGAACCGCGCGACCTCCCTGTCCGCGTCGGAGCATTCGGCCCGCAGGTTCGACGTGTCGATGGGACCGATAATATCCTTCTGCAGATCGAGTATCTCTTGGTTCCGACGAAGGACTCGCCTCTATACCCCTATAGCCCCGAACTGTGTCAAGTTACCGAAGATTCGGGACCAACATTGGCTGGATCAACCGGCGATGCCAAACACCAAGAGGTGTGCAGCATCCGGGAACTTTATGTTGACGGCCTCGTGCTTCTTGCTCGTATTCAGCTACCCGGTCGCCACGAACTTGATTCCCTCGTTCAAGAGGGCTCTGGACCAGGTCGAGATCGCCCCCGACGCCGTCAACCAAGCCGGCATGACTGGCGCCGCTGGCGACAAGGAGACCGGGCTCCGGCGTCTGCATTTCATCTTTGTACAAGGCCTGTGTTTGGTTAAATGGTCATCTTCACAGAATCTGGTACATTGCATTGACGCCACGAGAATGGACAATGGTGGCAGCCTGAGGGAGAGACGACGAATCATTGTTCATTGTGATCTTCTGGTGGCGTGCCAACGAATAGATCAGACGTGCGGTTCGTACGGCTAACCGCGCACCTCGAAAACTTGCGCCTGAGCAGCGCCTCGCCAACATTACACTCTCCCAACTGAAGGGGATATCAGAGCATTGCATGATATTTGTTCACCAGATCAACATCACTCGTGCCAATTGACAAGTTTCCAGACTCTGTGCTTCGGCTATCTAGCGGGTATCCCCTATCGCAACCTAGAAGAGGAGCCTCGATACCCCGTCCTAGCAGCCATTTGAACGTGGCCACTGCATCCTCGATCTGTGTGGGAAAACGAAACTGGGATGCCAGGTGGAAGTCGGTCAACAACAATTGGGCGCCGGCTGCTTTGGCCAGATGGGCAGCCATTTTCCGGTGGCTCTGCGGCGACCCGGCAAAGCAACCTCCCCCCGTGCAGGTACAGAATGACAACACCAGATGGCCGGTCCCACGGTGTCAGGACAGAGAACCTTTCTCGTAGGTCAGCAAGGCATCATATCCTGAGACCCTGGCACTGCTTTGACGCCTTGTCGTCTCTACTTCGGCTCTAGATCAATGCACGATGGAATGTGGCTCGCGATGGAATGTGCCATGGCGTTGTTGCGGAGTGATGACGACCTGTGGCGAGTGATATGAAAAATGAAGCTCACGGCACCACTAGGAGCAGCAACACGGGTCCACTGAAGAGCTCCAAAACTGTTGGTGCTCCCATTTGGAGACTGCCATCATTGGACCCCGTCATGAATCCTCTGGCGGCTCGAAGTTTCAAGATTGGCTGCCTGGCCTCCAGCTCAGCCCGTCCTCTTCCCACCCAACTGCCTTGCGCCCCGAGAACCATGCCTGAAGCATTGACGCTCGATCGAGATACATTGTCATGACCGGACATACTGGATGAGTGGCTCTTTGATGCGGGTTGGCCAGGTATCAAAATATTTTGCCACCGCAATGTCGCCAACATCCTGGTCAACACAAACACCAACTCCCCTCTCGGCCATTCAATATGCCGTCCAATACCTGAAGGTTAAGCACAGCATTTCGAGACTGAAAGCTTCCGTGCAGGCAGCGGTGGCAGGTAACATTTACAATTATTAGCCACAATGAGCGCACGCTGGGAACTTGGAGGTTTCTGCGGCAATTCGAAATCGCAGCAGAGCAACAGCGATGAAACGGACGGACGCTCAAGGCGATACCGGTGGTCCAGAAGCATTCTGTTCGACTCCCTTACAGACGGGGTCATGCATTCCCGACGGAGGGTCTGTGACGGACTCAACGATATGTATCTCATTCTTGAATCCTGGGTTGTTCCATTCTCTCATTCACAGTCCGCGTCGGGAATTTGTCAAAGTCTGTTTGGAGAAGCAAAGAGGAACATGGGTTGCAAGTCCTTGTCCTTCAAAGTCTTGCAGTCCTGCTCGTGACCTCTCTTGGTCCAGCCATCACTCCGGCAAGTCTCATGACGGAGTCAGCAGTTGAAGTGGCGAATAGAGATTGGGAGAATATTTAGTCTGAGACCTGTCAGAAAGGGCCTCTTCAAGATCGGCAACGTGGGCAGCTTCACGACCGAGACGACTCAACCCAGAAGTCTCCGCCTTCCGCACCCACAGAAGCGGCAGACAGAACCTGTTTCTTCAACGGCGACCATGGCAGTGCGTATTTCCCGATGATGTTGAGCGACCGCTTGAACAACATCGATCTACCTTGCTGCAGTATCAGAAGAGGGAGCACTTGCTACATTTTCGCAACGACTTTCTCCGTCCACTACACCCATGATACCTCCGTTCTCCATTGACTTCGGCAAAGTACCGCTGGACTCGGTAGTTCAAATGAAGTGGATCAGTGAGAGGGACCGGAAGATCTGCTTGTCAAGGAGTCAGAGACCGACGGAAAGGCAGCGAATATGAACCGGCAGACGTTACATTTACACCACTGCAATCTTCCAAGCTAATCCTCATGGTCATGTCCGGGAAACCATGCTGCATCGCTTACAAGACTGCCATGGCCTCGCCGAGCTTCACCTGGTGCCAATGGCATGTTTCTACTCCCGGCTCTGCAGATAAAGACTATTCTGGACCAGATTACGAAGGCAGATGTCAGGCCAGCATTACTTCATCTCTCAACTGATTTGACTCATGCCTTCCAATTAACCATTCAGAGATGTCTTACCCTATCCAAGGCAAGACGCGACCTTGCGTTCAGAACATTGATGTGGGTGTCCCACGCTAAGAGACCGATGACTGTGCGGGAGTTACAGTATGCTGTGGCATTACGGCCCGGGGACCGTGATCTCGAAAGGGACAATCTCTCCTCTGTGAAGATGCTTATCGACTGCTGCTGCGGGCTAGTCAAGGTGGACTATGAGAGTTCAATTATACGGTTGGTGCATCACTCACTTGAGGAATATCTTCGTGAGCACGACCACGGTCTCATCACTGATGCTAACCTCGTCATTACCAAGATCTATCTCCATTGCGGATTGTTGACCATCATTTCGTCCAAGCATGATGAGACTCGCCTGTTGCACACCCCAGCCTCTGCGTGGCTTCTCCTCATCCTCAGACGCCCCTCCGACAGACTGCGTGTCAGCATCAACTCTGACCAGTTGAGTTGACATTTTTCGATCCTAAAATTCCTCGACGAGACTCAAGATACTGGGCGAAACACCTTGGACGAGATCAACTTTCAAAACAAACGACCCTGTCACGATCCATGGATGAGGTTCGGCGTAATAGTGACACTCTGAGCGCAGCCAAGGATCTACGCACTCAAGGAGGGTCTGATCAACGCCCTCGCTCGACCCTCCACAGCGTGGATGTAGAGAACGTACAAGCCTGGGTAGGACATATGAATTGGCCCTTGGTTACCGTGGCTTGCCAGGTCGAAAGTGATGGCAGCCTCTTGTTCAATGGAAGCATCGACAGGCGGGCGGAATGTCTCACTCTTCTTCGTCGCGGCGAACATGGAGTCCCAAGACCAATCGTCGGCGCCGTCCATATCAGCCAGCGCACGGGACGGGTCGTTTGACCATGTCCACGCCATATATTGAACGCGGAACGAGCGAGTTTGCTGCTCTGGCCGGTGCCAACAAAGCCGAGGACGCAGCTGGAGCAGAGGAAGAAGACGCCTCTTTCGGCCTGAAAGATAGCCGCCCAGAGGTGTCTACGGACCAGGGACCGGGCACGAACAGCCCGCGCGAGCCCGATGATAGTTCCTCGCTCATGTCGACTGCGACAACAGGAATACGGTTAACGGCCAGCATGGAGGCGACGGCCTATACTGCGGAATGTCCTGCCAGTCCGCAGCATACTTCGGAAGATGTTGTCCACGAATCTTCCTGGACAGTGAAACATTAGTCTCTTCCCACTTACCAATATTCCCATTCATCTCTTCTCTCTTCCTCGCCCCTCGTCGCGCCCTACGCAAGAAAGGCACCTTCGCGCGGTGCAGGGCATAAGTGCCCAGCCTAGCTGGGGAAACCAAGACCTCTCTACCGTTACGAGACGCGACATCGTGGCGAACTCGCCTGAAAAGGTAGAGTTTCTACGACTGATAGAAGAACCACCAGAAGACGATGATGCCGAGGAAGATCTGTACACTCTCATTTCAGATGCTTGCATTGCAATGTTACGGGCTCACCATTCGCTCTCGATCGATCCACGTCAATTTTCTCTTCAACAATTCTACGTGTCCGAGACACTTTACTTTATGTTGGCGGAAGATGCGGGCAGCCTCACATACTTAAAGGCATCACCTACTGAAGCACGCCCTCTATAACAATCAACTAGACAAACTCCTCCAGCCCCGACAAACCCGGCGCCTGACCCGCAAACTGAACGCAGAGTTGAGCCTGATAAGAAGTCGCTCGAGGCGTCGGACCAATCTCAACAAGTACAGGTCAATCGTTTCTCTTCACTTACCGAAAGGAAGACAGTGTATTCACTCGTCACGACGGCTCTAAAGCCTACTCCGTCGATGAGTCTAGATGGCGGATCACTGGTCAAGCCGGTTTATACAAAGCGGTCAATAGATCGCGCTACGATCGATGAAGTGATTCAGAAACAGACGACAAGACTCCAAAAGTGGACGAGCGAGTCCACTAGAGTGTTTCTCCCGTTGCAGAGTCAGATACCAGCCGCCCCCTTTATTCTGCCTGAGCTCCGCCTAGCGAGCCAATGCCGGAGCCTATTCATCCAAAATTCCACCAATTCGACCGTGGTGTGCATGGGGATTTGGTCCTGAAGTGTGAATGCCAGCTACTTCTCCCCCCCCCTTCTTGGTCCAGCTTTGTTTTCTTTTTTGAAAATGAGTGCTTCTTGAAAGCTGCGAGACCACTCCAAAGGGTTTGTCGGCGCCCAACTCACGAAAACAGCAAACAGTATATGACGCAGATATCTCCCAGCTCTTTGGCTATTGTCCATCGTCGGAAAACTAAAACCTTCGGGCGTTCACCCCAGTCAGCTCCGTGTGAGATCGAAATCTAAGTTTCTCTGTCGAATTGTCTTTCCTCGCCGTCGATCGTCTGGGGGAATAATATGGAGGAATAACATATAGGGGACAAGAGAAGGCCGTGCAGATACACCAAGTGCCACGCAGTCGATGTTCTCATCTCGACGCTCGCTCGGATAGTGGATAATTTAATGTTAAAAGGCGCAGTCCAGAAAGACAAACGCATCGAGCCAAAAGTCGTTGGCCGTCTCGATCACAATTGAGTTTCAGGCCTCAGTGTCTTCTCTGAGACAGGGCGTCCCAGGTAGTCCGAGAGTCATGGCGCATTGCGCTCGGATGCCACTGCTGTTGACTACGTCGCTGGTAATGGTCTGATCGCACGCATTTGATCGTCGGAAATTGTACGACTTGCAACATTATTCTTGCCCTTGATAATGACGGTCGGAGTGCCATTCAGCTGAGATCCAAGACGGATGCAACCAAAGCAGAAGAAGTCGAGACATCTGAAGAAGTTTGAGGGAAACCAGTGCGCGCGCAAAAGGCAAAGAGCCTCTTGTCAAAGCCAATACGGTAGAGGAGATGAAAATTGCGGTTGAGTTGGGCGCGCCTGATCAAAGAACCCTTGAAGGTCCTCCGCAATCTCGAACTTGCCTTTTGCGCGGATGGATTTTGGTTTTCTGTGATCAGGAGGCTCCGAAAGGAGAATGCCGTCGAAAGTGTCGGCACTGTGGTTGATCAACGTTGCGTACCTACGTGCCTTACCAAGACCTGGAGAACAAGGTGCTGATGGATGGCCTGCTGGACACCGCTGAGTTCGGAGGACATGGGCTTGACCGTGGTGGTGCTGGTTGGGGCCAAATGGGTTCAAGTACAGGCTTGTCGACTTTTCGGGAACATGCTTGTTGTGACCAGGTGGCGGGCGACATCTTTGGGCTCATTTGCAGTTTCAACGGCGATTTCAACAGCGTTTTCGACTCGAATCCTCGCTGCAACCCGACATTAGTGCGGTCTTTGATCTGAGCAACGACAAAGTCACGCTTCAGTGGCAAGATCTTCAGCTTCATTTGCCAGAGCCTTGAGATTTCTTGTACGCGTGTGGGTTCTTACAGAGGTGATAGAACAGCGCCCTGATACATCCGGTGATACTCTTCCTACGACCGAGCAAAGAGAAGAAGGATCCTGAGAAAGATCCCAAGAAGCCTTGTCTTCGTGCATGTGTTTCTTCGCCAAGCCGTTCTGCTCGGCAGACCTTTCCGCTCCTGGTCACCTGCAAGGTCATTTCTGACAGGTTGCCGAGAATATCGTTGTTTACGGTCTTTGGTCTTTTGCTACCTGGCATCGCTCTTGCAGAAGAGTGAAGGCTGCGCATAAAGCGATTTGGAGGAGGCCGACCCCCTGGTGGAGGTAACCCCTGTCACGAACACCCACGTGACACTGGACACTCGGCTAAGGCCACCAACTAAGGAGTCAGGCCGCCAGCCAAGTAGCTGGCGTACCGCATGTATATAGCAAGAGGGGTCATACCTGTCAACCTTGAAGCCTTCTTCAAGCGTTGACATCTCTATCTATAGGCTAGTTATCTATCATTATTGATCCCATAGTACACACATTCACCCTCCAGTTAGATAACGGGTCGGATAACCCCGTCATGACGCCGCCCGCTCTATCGCACTTCTGCCGATCTTCACTACGGCTCTCGCCAATGCAGATCGTCGGTTGTGCCTTTGAACCTGACACTCTCCTGTTAATCACCTTTACGGCGCCATCTCATTGCAGGCACCCCCTGCACCCAATCCCCCCTGTCCCCCGCCCCACTCAACCACCTCATTGTTGAGCCTTTGTTGCACTTTCCGGTTGCAACCAGCCCGTCTCCAACCCTACACGACATCCAGAACCTTGGCCACCTGCGACGTCAAGAGGCAACTGGAAATCCATCCAGTACGGAAATACACGAGTCCGCTCGAGGTCCCAAGTGGACATTCGATGACGATTGTCAGCCCCTGAAGCGTTGCCGCTCGACACGCCACCACCCAATAGAGCTAGCGCAACACCTTGAGGGCCTGGATCCGACTATATTTTGTCCAGCAGCGCACATCTAAACACGGACTCAACCAGGAGACGTTGTGTTGTCTTCCCAGTACCAAAAGGATAACAACAAGACCAACACCGCCCGGGCTGGTCCAGAGGTTTTCTCTGCTCGTGCTTCTGCTCCTGATCGTCTACTACCACCACTGTTCAGCACGCGCAGCCTGGCTTCTCGCGGTCGTACGGATCTATTCCACCGAGCCTGTACGCCGAGAGCTTTCTCACCGGGACTGCCATGTGGCCCTCCTCGACTCTCCGGGGTCGAGCTCCGCTCCAACACGTCTGGGACTGACGATGGCAGGTCTCACGTTCAGCAGCGGAACCCCTCGTACCATGTCTACTTATCTAGGCGCCGATGTACCCCCTGTACAGCCATTGCCACGACAATACCAATCTTTCACTCCAACAGTACATTGACAGCTATGTATAATACCACCACCTCAACAGCAACAGTAACAGCAGCAGTAATAACAACGACCACCACCACCACAACCACAACGACTACCACTACTACCACAACACCAACGCCAACACCAACAGTAACAACCGCGCGCCAGTGTATGTTGGAGAGATCCAAGTACCAGCCTGTCTTGCGACCGTTGTAAAAGGCGAAACTGAGCCAGCGCAACTTTGTCTGCGGGCGGAGGTCGGCTTCTTGCTTCTCCTTCGTGGCCTAGCTACTCGGTCGGTGTAGACCAAGTGGCGAACCTCGCGTCGAGCGGAGTTGGCTGGTGGCAGTCGCCAAGATCTGAGTCTCCCTGCCTGATTGTATTTAAAGAGCTGCCTTCTGACGAAGTACTTAATCTTTCCAGTCCCGGCTTGAGACCTGCGAGCCAAGTGAGCAAGCAGACGAACTAGGTTGTTCCTGTCGCTTAAGTCGACGTCAGGGTGGATTGTTTCCTGGCACAACGACTTAGGTTCGAGGTGTTTGAGATTCAGAGAGCATCATCATCATCTTGACCGATGGGTCAGTAGGACATGTGGGCAGCAATGAAGTCGAAGTTTTACCATTTATTGATCGTGGGAGAACATCCGCGCCAACGCCGACTGTGATGTCCTTGACACCAACCACAACACCAACCACAACACCAACCACAACACCAACAGCAACAACACCGAATGATCGAGGCCTCCTGTAACCAGGTACCGGCCGGAATTGTGCCACGAAACTGACAGCACGCCAGCCCTGTGCCCGTCTACTCCCCCTCCACAAATTATGATGGGAGACGCCCTGCGCGGCGAGAAGCATGGCCGCAGATCCCATACTCGAACTTGGCCGTCCTGTGAGGCGGTGGCGAAAATCCATGGGTAGCAAGGATGGACTGCGATGTCGTTGATGTTTGCATTGACATGCTGGATCTGAAAAGGAACATATCAATATCGACACAGAAATGTGGATAGTCGCATGTCCATGCCCACCTCATAGGATATCATATCTTAGGTCTCTTTCACGCGATATGGTAAGTTCTGACGAATAGATTAGTCGATTTCGAGGATGATCCAAGCACGGCTTTGCAAAGAACCAACATATTGGTCGGTCCTTTTGTTGGGTGAAGCCAGAGGAAGCTCTGGTGGAGGCTCGCAGTGGTTCTGACGTGCAAATCGATCGTCCCCCCCTAAGTCCACCCCATCTCCACCCGTGCCGACTGAGAGATTGGGCCACGGGATAGCCATAGGCACTATCTAGAGACGCGATCAGCACACCGGAAATCCGTGGGGAGTGTCAGCTCCAGGCCAAAGTCGGGGGTACTGTACCAACAGCAACAGCAACAACGATAACGACAGTAACAGCAACAGTAACAACACTAACAACACTAACAACAACAACAGCAATAACAGCAACACCGCCCGGGCTGGGCCTGGTTCTTTCTCTACTGCTGCCACTGCTGCAATCACGACCACCACGACCACCACAAAAACCACTGGGAAGGTGGCAGGGTCGCCTGCGAAAAAGTGTCCAGCTCATCTTCTCTTGCACAATCGAGAGCGACAATACGTCAGTGACGGTCAACGATCATTTGAGCTTTTCTTAACCCGTCGACATGCTTACCACTCAAATTGCCAACGTCGTCACGTTCTTCTATCCGCTCGGGTTTAATAACGCGTCAAGACTCAAGTCAAGTCCCCGTTCATTGCTTGGCCACTTTTCCTTTTTAACTCGCGTTTGTCGCTTCTCCTCTAGTTTGATTCCTCCACAAATGCAGGAAATGGCCACTTCCGCCGCCGATACCGTTCGAACCATTGGAAATTCAGCCGCCGAGTGTGCGTGGAGCCCGTTCCTCGTCGCATCCTCTATCGCATTCCCTACACCGCCCCCCCCCCCCCCCCCCCCCCCCCGGGGGGCCGAAATTCGCACAAAGAGAATGCATCTGCCTTTGAAGATGAAAAAACTGTTGGGGACTCGGATGACGATGCCCCAAAGGAAATGGTTCTTGCGCAGCCGCAACAGGGACGGACCCTTCTGCCTGCGCCCACGGCCACGATTGTCAGTGGCGTTACCGGCCTGACTTCGTTCTCGTTCCTTGAAGATCAGGTCACCCCAGCCGTATGTCTGACTTAAAATCTACCCCCGTAGAAACAAGAGGATGTCCTCCTTCTCGGTAGTGGGCACCTCCGTCATGTTCTGTTCACAATTCATACGAATGGTCGGTTTCATACTTTCTACCATACATCGGCAAGATATGTCTCGCTCGTCATTGACGACTTCGAAGGCACAGGGAATACTCTGATTTAGAATACCTACCATCACTCCCGGATCGACGAAATTCCACTTTAACTGCTGCAGAATCAGGTACGGAAGCTGTACGCTCTAGCTGTTTCTCTCGGAACCTGGTACAAGAGCAAATATGGCGGCTGATCAAACTCTGTGACCACGAATGTCTCGAAAAGATCCACGAGATGTAGGAGTTCTACGGGATCGAAAGAGGGGGAAGAGAGCTCTCCCGGTTTGGATAACACCTTGACGCCTGCGTCCGGAAATCAAACCAACACAAGACCCGGCTAGGAAAGGGTATAAATCTCACAGGGTTGAGATCTTCGTGTCCTGCGTCTCTGCGCTCAATTGCCGAGCTGGACACCATGCACAAGCCCTACTGGCAGTATGGCTCTACCGATCTCAGTCGTTCAACTCGGTCGCTCGCCACCCATGCCAACCTAATGTTCGTTTCTTTAGTAGACAACGTTATCATGCATTATGTGACCGATCCGCTACTGGGCTTCCTCTTAGCCACTACCCACGTGCCCACACCACCACCATTGCCCTTGTTTCTATCTCGGGCAGGTTCAAGTCCTCAAGAGCACGCGGACGAGGCGGCGGTTCAAAGCCCGAGCTACCACAGCGCCCGTCACATTGTTCATTGAAAGAAGAACCAGACACTAAGAATTGGACAAGCCATCTCCCCCGCAATGACTGAGACGGTGGCCGGTAGATGCTGGTTCTGTCGGGATCTGACAACCTGTCATTCTATAGTCTCTCTGCTTCCCTCGCAAATTCATCACCTCCAATTTCGATAGACTGATATTGAGAGTCCGATGGTAGGCTGGGTACCACCCTGGGACGTCAAAGCTGGTCTCAAAATTGCTGTTTCGTCATTCGTTCACCACATAAAACGATGATGCTTCTGTTCGCGCCAACCCTTTTAGCCACTTCGGTGTATGCAGTCAACAATGGTCTGGGGGGGGGCTCTCAATTTACTTGTCGCAACCGCACCACTTCTGGCACACGATGATTCTGCCACTCTTCACACCGAAAAGCTTGTGCGGTTGAATAGTACGTACAGTAGCTTATTTGATGGCCTCCTTTGTGGCTCTTTACCAATAGCCTCGATGCTGCTCGATTTGACCCAGTGGATTCCGTGACGAATACGTCTGCGCTCTCTAACGGCGACGAGCTCCTGCTCGATGCAATGATTGAACGCTCAGGAGCGAACTCGTCCGAATCTACGCAGTTATTTGCCAGGATTGCATGGAAGCTGCCAGTATGTATGTACGACGAATCAACACAGAGGAAAGCTCAGAGCGAATACATGTCGACCCCACCGGCCTGGCAACGATCCTCTACCATGCTTGCTTAGCTTGCCTAGCAAAAGTCCTTCTATCCCCTCAAGAAACTGGACGACGAATCGACTGTCAGGACTTTGCCGAGCTTCCAGGGGAGGTTCACTGGTGTGGAAGAGCTCGATGGAGAATACAAGCTCACGTTTCGCGGAAACAGGTGAGGAAAGTCACCTCACAGGCGGCAATGTTTAAGAATGAAGATGTGACACAGATGATGTCGAACACAACAACGTTCAAACTACCAAGACCCTCACCGTCAAGTCACCAACGTGTCACCAACGTGTCAGCTTCGTTGTCTTTGTCGGTTTTGTCAGAACCAGGATGAGTGCGAACTGAGAGAAGACTGTCGAATGTCTCCTCAGTCTCATCGAAACCAACGCCAATCACTTGATGACGAAGAAGTACATTCAGAAACTGTATGTTTGGCTCCGTCTGCTCGACGTCTACTCTAGGGAGGCCCCAAGATCTCTCTTCAATTCCCTTGGTGGCGACGCTGACCAAAGACTTGCGTAATTTGAAGGACATACCTTTCGTCATCAGTGTGACGTTAAAGGTGCCCCGAGAGGCTGCCAGTTTTCACTGATGGACATGTCGCCAAGCGTGGGCCTCGACACCACCAGTGCGTTGTCTTATCCAAGGCTGCTCCGCCACACGACCATGGCAAAATGTTTTCGGAGCTACCCAAATGGCCTTCGGCGAGGTGGAGTGCCATGACACTCGATTCAGCGCTTCTTTCGAAGTGGACATCATTGATGACAAGTCTGCATGGAGCGGAAAATTGCCGTTGCTGAGGTCAGAGGCTTGGGCTGTTCCCAGGTGAAAGTCTGATCGGTGAATGACCGTTTTTGCCGGTCTTGAAGTAAATGGGGTTGGTCAGGTTGAGTTCCTGACAATGACGCCGGGTCTTAGGTGGAAGTTCTTGTTGATAATGTCGACTAGCTCGGCACTAGTTCTGGTGCTGGTGCCGTAAATCTCGATGAAGAGCGAGAGTGGCTTAGTAACACCGATGGCATATAAGAGTTGGACTAAGAGACTACGAGCGAGTCCTGCGGCGACGAGCGATTTCGCGATCCAGCGGGCCAGATAAGCGGCCGAGCGATCGATCTTGCTATAGTCCTTGCCGGAAAAGGCACCACCACCGTGAGCACCCCAGCCGCAATAAGTATCCACAATGATCTTGCGGCTGGTGAGACCAGCGTCTCCTCTCACAACAACGGACAGCTTCTGTGGAGTTCGGCATTCAAAGCACTCCCCAGGACACAGCAAAAAGGCTCATTGCTGAGGGTTCCTGCCAGCCACCGAACAAACCTCGTGATCGTGGCTTCGTTCACAACACATGGACCGCATGACAACACACCATCGGCAACACCTCTATCGGCATTGGAGGTCGTTGGAGCACTTTCCATGTGGTCTACATGTGGCCTACCACTTATCCAGCGAGTCACCTACTACGCTTTGAACACAGTCTTGGTCTTGAGCTCATTGTCTACCGAACCATCCTTTCCGATGCCGAGCATTTCTACATGCGCAAAGGTCTGCCCAACAAGTCCAGCGTTTTCTCCTTCTGTAAATCTCCGGAGCCCATGTCGGAAGAAGGGCCAGCCTTGAAGGCAAACTTGACAAACTAGCTCTTAGAGTCGTCACACTTCTACACTGCGTCGCCTCCTACCCGCATAGACTTACCTGCAAACGCGACCGTCACCGCTACCGTCGACTCGAGGACAGCCACCACACAAATCTCGCGAATGGCATTCAATCCCGCCGCGGCTACCTCTCCAGCAGCGGCCCCAGATACAAATTCGTTAGCGATCTTCTGTATCAAGGGCTCCAGAATATCCGGCGGCGAAAGATTATGCGTGGACTGCGCTAGCGATGGCCAAATACAAGCCTCGGACGAAAGCGCCATAACGAAACAACTTCGGAGTATAATAGATCAACTACGGGAATTGAGGCCCCCAGAACCGTCGTTCTATGGTAGCTTAGAACGTGGTCCAATCCCCTACTTCTTGTTCGATTCGATGGAGCCCAATCCTACAATAGACGGACCATTCGTCAACGAGCATGCCTTCATCTAAGCCCTCGTACACAATTGGAGGACTATCGATGAACTTTATTACCGAGACAATTCCAAACCAGATTTCTATGAGCAGAATCTCCTGTCCTGCTTGCGCCTTGAACGGCCAAAGCTAACTCATGGCGACATTCAGAGAAAGAATACAATGGTTCAGCAAACGGGTCTTTAGGTCGATGGGTGTGAACCCGCTTTGAGTCTCATAATCATAGATCGGGAAGACTCCGATTGGTATCCTGCCTACTGGGAAGTCTTCGTTACGTTCATATCCGTCCGCTGGGACGATGATTGGGGTTCAATGATTCACGAGGGTTGGACCGACCAGACCGACCAGACCGTTCGGATCCTGGCTTTGACGATTACGAGCGACATGCCTGGAGGTATGAACGGCTGGATGGCTCAGGCCATGGCACCCGTAACGAGCGAGGGTGCTGTCGAGAGCACGACAGGAGAACTCCATACGATCGATCTCCTGCGCATGAGAGAGATCGTCCACCCGTGCGCCCTCCCCAAATAGAACGTAAGCGGGAAGGCCATGGAGCCGCTCCAAGACGAAGACCTCCATCAGCTCTGGAATCCTCTAGACCAGAACCACAACGTCCTCAGAAGAAGGACATTGTCTCGGAGCCTCCACAGACGATAGTTAATCCACCGCGCACTTCGTTGATTGGGGACAGCAATAGTGACCGAAGATTGCTTCCAGGTCCACGACTTTCTTGTATAGTCGCGTGGACATCGTTTCCACCGATTGCAAAAATGTACTACGAGCGGGTGGACAGGTCAACTCCGTCTCAAAAACACCCTTCAACTTTGCTGTATACCTTCAACCGGGATCCGAATTCACGACGAATACATTCACGTGCTGGAGTCAGGCCTCAAGATCACAGTCGCACCGAAGTCTTCATACACCGAACTGGTTTGTCCAGTCGCCGATGGCGCCGACTGGCCCTCATTCCAATCCTTCGTGTACCCTACCCTCATCGACACGGAGATTGTCACCCTGTGAGCCGGAACGATATGTATTAGTTAACAGTGTGGTCACAAGGAAAGTGTTGGTGCTAAATCCAAATCAATCTTTCCAACACCATTCTCAACCCACCTCTTTCACAGGATACAACCATTCCGGTAACGGGACACCACCATGGCTGCGGCTCACAACTGCGAGGTTCCGGCTGGGTACAGTGTCCGTGTGCGGGTTATCGACACCACATCGCAGATTGAAACGAGGATTCGCAGGGTCAGTTTCGGCTCACAGTCGTCACAAGCAGAAAGATTCAAGAGGCTGCCGCACAAAGCAACTTGAAACGCGTCACCTTGGAGCTTGGAGGCAAGAGTCCAGCCGTGATCTTCGAGGATGCAAATCTCGAGAATACGCTCACATGGACAATAAACGCTATCTTGACGCGCAGTGGGCAGCTTTGCGTTACCGCATCGCGGGTTGGGCACTGGAGCTGCTAGTTGGGGCTGAGATCCCCCGTTCCCTCCAAGCCTGCGAATGATCGTCCCTATGTCAATATGTCTACCGTTTGACGCTGAAATGGGCATGAGCATCTCCTAGTGGTGGCGGTGACAGGAACCCACAAATCCTCGCAGGGATACAACAAAGTATGGTCCTCCCGTTTGGGGCATCAATGGACGAGATGCAGATACTGTCGACTTTTTCTTCAACAACGTGGTTGATGTTCCCAGGCGCAGTGCGGATTGTCATACGTGTTTGAAAAGAAGGGTCAAGTGCGGTACGCGAACCGTGCATATCTTATTCTTTGTGTCCTTCTCTTCGACTCGATCTATCAAACCGAACAGTCGTACTGGACACGGCGGTATTGATACTTCACGACACCCTGATGTTTCGCATCGTCTCGTTTCTGAGGGCACTGACAAACAACGCTGGCTTTGTGTCAGATCCGCGCCACGGAAGCCGAGATGCGCGTCTGGAAACAGGTACCTCCAGTGCTCGTCGAGCGTGGCAGGACGTGGTCTCACAAGACTGAATGCGAGTATCTGACCGACCTAACGACGAGTACCGCTCTCCGTCGACAAGGGACAAAAGCTATCATGTCCATGTGGTGACGGCATCATACCTCCTGGCCGTTTGACGCTAGTCTCAGATGAAAAGACTGGCCACCTGAGTCTTCCACCTTTTCACTGTTCTAATGGTACTGGAACTTGACATCGTTCAGCTTCCTCAAGTACTTATCCACCCTCTGGTCGGCACAGCGACTTCACAACGCCGCTTGGTTATCCCCCTGGATCTCCGTCGTTGGAACCTGTTTGCGTCCGGGTTCACGCTGGAACTAGCTCAAGTACTCGGTTAACGGTCAACGGCCTCTTTCGTCACATTATACCAGCGGATGTACTCCGCCTCTGTCGACACGCAATTAGCGTTCGCCAGCGTCAATAGATACCCTGACCGTTGACTTCGTTGTCCGTTATCCGCCGAGTATCTATAGCCCTCGTATTGGCCATCGATCTACCTGCCGGTAACCGGCTCGGTTTCCTCTTCCTTTGTCTAGAATATCGACAGGAGAAACTTTCAGAACTCATGAAAGACCGACCTTTTATAATCTTCTATGGTTTACTCATTGTTTTCTCACTTCCACGCGTGAGATTCTATTCTCGAACATCAACAGGACACAGTTTCAGACCAAGGAGTCGGTGGCACGAAGAGCATTGTGTCGGCGTCGGGCGGAACGATAAAGCTCCAGGAGACCTCCCACTCCATCGACCGAGGACTCGGTGGCACAAAGACCATCGGGTTGGCGCCGTTTCCATCGACCCAGGACTCGGGAGCACAAGGAGGTACTCGAGCCCCAAAGTCCATTGCTGAATTTGACACGGAGGTCAGAGAACCTTTCCCTGAGGGCTCCACAGCTTCCAGATTTACTCTCAGTTGAGATGGACCATTGCCGGAAAAAGCACAAAGCGGTTTGCAAGGCAACTCAGACCACCGCGTCTGAGTCTTGAGTCATCTACGCGAATCTGAAAGAGAACCTGGAAGCCTGAAGTTCAATCCAGGAGGAGGCAGCGGTTATACCACTCCTTTCTTGAGGACATCTACCAGACGTACCAGGATAACCTTTATCCTGTGAAAGCATCAAGGGTGGTCTTCGTTTTCCTCGTCTCGTAGGGGTTACCCCAGGTTCTGAGTCCGTCCAGAAGAGACGCCCCAACGCCTTGCTCACTGGAAGTTGCTGGAAATGACTGAGACCTGTCAGTCGTCATCGGTGCCGGATTCGTCGTCGTCATCATCAGTCGAGTCTCTTTCCGTTGGCGTTGAAGTCTCAACGGCGTTTCCGGCCCCATGGAAAGCGAAGCAGAGTGTCGGCCCAGACCTTCGAATACTAGCATCCCCAGACAAAAACAAGAATGCCAAATGCCAAACGTCAAAGGTTGTGCCGTACCCCGACACGAATCTCTTCTACAGCGCTACGACAGATCCGAGTACGAGTGCTGGCTGTTCTTGTTCCTCCGCTCGGCCTGGTCTGGACGCACTTGTTCGAGCCGTGTTGGTGATAGTTAAGCCAGAAGTATACGATCACTCTTTGGTTACAAGCTACGAGGTATCAGAAACAGACTTGGACAATACTGACCAGAGGATGAATGCATTAGGGCCAAGAGAACCCGAAGCACAACGTATCGCTATCAACTGCATCCCTCACTTCTTCAGCGCCGTCACACTGGGTCCATGCGGCGGTCAAGCAGACTGTACACAGAAAGTAGATCTGTGGAACTGTGGAATGAATGATACATCATCCTCGCTAGTAAAGCTACGCAGCTGTTGAGCTATAATTACAGACATCTTCTAAAGTCTACCTCCAGACAGATGAGCCGTCCTGGTCAGATTTGCTTGACCCCTACCTCCACTCAGGCGCACGGAAATCTTCGCCTCTGCTCTATATATGGGTTATGAGTATTGTATCAGACGGCCGAAAAGGTTCTGCGACACGGGACCCATGACAATGAATGACACGGCAATTCTGACCGCCAACTTCATGTCCCTTTGTTTCTCACGACTGACGAGGCCTTCTCAGGGCATCTTTAATTTGCCTCCGCAGGGCTGAACAAAGTCATCAGCCAAAGGTTCAAACCAACCAGGCGATCTTGACGCGGGACTGCACAGCCACACGATAAGTGGTCAACAGCAAGCCACAACGGACACTCTTGACTCGTGCTTACATCTGAGGTCAAGGGCCCTTTTTGAGAGTTGCTCCTGCTCTGGAAAAGACTCGCCCCTGCCAATCTATCATGAACAGGCTGTCCCGATTTCCTTTTCCACCTTTTCAAGGCAAACTTGGGCTCCTGTGTTATCCTGGGACTTCATTCACGATATCGTCTCACAATTGTAGGGGTTCAGACCCTAACCTGTGCCGAGCCGACCATGCCAACGGAGTAACCACTAGGTGATTGAGAGACCTCCTCCTTCTAAGCTGAACTACCTCGATCGAGGATCGAAAGACGAAAAAGACAATTCTCAGACGTCGACCACCTTACGTCGAACGTGTGGCTCAAGTCACTCGAGTGCATTCTTTCCAAATACAAGTCGGAGCCCGCGTCATCTTACGACTCTTGCTACCCGAGTCCATTCGTCTGTATTTGACCACAAACCTTCCATATCTGGTATCACAAAAGAGCAGGAAGCTGAGGTGAACCTCATGAAAGGATCGTGCTACTTATGGAGGAGAAGCACCCTCCTACGCCGCCTCAAGAAAAGGGAGTCGAAACGCTAGTCGGGATAACCCCGAGGTAGACAGGCCTAAGTCACCTTAGGCCGCTGGCACACCGAAAGAGAAAAGTAACACAGTTTCAGACCAAGGAGTCGGTGGCACGAAGAGCATTGTGTCGGCGTCGTGCGGAATATGGAGATCCGCATTGTGACGAAAACTACCAACCAGCATTCCGTGGCGTTCAACAGGCTCACTCTCAGTGGGAATTACCTTCGTTTAATTTTAGACCACTGTCCTTCGGTTCTTACTCGTCTGGGTTAAAGGAACGACCAAAGACATCTGGCGACATTCGTTCGAAAGATCACCCCGAGATCTTGTCGCCAATGCCCGAGCGGCCAATGTCATCGCAGAGTAGGAAGCGATTCAGTCGCATTCTTGAAATTTCTGATGGCTATATACCTGACCAGGGAAAACCGGCTCATGATCCATACGCTACCGAGGAAAAGCACTGGGACCTGTATGAAGGTGTCGACACCGACCTCCCCCCCTCCTCGGCTGGATGCCGTTGAAGAGCATCCGGTCTTGAAGTCCCTTGGGGCGCTGGACGCCGCCGACACCCAGACTTATTACTCGAGGCGCTGGACGCCATCGACAATTAAACCTATAGTTACTCAAGGCGCTGGACGCCGTTGAGGAGTATCCAGATTTTCAGTCCGTCGTGGCGCTGGACGTCATCGACAATCAATCTATGGTTACTCAAGGCGCTGGACGCCGTTGAAGAGCATCTGGACTTGAAGTCCTTGGGGCGCTGGACGCCACCAAACACCAACTTATAGTCACTCAAGGCGCTGGACGCCGTTGAGGAGCATCCAGACTTAGAGATACTTGAAAGAGTTGAAAGAGTTCTGTCACCACTGCGAGATAGGTCAGAATTAGGCGCTGTCGAGGAGCAGAGCCAGTGGGAGGCTGAGCAAGCACTCCCCAGCACTAACGCAGACGACAGTCAGATTACCATGCATGGAAGGTTCACCATCGAGTCTCTTCTCGAAAGACGAAAAAGATAATTCGCAGACGTCGACCACCTCACGTCGAACGTGTGGCTCAAGTCACTCGAGTGCATTCTTTCCAAATACAAGTCGAAGCCCGCATGATCTTACAACTCTTACTGCCCGAGTCCATTCGCCTGTATTTGACCATAAGCCTTCTAGAAATATCTGGGTTGATGGAATGTGGAGATCCGCAGATCGCTTCCTACTCTGCCACACCATTGGCCGCTCGGGCGCTGGCGACATCTCAGGGTGATCGAGGAGAAGTATTGGGATTCGTATGAAGGTGTCGACATGAAGTTGCAAAAGAGGGGAATTCACAAACAAGGAGACCTCGCAATCATGTATGGTGGCATGGAGAGCTACCATCACATGTGTCGCTTCTACTCGGGATTCTTCTACAAACACGAGCTGTTGGACAAGTACGAATGGTACTGGTGGCTGGAACCCGAAATCAAATACTTCTTCGATAGCCCGTCTCTCGGCTGGATGCCGTTGAAGAGCATCCAGACTTGAAGTCCCTTGGGGCGCTGGACGCCATCAACACCAACCTATGGTTACTCAAGGCGCTGGACGCCGCCGACAACCAGACTTACAATTACTCAAGGCGCTGGGCGCCATCGAGAATATCCAGACTTGCAGTTACTCGAAAGAGTTCTGTCACCACAACTGCGAGATGGGTTAAAGTCAGGCGCTGTTGAGGAGCAGAACCAGTGGGAGAAATGGCCACTGAGCAAGCACTCCTAACGCAGACGGCAGTCAAATTACTATGCATGAAAGGTCCAACATCGAGTCCCTTCTCGATAGACATATTGAATGTCTAGGACTGAATGATGACGGGACCGAATGGACTGCTTCATCCTTCTGGACTGGCTGCTTTGGTAGGGGAGCTGATAGCAGGTTGGTAACACAAGTCATTTGCGGCGGAGGGGTCGCATGCGGCGGAGGGTACGGCATTTGAGCCGGATGCTGAGCTCCACGAGAAGATGGAGGATGCAGGGGGTAGGAATTGCCTCGAGTCGCCGGTCTGGCCATATCCCGCGAACCTGATCTGGGCGGTGCTTCTCATCCATTGATCCCCGGAATGAGATGGAAGCGTTACTGAGACATGAGAATATGGACTCTGTTGGAATTCATGTTCGTCAGAAATTACGAGGTTGAGTTAAGGGTCAATGGACCGTGATCCCCTGGATCACTCAAGTCGACAGGTGAATTCTTTCAGCTCCGTACGATAGCGAGGATCTACAGAAACTATCCCAAATATTTCTTCCCATGGGGGAACTCTCGTTTAGAGTCTTGCCCTGATATCATCTCTGGATGTTGCCCGGACTGATCATTCCGCACAGTCCAGGAAACCTCGCGAGGAAGCCTCCCTTTCCAGATCCCATCAAAGGCCCGGGCGTCTGGACCCTTCTGTCTCGGGAATACGATGGATCGAGTGTACATTGGACGTAATTGATGGTCTTCCCTGCCATCTGATTGACATATTTGCGGTATCGAGACGCCGCTTTTCTCTCTCCATATTTTTCCGTCAGAGATCATCCAGACGACAATACAGCATTGTAACAAGCCTGCGATGCTACCCGATGACTGGGTCCAACCTTCGTGACGCTTTAACCAGCAGGGGAAAGCCATTGTCTGCACAGCGTAGACTACGGGCGACCCCCTCTTTCTCTTCTTGTGGTGCGAGGTACTGTTGACGGATGGCCTTCTTCCGTCTTGCCGATGTCTTCTCATTCGAACCGCCAGAGTGGACGTGGGGAGGTTGCTCGATAAGGGCAGGGAGGGACCGATCGACCGTCGCCTGTAGTGCTCGTTAGAGTCATCGTTGGCAGTCAAGAAAGGCTTGAACAATACGTCGGGGTTGACGCAGCGTCGCCTGCAAGCCGAGGGCCGGGGTATTTTCCGTGCTTTCGTACCTTATACCTCTCGGCAGTTGAGGGCACTGCGCAGCTGAGCTTGGTGCACCCTCTCACCCATAATCGTGATTGGGAGTTTGGTGGGGATTTGGGTTGTGTACAGTGTTTTTGGCGCTGTTCGAGATCCCCTGCGGTCACTGCCTGGTCGTCTGGCGTTTGCAGTCATCTCGTCTTGATAAATGGCGGTCAAAAGCCGGGGGCCACTCCAGCAACATTGAGCATCGTTTGTGTGTTACAACCAGCATTTTGGCCACCGAGCGAGCTGCAAAGAAGTCGCTCACAGAACAATGGCCCAATTGGAAGGCTTGCTCACAGGTCATAACTACGCTACCACCCTCCAGACGCGAAGTAGCAAAGGGAACGTTTGCATAATAAGGAACTCTTGTCGGGACGGAACAACGTTGACCCAACTGCGCCCTCCAGCCGCCCTGCGCGACCGACAAAAAGGCCCTCAACTCGCCTGTGCGCACACTCTGTGATATGTCCCGTTGATTCCTGCAATAACGTCACGCGTCGAAGCCAGCGAGCAGACCTCAACCCACTATCCGTCGCCGCAAGTGTCGCCTGCTTACTATCTCTCGGCCTGCAGAGCACAGAATACCTTTACACATTCTACACCGCATGCTGAGATCAACACCGGTACCTCGCCCAGATCGCAGACCAACTCGGCGTCCTTCTCCAATATCTCCCCAGTTTCTCAAACAAACCGTACGTACTCACACGTGGCGGCCCGCCGAGCAATCAACTATACAAAACATTGAAAGATCCACCACTCGGAGTGAGGACGCTCTATACGTGTTATACTCTCACGAACGACTCCATCTTTGCATAGAGTCCGCCACCTCGGCCAGACAGCTTCAACCAGATCTGGCGGATCCCGTGTTGGACATCGGAGATCAAGTTCCGGGCATCAGTTCGCTTTTGGCCGCATCGCTCGACCGATTTCAGTGTGCCCAAAACATTGAACGTCTGAATTCAAGCTTCCGCAGGTCGCCCCTCCGGTCAATGACTCATCGCGGCGTCAATACCACTTCGCACGGTCATATCGAACACGCAACCTCACCGCAATACACGGTTAGTACAGTCTCTCGAAACTACCCCAGGCACGGGCACGAGAGTTTGACGATCACAATTGGGAGTCAAACCAGGGCTAAAGATCTGTCATCTGCATTCGAAAAGAGATTGGATGTACAAGAATGTGCAAGACTGTACATGAATATACAAGAACAACCAGGAATGTATGCGAACAAGCATGAATCTACAAGAACAAACTCTGTCACTTGGAATCTATTCTTCAAGAGTGTCGGAGACGAGAAATGCTTCGAGCCATCAGACTTTTGGTCACCAGCCTTCCTCCAACAAGCGGAACTCGGCCCATGGGCAGTACAAGGTCATTGTGAACTTCGAGCGGCGGCTGCTCTGTCACCGCATTCGGTTTCGCTCCGGCGTGCTTCATGTGGCCTGGCGACGGTCTGCCTGATCGCTTCCTTACGCTGGCAATGGTCATCAACGAGCGTGGATGTGAGGTCCCCATGGCAACGAAGCCTTCGAATATCACTGAACATTCCAACACCACTGAACATTCCAACACCACTGAACATTCCAACACCACTGAACATTCCAACACCACTGAACATTCCAACACCACTGAACATTCCAACAACATTGAGAGTACCAACATCAACATCACTGAGAGTTCCAACACAACCGAAGGGAATCACAATAATAGCGCAGTCAGTCCCGGAAGCCGTGTTGTCAGAAGAGGGTATACTGAAGTCATGAAGACTCGAAACGCTCGACACGGTCACACCTCTGAAGCCAGATTGTTCATGTACCGCCAGTTCATATTCAATTCATACCCGAGACTCTGGATTAACTCAGAGATGTTCAATGCAGAAAGGGACACAACGATTTCAACTCCCGGCTCCTCGGGGACTACTGTCCATGGTTTTCATTCCAAGGATGGCGATTACTTTGCACTGATCATTTATCAGGGCTTCTCTCTCTAGCTGCCATGTTGATGTCGCGCATTCGATGTCTTCTCTGCGCTGGAAGCTTCTAACCAAGGCCCTCATTCACTATTCAGTCCGGAAACTACTCTAGTCTTTGAGCACCAGATCCTTCCGGTCCGCCTCACTGATCTCCTTTGTTTGAACGACCGAGTCCATCAGAAACGTACAAGACGTTCCGAATATGGAGCTTCTACAGCGCAGAGAAATTGTAAGAGATGGAGCTTTGATTAGCCATCGCCAAAGACTCCTGTCCTCCCGCGATCAGCACCTCCTCATCCTGTCTGGGCGCAAGGCTGATGTGCTCAGCAAGTTCCAGTCCGATAACCCAGATCGAGTCATAACGAGGGCGGGAGACATGGCTGACCTTGAATTCGTCCAAGGGATGCTGCGAGACATGCAGTTTGACGGCCGACTCGACGGGCTCATTCTGAACGACGGTATCTCGTGGAAAGCGAACGCCGATCAGAGTCTTGGTGAAGGACGTCGAAAGCTGCAGTAGGTGGACGTCTCGGGTTCGTGACCGAATCAGCAAGACCAGCTCGTCGGACTGTGGTCTGAGCGTGCATGGACGCTGTAAGATGGACTTCTATCCAACCGGATTTTGTGTTACTCGTCCCATCAGGTCGCCTGGAAATGTTGCAGCGTTGTTGAATATGACCGATGTCAGCAGCATCCGCGCGGCCAAGGCGATGACGACAACGATGATGTCCGGCGACGACCAGATCTCAGAAATGCTCCGATTCTCCTCCTCGATTCTGTTTCGGTTCCTATCTGTCTCTCTCCGAAGACTCCCGAGTTCATGGTGACGGCGACATCTCTCCCTTCTCCTTCTCCTTCTCTTTCACGGTGTCTCCGTTCGCCTGAACAATCTGTTCCAGCTCGGCGACTCTTCTCAACAACGCCGCCTCGGTCTTCATTGCTGCGGCCTTATCCTCAAGAAGTTCCCCGATGCGGTCCACAAACGCAGCCTTCTCGCCGCGCAGATCCGGACGGTGTTGCTGAGGGCGTCGATTCTGTCATTCCGGCCGCCACCCAATTTGGATGAGCTCGCCGGCGCATTTGGCCCAGACCGTTGGCGGAAAACCCCTCCACGGCGCTCTGAAAGGAGCTGTCTCAAACTGCGCGCAGGATCGTCAGCAGCATCTTCCTTTGGTCGAATTTGGCCTCAGCATTGCAGACGAACCTGGTGGCAGGCCTTTTGCTTTTCTCAGCTCTACCACCCGACTAGCGTCCACCGCAGAATGGACTTTCAGCGTTTGAGCGCCATCTTTCTCGTGTAATTGAGCTCGACCGTAGCGAACAGGCAAACGGTTTCTTCATCGAGGGTTATTTCTGCGCCATAATGTTGGTGCAGAAATTGCCATCAACCGACCATCGTCTTGAAGTCCTATGCTTAACAAATTCGGCCCCTCAGAAGAACTACAAAGCGTGTTCTTTTTGAACGTCTTGGACTTCTGAAATTGAGCTACTACAGCATCTCATGTTCTTCTTCAGTACTCGCCATGCAGGGTGAAGGTGAGCTGACAGACTCCACAAATTTTCGGACGGCACCATCCCTCAGCCTGAGTCAATGGGACATTTACAACTCCTCCTGACCACCCGCGGATGCTGCTGCAGGCGCATTGTGATACCGTCCGCATTGAGCATGGATGTCCACTCCGCGCTCGAGGGGAGATCTACACCACCTCCTCGTAATCACTAGCTGATGCCGCGCAGAGTCCATTACCATCTTGTCCTCCTTCGGCATTAAAATTCGCTTCATTCGCAAAGAGCATCTGTACCACCTTCTCGTGAGTATAGAATGATGCTACTTGGACCGCCTCGCTGCATACCGCCGTTTGAAGTGCTTTCTCACAACTTCCCACTTTGGACTACCAACTTCGTCCGCTATCGAGGAGCTGTTTTTGAATTCCAACTCACCTTGGATCCAGAGTGTATCTGCTTTCGATTATTATGCTCTCGAGCATGTTAGAACATCAACTTTGCTCCACAGAACCAAAAACGCCAGACACGAAAGAGAGAGGTACGGAGCTGTTCCGCCGAGCAAATGTCGCACACTAGACCTGAAAGAAAGAGGGACCATTTCCTATCACCTTGGGTGTGCTCTGGCCTGGAAGAAGGGCTTCCTGACTCCGAAGCAGTGATAAAGGCCACGACCAGACCATTTGGTTTGAGTTTCACACGAAATTCCCGTCCTTGTCATTGAGCCCAAGACAGATCAATGACAAAGAACGCCGGAAAGCGATCTGCTCGCTAAACCCTACCTCGAGATTCACTATTTGGTCCGGAAACTACTCTAGTCTTAAGGTCTGAGAGCATAACCCCATCTGATTATGTCTTTGGAGATGGCTGTAGCCACCGCCAGTGTCGACATTCAAGCGACATCGGAAGACGCTCGTCAGTTCGATATGAGAAAGCAGAAGGACACTGATGCGCTCACTTGGAACTCAAATTCCACAGAAACCATGATCATGGTGACTTGAGCTATTTTCTCTTTGATGGTTGCCCTTGCTGCTACCTAAACTTACTTCGGGACATTACCTTTGGGCTCGGCAATGTTGTCCTCGAAACCAAGGTAAATGATGCCGTGCCAGAGAAACGACCGAATCCCCGGTTATCACAAACAGAGCAGGAAGCCGAAGTGAATCGCACGAGAGGAGCATGCTACTCAGAGTGGAGAAGCATCCTCCTACGTAGCCTTCAGTAAGAGAGGTTAAAAGGCCACTCGGGAGGACACCGAGCCGGACAGGCCCAAACCACTTTAGGCCACTTACAAACCGAAGGAGCAAGGCATACTCCTCGCACCCGAGAAAAACTCTTCTCTCATCCTTCTCTCATCCTTCTCTCATCCTTCTCTCATTCATCTCTCATTCATCTTTCATCCTTCACTCATCCTTCAAGTCTTGTCACTACTATACGCAAAGGGATACTTATTACTACAGAATCTATCTATTGCTGAGTACTGCCTATCTCTAATAAGGCATTCCTGATACCGGTCCAAAGGATATCTCTGCAGTGGACTCGACATTTATCCGACACATGAACCGTGCGCGTGCTACTCGATGGCTATGATTGTAAGGGTTTGGAAAGAGTTCTGCAACTAGCTAGCCAACCTAGTAACAAGGAGGATAAATCTGAGGAGAGATGAAGAAGGTACGTCCTCTCCCTCTCTCCTTCTATCGTACGTTCCTCCGTAAGAGATACCAATTATCCTTCCCTTTCTCCCTTTCCCTTCCTCTTCCATATCTGCCCTACATTTCTCCTTACTCCTTGTCTCTCTCTCCCTTACCTTCCCTTACGTACGGTGTCTCAGTTACCAGGATCCTGTATCCCTTGCACCGCGCGAGTCTTGTCTAATCTTGAGGCGGCGTTAGTCCCGGCGTTAGTCTTGGTGCTGGTTCGCCAGAACCGAGCCTTCTCCTGGGTTCAACCTATCCTAATGATCCATTCTAGATTCCGAGTCTTGTTTTCGCTCGCAAGATGCCAGGCAACCGACTGGCATACGGGGGTTGTTCTAGCGTCGAGAGCTCAACTGGCGAGTCATGACATTCCAGCACACGCAAGTGGCTGCTGTCGAAGGCGAAGAAGGCCCAACGGACAAGGGAACATTCCAAACTTAGGAAGTCAATTACTGGGAATATCGCACAACATCAACATCATCCTCAGGCAAAGCCGGCCATTTTGGTCCAGTCGCCATCACCGTCTTGCCTACGGAATTCGACGCCTAGTAGCCAGCATCACTCCATTGTTTCATGGTATGGCCATCGAAGGGCCGCCCGTTTATTGCCCCACCATCCCTAGCGATCGGCCTTACTCTCTCCTCGACTGACCAATATCCGGTTGAGACGATGAAGCGGCACGTCCTCGTCGACCTGTTCGATGTCGAGGTCGAAGCTGAAGCATATCACACATGGCACATAGAAAAATGGCGGACATCGTTCCTTGGGGCGACACGAGCTAGAGATGGAGCCACTGGAAGACGCCTGCACCATTGATACTGGGTGTCGTTGTGCTCGGACCCATCCACACCGCCATCCCTGAGCGCTACGGGGTTAAAGGGGGCGTCTCCCTCCTCCCTATGATGGCCTCCTCACCTTGACTCCAGCGTCCGATTGGAAGATCTCTGTCAGGGCAGTTGCCTCTTCAGCGGGTTGCGAAGCGTTGTTGGAATCCATGCTTGAGCTGAACTGGAGAGATGATTCTGAGTGACTGGAGGTATTTGAGAGATTTGGGTATGCGCCTCTGCGTGTGTTTGCGTGTTTGTGTGGGCGAATTTTGTCTTGAGTTAACCAGAGAAAAAAGTCACAGAGCGATTCGTTGTCCTTTAACGTGTGACCGCGACCTTTTTAACATGAACGTTCATTCACCGACGATTTGGAAGTGATTGTCTACTGCACTCGGCCTCGTGTCGGCCGTGGTGGCTATTCATCCAGGCGATTTCCCATAAGAAACCGTTCTACTACACGACATAGATAAAGCGGGCTATTGTGTCGGCGTCGCTTAGTTGTTGCGCGTTGAAATGTTGGCGCACAGCGCTGGCGAGACGTGAGGGTAGCTCACGAGGACCGGTGATTGCAGTGACAGCACGCTGTAACGAGCGGCTCATCAGAATGGAGGAGACTTTTGTCATTGATCGTCAGCGGAACAAGAACGACAACGAAGACCAGGCTCAACAAACATGGATCAATATCCCCGCCAAGTGACAATCCGCGAGAGTAAAGGTCCGACATGCGTGCGTATTGGAGCTGTGGTGCCAGCAAGATCCGGTCGGGATTGTCTCTGGGCCGCCCACGTGGTGTCGCGATTGTCGGTCAGACCACAGACGAAGCAGATGCCGACCGTCGCGTTACAGCCTTCGTGGAGCACGGTGACTCCATCTGGCAAGGGCCGGTGGGTGCATGGTACGGCAACGGTGGCCGCGGCCTCTTAGCCTCGACTCGCTGCGGGATCGAGGCTGGTTTGAAGAGTTTCTTGAACGGTCGCATGACGGCGATCTGTGTCCTGTAGACCAGAGCGCGAGCACCGCGTCTACCTGGCCACCCATGCTTGGTTGTGGACTGGAGAAGCCGTCAGTCGCATGGTGAGGCTAAACTTGGGAGAGGTTCGAATGTTCAGCTGGTCATTGCGCCAGTCCACCGTCCCCAGGGCAGGGTCGTCGTCCGTGAGGACCAGTGGAGGAAGCGAGACGTTGACTGCGGAGAAACCGTTCAAGGGTCAAGCTTGCTCTTCTTGCTTGTCTGAGGACTTGATTGTGTCCAGTTTTCAGGGACCGAGCGAAATTTGTGTGTTTTTTTCATGTGTGTGCCGCATCCGACTATATTTCCATCTTTTGAATGCTAACGGCCTCATCGGGGGCGTCGATCACGAGATTTCCCCAAGTATGCACTTACTCCCTCAACATCCAAACACCTCGTCTGAGGGGAGCAGATCGATTTCCATTGTTTCAAACCTCCTCGTATAGGTGGTACCGCATCTCGGGTAACTGCGCAACTGGCAGCTCCTTATTGACGCGAGAAGTCCAATTGTCGTCCGATTGTCGTCCGAATGGTGACATTGTGGAACATATACAAGGCGTACAGGCAGGTGAGGAAGGCAGTGAAGCTGCTGTGAGAAGTGGTGCGGGCTCGAGAGGAGACACTGGCGGAAGATCATCTATCGAGGTAGAAGGGCTTCGGGGCACCCGCGTTGGTGCTTATAGGGAGGAAACATGTTCAAATGCGGCCTGGAAATCAACGGGTCTTACGTAGCATCACTTTGGCTTAGTATCTATTTCTGAACTGACAGCGGGGATGATGACAGTCCCCAATGTGACGTGGCAGTTGTCAAAACAATCTCGCTTGTTGAAGCTGTGATGGGTGGAACCCAGGAGAAGGCTCGGCTCTCGTGAACCAGCGCCAAGACTAACGCCAGGACTAAC